AAGAATTTTTAAACACTGCTATAATGAAGTTGAATGGGGTGCACCACACAATTACACAAGCTAAAAAGAAAAGGAAACTTATCAAATTATGAAACAAGAAAATACAAACAGGTGAAGTATACACATGACAATAAATTTCTTACTTGAAAATAAGGTCTGGGGTAGGGCTCCAAGGAAAGAATTGTCCCAAGTCTACGGACCACACTTCGAGTAGATCCATATTCTTTTCTTTGGCAAACAGATGTGACCTAAAAAGCAGAAAACCTTTGAACTTGAGAAGCAAAATGAAAGCCCCCAGTTCTTAATCTCACTTTAATCTAAGTTATTGCATTATTCCATGTTACAGGTAATTAAATATAATGCAGTTTGGTTAACCTAACTTTTCAATGCTCTTCTCCAGCTGAAAGTCCAAAGAGGCCTTCACTGGTATGAATATTCTTTCTGCCAAAAGACAGAATATTTTAAAGAGGCACAAAGGCCAATATCTAGAAATACTGACAAAAGTGCTCATTTAATTAACTACATGCAGCTGTGTAAGTTTTGGGAAAGAACAATTAGCAAAGCAGTGAAATAAATTTAACATACCTTGACCTGATACTTCCTTATGACAGCATATAACTGCTGGAAATGCCTTCCCGAGGAGACTGCTGAAGGAAGGCACGTCCCGAGAGTACGGCTGATACTGCTGCCAAACACGCGAGTTTCAAAAAACGCGGCCTGTCAAAAAAACCAACAGCTGCCAACAACGGAACCAGAAAGTGATGAGGGCAGCTCAGGCAAACCAGCACTCCTGGAGATACTCGTAGTTTTCCCCCCAACAAGGCTAGATTGTCTCAGAAGCACACGCTGCAGCAGTGCCCCAGAGGAGGGGCCCAGGACCCCTGGCTGCAGCACCGGCCCCGGCACGGCTCCGGCCCCGGCACGGCTCCGGCTCCGAACACGGGGCTAACTCTGCTGGGGAAGGGGAACAGCACAGCACGAGCAGCCCACACCACTGCCTTTGTTACGTTCACTTCAGGGCAAAAAGCGCCACTCGATCGGCTGTGCCAGGGCAGTGCCCCCGCGCGGGCAGCGTGTTCCGACAGACCCGGCTGCGGGCAAAGGAAGGCGCTGAAGCCGCCCCACCGGGTGCCCGCGGTGCCGACCTTCCCTCCCTCCGCAGAGCCAAGCTGCCGGCGGGACGGCCCGCCCGAGCGGCTCTCCGGGCGGAGGCAGCCGCCGCGGGTCTCACCTGGTGGTGCGGCCAGCCGAGGTAGCGCAGCAGCCGCCGGAGCAGCTGCAGCAGCAGCAGCGCCATGGAGGGCGGAGGCCGCGCCCGGAGCGAAGCCGCCCGCGGCTAGGGCGGGGCACCGCGGCAGCCCCGCCAATAGGAAGCCGGCAGTGCCGCGGCGGAGCCAATGAGCGACGGGCGCGCCCGTCGCGGGGGGTGCCGGGAGGAGCGGTTTGAACGCCGCGCTGCCCGGCCCGCGCCGCTCCCCAGGGAGCGCTCCCGGGAATGCGGCCAGCTCGCACTGACCCCGGGGCTGTACTCACAAGAAAGGCAGCTTGTGCCTCTGCGGACACAGTACGCACCAACAGAAGAAATGCACCGGAGCCTGTTAACTCACTGAATTAATGGTAAGGAGCTACACTGACATGGTTTTGGTCTTCCATATAGCCGACTCGTAACTACTGCATTCACACACCTAAACAAATGCACAAAGTACCCTCAATGCAACAACTGCCCAGTAACACCTGACTACACTGACTTCACTTCAAAACCTGGCTTTGAAGTTCTGCACTTGCTCTTTCATCTTGCACTGCCTTCATCTTTTAAGATTTCTACTGTTTTCCTCAAGAAAATTTGAAAACTTCAAGAAAGTCAGCAGTGCTAAAAGTGCTTCTAGAAGAAATATCCTTTTCCTCCAGCTATGCAGTCTGTGCTTGGAGATCACCTTCCCTGTGCAGTCGGTGTTCCTGTTGTTAGTACTGGAGTTCCTACAGCAGCACTGCTGGCTACTGTTATCCATGTGGTGGATCCATTCTCTAAGACCACAGGAGTAGCAGTACTGGTAACACACACTGCAGTAACAGCTGGTTCAGGGGACTAGGAACGTTTAAGCTTGAGGAGAGAAAGAGTAGAACATTTTAATGGATATTTAGAAAAACTGTACTACAGTGCTTGCCTGAAAGAAAAATAAAGTACTTTTCACCTATTCCTCCTTAACACCTTACTAAAGAAGGGGAAGTGTCAACAAAATGGGAACACACAGCTCTAGTGGAAAGCCAGGAAGAGACAGGGTCTCCCATGCAGCAGCAAAACCGAGACAATTTAGTTTCACTGCAGCACCAGTAACCAGCCGCACCGAATCAGAGGTGCAGTTGGGAACTCGTACAGAAATGCTTCAAGCCAAGTCAGCAGGTACAGCTCTGGACAGTACTGAAGGGACCTACAGCAGCTTCTGAACAAAAGCATCCCGTGACAGGCCAGCTTTAAAAAACAAGTGACACAGAGCTCAGGGCTTAATGCTGCTGCTGTGTACCTCTGGACAGCTCTCCTTCTGAAGTCCTAGCAAAACAATTGCAGGAAAGCTTTACTCTTATGTAGCTGCCCACTGCTACAGTAATGCTGATTGTTCCTCGGAGGGAAGAGGATGTGAGATTTAACTCCAAACCAATAAACTAAATTGACACAGTTCAGCTACTGGATTCCATGTTGGTTGGTGGTCTTTTTTTTGACTAGTAAAATGCATGCCTGATTTTATCTGAACAGCAGCGATAAGTTCAAACTCTGTGAATCCTCTTCATCTCTGCATGGTGTCCTTAAAAAGTGCTTCATTGCTGGAGAGCAGCGAGTCAGAATGAGTAGCTAAATTCAAAAGATAGTTAAACATTTTATACCAGCATAACGTCTACACAGTTTTTTCCCCTGTACCACCAGTGATGGTCTCTACCTTTTAACAAGAGAAATGCGAAACGCACTGAAATTCCATTCACAGGTCATGCAACTAGCTTAGCAGCACCAAGTGAAAGCCTCACAAATGTTTTTTCTTAGCAGTTAAAACTCTGTTCATGTCAAAAGACAAGTGCTGAAGCACTAGACTTGGATCGAAAAAGTGAACTCCCCTCACACTTTCTTACCGATCTCTCAGAGACAGACTGCAATTTTCATCTTTGACTGCATTATCTCTTAATATGAATTAGCTTATTTAAATAAATGTTAGTGGCTGTCATCGTGTGCTCTGTAATCAAATTACATTTCTGATAAACTACAATAAAATTAGGGATTGTAAAAAAATGGATTTTTATGATCTAACCTCTAGACAGGTTTGGAGGATCAAATGCCATTACCAGAGCAATCTTGTAATTGTAAAAACCAGATCTCCTTGGATATTTAGCTAAAGTACAAAATTTAAATTTGCCTCGTCTTGCAGGCATTTGTACTGCTTTGTGACACACACACCCTAACAATCTACTTTCAATTTGACATAAAGTATGCAAATTACCTGTTTAAGGTCATGACAGCACAAGTGTATCTTGATCCTGCTCAGTTTTAGACTGATGTTTAATTTTACTTAATCAGGACAGACTTTGATGTCAAGTTTGCTTTGTTCCCTTTCTTGCTTATTCTATTATACACAAAGTCCGAGTTTTGCTGAGAAGTCCAAAGAATACTCTGTTTATCATTTCAAACAGCTATTAAAAGATGCACTGTACATGTAAAAGCAAATCTGGCAACAACAGTTTACTTGGGCCAAATGTTTTACAACATAAAGAGGGAATGACTTTATTAACTAACTACTACTGAGTGGCAAGTATTCCTGTTTCCCTTTCTACACAGCTGCTGGCAAATCAGCACAACCTAAAATATAGTTTCTTCAGCTACAGTGATGATTGTTTTGTTTTCCTTCCTTCTATTATTTAATTTGTATAGGGGAGTTAACTACTTCCTAGGAGTAAAGCAAATAAGAAGGCATACATTATATAGGTATGTAATACAAACACCTCTATCAAAGCTTTTCCTTTTCTTTATTTCCCCTGCTTTTAAAGATATTATGCCTTTCAACGGGGTGAATAAGAACGACTACACTTTTAACTTCACATATCATTAAGATTTAGTTTACCTACAGCATTTTGAGAAAGAGAAACAAAGTAATCTTGTATTACAATGTTGCTGTTCTGGTAATTCAAGTATATTGCTTTAATCCTTAACATTCTAGAGGTTAAGTGTGTAACTACCACTAAAACTAAGCTTGAAGGTTTGTTTTTTGGGGTTTTTTTTAAACAAACCAAACCCCCCCCAAAAAAACAACAACAAAAAACAAACCAACCAAAATCCCCTTAATATCTGCACTTCAGCTACAAAAATTCTTGCAGCACAATTATTAGAAATCAGTGTTGAAGAAAGTAAGATTCATTTCTCACATTTCTGGTATATAAATTATATTTATGAATTCAGGTTTTAACATCTCTTCCTTTATTTTTTTATTTTTTCAGAGATTTAGTGGTGTTTTGTTTCTCTCCTCCCACCTGCTCCTGCCCTGCTCTCTCACTTTAACTTAAATGCTGTTCACGTGAATGACTCACTCTTGCCGGATTACACACCCAGAGAGGCGACCTCACATAGAGAAATTAAAGAGGCAATTCTAACAAAATGTAAAAAGAAACTGCTAAAAAAGAAGCTAGATTGGTACTGACACCAAATTAAGTGTTCTGCTGATGACTAAGCTATCAAAAAATACACTTGAAACTCACTGTAGTTTGTATATGCATATGTATTTCTTAGGCTACTAAAGAAGTGATGATTTCACCGCTTAAGTAAAATTCTTGCTGCACCCTTGCAGGGTGAAATAAGAATCCAGGTTTATCACTATGTAAATGTGATTCTCGTGAGCTAACATACAATCAACATTTTGCATAACTGTTTGTACTTACAGTGTGACTGGATAACCCTTAAATATAGTTCTTATAAAAAGGCAACAGAGAAGTAGTGATAGTTTATAAAAAATGCTGCTCCAAGATTTTAGGTGTGCAGAACTGTAAGTTTACTTCAGAATAAAACACAGACATAGGGGAGAATCAAAACTTTTAGAGTTGTACTTGACCATATATTTGAACAAAGCAGAATTACACTGCATATAACAAACAGTAAAATTTCTTAAAAGTTGTTACAAATATTTAACTTTCTACCTGTACGATCATTAACATAGTTTACTATATCATGATTTTTTTCTAAAGGCTTAAAACAAAAACAATCTCTCTAAACTACTTTCCAACAGTAAAGTTTAAGTAAAATGCTTACATTCATTTGACAACAAAAAACATATTAAAAATGTTGTGTGGGTGGTGCAAGAGCTGCTCTTTCAGCTACAACTTTCTTCCGGCTTATTCCTGTGGAAAGAAAGAAAACAGTCTTGTTGTAAACTGTTAACAATCCAACTCCAAAACCTTCAAAGTGATCCCAACGTGCAGCCAATTACTCGGCATAGTGCAAGATGAACCATCTAATCTGCAATTCACCGAACAATTTACCTTTTCCTCTTTGCGTCTGTCCTTTTCTTCATTATTCTCAATTGTTTCTTCCTCATCTTCCACAATTCCATCCCCTTGATATTTGTCGTGTGTCCACTTCGGACTGCTACCTGACTTTTTGAAGTTAAAACGCCCTCTGCCACGCTGGAAAGTACCACGGCCTCTTCCTCTTTTGGCCCAATAATCCACACCATCATCTCTGTCATCATGCTAAAATAACACCAGAAAAAAGAGTAAGGTTAGACACCTCTTAAATGTATCCCATAATGTTAGTACGCTATAGCAAATGTATAAAACAAAGTAAATGTTAAAAAGTTCTCTTCAGATTGTAATTATTCTTAAAAGGCATAATGCTCTAAATAAAACCACCATACAATGGTTTGAAGAGCCCTTATTCACTGTGGGTCTACTCAAATGTTAGTAACAAATCACTTGTCTGTAACTTACACTCAGTCAGAATTAAGAATTACTAGTTTTGAGGGGAAAAAATTGTTACATTGAAAGAAGCTCTAGGAAAGTGCTAGGTTACTTGAGCACAAAGGGAGTTCTTTCTACTTCATAAGAAGAGGTAACTGAAGGCAGTTTTCAGAAAATCTGCCCCACCAGCACAATGTAGGGCAAATTAAGTTCAAACTGTTTAACTCTAACATTACCAAACATTAGTTGAGTTCCTCTGGTTAATAAGCCTAAAATTTGCTGTCTAGCTACCAAATACAGCCTTATATAGTTAGGTATGTTCTCACAATCATTTCACACACTGCATGAAATCTACAAACCATTATTTAATATAAAAAATGTTTCTATTTAGAATGGTGAGGTACACTTGCTTCAACATATGGTTTTTTAACTTGTGATTTGGAAAGAAGTCTGATCTATTAAATATATATCATACCCATATAATACAGCTTACACAGAATTAGTTGAAGGGCAGCTTATTTAATTTAAAATATTTTTAGAAATTCAAGTTTAATAACTAAAATTGATTGTTCCAGTATCATGAATAGGTTATCACATCTCTGTTTACAGATCAGAAAAGATATGTCTATGAAGACAGAACTCCTTAATGAAATATCTGAATTGTGACTGCATTATTTTTAGTTACCTGTTAACATATTTGTGACAAGCTATAATGCCACAGGAGAAGGTCTTAAGCTCATTACTTATAATTTTTCAATGATGAAACAATATCCTTCAAAGTTTCCATTGTTACAGAAATAACTGGAGCAGAGGCCACACATCCAGTGTACTGCACTACTTAGAGTGATTACATCAAGGGTCCTCCTTTCATAATCCAGATGGGAGAAAGGCATCAAAACTGTGGTGATTTTCTTATGACTATCGCAGTACTCGGAGCAAAGAACTGCTCGTAACAGTCTGCCTATGAAAATCCACAAATACTGTCATCTTTTCCTGATCTTTCACTTCTGTAGACCTCCAGACCAATCTAAGACAAATCTCAAATGTCGTACAGACATAAATCCAGGAAAACGCAGCACAAACCTTTCTGGTTTAAAGTTGGGTTTTAATAAATTTTGTCTGAACCTGCCTTCTTCCCCATTCCCTGATGAAGATAAACTCCATGTCAGGCGTCAGTTACTGCCAGCCTGCTGCAGCAAGATGAAAGATAAGCAGAACCAACCACTACAGCCACCCTGATATTCTCACAGTTACTCTTGCCCCTGTCCATACATGCATGCTACTTCTACACTTGTAGAAAGTTTGGGGAAAAAAAAAAAAAAAGCATGCATAAGACATTGAGTTCTCCACACCCACCAAGAAGTATTTCTTGCTTTTTGGGGTATATTCAGGATCCCATTCCTCTTCCTTCGGTCTCTTCTGAAAAGTAGTATTTGAGTTGCTGGGACCAGTATTTGTTCCAGCAAAGACTCCTCTGGCTCTTCCTCTGCCCCTAATTCGAAACTGATTAACCAAGATGTCATTTAATCCATTTACATAACACCATAAAGTAGAGTCAAGTTCTCTATTACTGAAAATACTTTCTGTGCTTAATTACAATATCTGCAAGTGGAAAAACCATTTTCAAATTCACATACTACCTTAAGTAATATATTCAAGCATTCATTTTGAAATAGTGATTCTATTAAACTTAATTGAAACACATTTGAATTCTTGGCATCAGTTCACCCACAACCACTGAAAAGAAATTTTGACTGCTAGTAAACCAGTGTGTTGCAACAAAAGGTCACAAGAAGCTTCTGAAACTGTTCAGACAAAAAGCCAGGAGGAAAGCTAGACTGAAACAGGGACAAAACTGTCAGGGGGAAAAGAGAGGTATTTATGGAGTCAATTGAATAATTTATGAAAAGGTGATTCTGGAATACATACTAACAGCGCAGTTTTCGCAGGAGTATACCCACTGTGTGTTACTCAAGCATTTTTAACTGAGATTCAAGAATGTACCTTTGGCCAAATTACATTTCAAATGAGTAAATTCTTTACTCAGAAAATGTCAGTAGCATGTACTGTGCAGAGCAGCAATGCTTAAAGTGAAAAGGAGTGTTTTAAATATACTTTATAATGAATCACTGGGGTTTTAAAATGCTAGGCTAGTGTCCTGGGTTGGCTATATGATGCTTGTATCCCCAGCTGTCTGTTCTGTTTATGCTGGATAATAAGTTTGCGCCTTGAAGACTGGTTCTGAGAGCGAAGGGGGGAGAGAAGGAGCGTGCAGTTTGTTTTCGGACATTGCACTCACTCCTCCACATTCCTGCTCCTGGACTGCGTTGTCTGTGGATGGACAGACAGCAGGACAGAGCTCTTTTTTGCTTTTAGTTAGTTTTAGCTAGCTGAGGCAAAGAAGTTCCCTGGACTGTGGGATTTTTTTCTCTTTTCTTTGGACGTGTTTAAAGCTGCTCAGGACTGAACACCAAAGAGCACCAGCAGCTTGCACCTGTGGCCCACCAGGCTGGGCCTGGACTGTAGCATTTCCAAAGCCAGAGGGACTGATAAGAGACTGAGTGAGCCAAGCTGCAACTCAGGAAGGGGACTTTTCTGAGTTTGTCATTGCTTTTGGAGTGGGAAGAGGTTTTATTGTTTAATATTGTTCAGGCATTATTGTTTAACAAACAGTTTTTTCCACCTTTCTCCAAGGAGGTTTTTTCTTCCCCAAACCGGCTGGGGGGGGCAATTGAATCTGTTTTCTAGAGGAGCCCCTTGGGGGGTTCTCTCCCAAATTTGCCCTGAACCAGGACAGCTAGAAAGTCTCACACCAAAAAACATGCTTAACTCAGAATACACTAGGAGAATACACTAGGTAGTAATGTATACAGTTATCTGTATCTGTTATCAAGCATGTAAATACTTAGCTTGTAGAAAACATTAAATGAGTTTATATCCTTCATCGAAGGGAAGAAGAAAGGTTAGTTTGGGAAGATAAGGCTGCTAAAAACTGCAGTTATTACGGAACACAATTTCCAAAAGTAACCTATTTAAAAACACAGAACTACATCTTCAGAGTAATAGTATAAAAATATGACTGGAAGCTAATTTATTTGTTAAAAATAAGCATGTTTCATAAACATAAATTAAAAATATATATAATTAATGAACTCAAAAGGTAAGTATTACGCATACTTAGTTCCACAAAACTCCAGAATTTCTAATGCAGAATTATGCTGGACAGATTTAAAATTACTCTGAAATCAAACAGACTGTAAAACAATCTGTAGAAGGCTCATAAGACCTATCCAATACTCTGGGAGAAAAAAAAAAAACAATAAAAAAATTGTTTGGAGAGTAATTAGGAAAGCAACAGACTAACTGTACAAGGGAGGAGATAAGACATGCTTTCTTGATTTCTAACAGCTTTACAAAATTAGGGCACAGCAAACTGTAACCTGGGGGAAGGGGCAGGGGGCAGACAGAATTATGACAGGATTAAAAAAGAGAGAAAAAAAAGGTATCAGCATTTCCTGGTACTCAGTGCTGTGATCAGATTCCCTTTAAGAAAAACATCTACAGTTTTCCTCTCCATTTTATTAATGCTTCCCTGTACCAAATCATCTTTCAGGTAAAGAACTACAGGACATAAAATCTACTACTGGTGTAATCTTTATGGGTTTGTTTATTAGAAAGACTACCACAAAAAAGACAAAACATATAATTTCTATATAGAACTCACTTTAAACAGAGCTGCTACACAGAATTCTTTCAGATATGGATACTAATGACATTGCCATTGAAAAATTCTAATTATCCTTACTTCTGTGTCCATATTTGAAAACTATTCATGATCCTTATGTATGGGAAGCCTAGAATCCAAGAGAATTGTGTACCAGCCAAAGTTAGTGAAAAAACATTGCTGACTTAACATTAGCTTGCTGGATAGGGAAGATTTTACATTCTCCAAAGCTTCCTGTTAGGAGAAAGATTCAAAACCAAAGCATTTTATTTACTCCAGAAGCAAAGCAGTACTCACTGGAATGCAGCCACTATTAGCCTGTATTTACAAACACATTCCTACACTACTTGGTCTCTGTTTTTTGATACCATCCAAGATGTACCCCTAAAGAGGAGATCTGAGTCAGCAGTTGGCCTATTTAGATTCACCTGCTCCGACACTTTGTTCCAAAAGCCTGTGTGTGACCATGTATGTTGTTAGGGAACATTAATCTGTTATCACTGCACAGACCAAACTGGCAGTCAGTAGCAATTAAACTACTAGAAATCTATTAATGTTCCAGTTCCCATCTACCTCAATTGCATGTAAAGCAGCACCTCTCTCACAATACACACAATCTGGTTTTATAAAGCAGGAAAGCTTCAATGACTTACAAGTTTTCTCCCACTAAATCTCCTTGAGAGGATATGGAGTTTTAAGCTCTCTTTTGTTTAACTTCTGTTTTGTTTGTGCCATTATTTTACATAGCTAGAAATTGTGCTGACAGTCATATTTGATGCCTACACCATCCAGAGATTTATATACTTATGCCACATAGTTCTATAGCATAACTATATAAAAATAAGAAGAAAGGAGGAAACTATAAACTTCTAGTGTTAGAAATTTAGAACTTTGAATTTTCCTTTAGGTAGCTACAGTTTTTTAGATGGAGGATTCAAGCCTCAAGTGCTGGCACATGCCACATGCATTTCAGACACCCTTATGTGTAGTTAAAAACTTATTTTTTGCATGACTGAACATTTATACTAAACACTGCACTTTAGCATTATTTGGTCTTAATTACAGGCTACATTAAGGAATTATTGTTCAAGTATGAAATTACTCCTACTTATTATGTAAAACAGTTTTTCCCAACCTGCATGGAACTTGAACTTTTTTGTGTGTTTAGCTGTGGTTTGGAGGTCTGTTTTGCTGTGCTGCTTGGGGATGGGTGTGTGGTGTCTATTTGTGGGTTGTTCTGGGTTTGGTTTTTTTTTTATTTGGGCTGTATGGTGTTTTTAAGTGCTCCCTATCTTCTTCAAGGCCTTCTTTATTGATTCCTAGTTTTTCCAAATGCATCTACATTTCCCAATGATACATCAACAATTAAACTTTCAGATTCTGTGTTAATGTAAGTTTTTTTTGTGAAGACTATAGTGGTCAATATGCCACTTTCCAAATCACAATGCTTAAATACATTCTAGAGGTAGATCAACAAACTTTCATGCTCAGTGGCTAGTCCAAGCCAAAGAAACACAAAAAAACCAAGTATACCATCTCCTCAATATAGCTGTTTCAAGGCTGACATTTATTTTTAATTATATGCCATTCTCTACTTAAAAAGTTGCAGGCATTACACACAAAGGAGTGCAAAATCAAATCAAACATGAGAGGGAAAAACAGGAGCTGCAGGGAGCTAAGGGTTATCAGGACTTAAGACTTACAGAACAGTGAATGTTCAGATCCTGTCAGGAAATAGTATTATTACAGAAGAGCAAGGAATAATTAAGAAATCCTGTTCCCAAGACCCTTATATCATGCTAATGCATATTTATAGACCATTCAACTGCTACTGGAGAGTGATGGGGGAAAAAAAGAAGACTCAATATTTCAGGTCTAGTAAAGACCTCAAGTCTAGCCTAACATGAATCACTACAACACTCCCTCATTTCCTTTTTACAATATTGCCACTGGTGAAGTGTTCATAATTGGGGGAAGAATAGGAGAAAAACTTACAAAGGTGCCTCTTGGCCTGTTGACTCCTGCAAAACCAGAGTATTCTTTCTGTTCATGGTGGGTTTTGAACTCTTCATCTCTTTCCTTCTTGCAATCCTTTTCTTCTCGAGAACTGGATGAGGAAGAAGATGGGGAGGAAGATGGGGAGGACCGAGCACGGTCTTGGTCTCTTTTTTGTTTACTGAAAAATAAAAAAATATACTATGTGCTATTTTAAACGTACTAGATAGTCTGTAACATGCTATACTAAACCGGGTCTCTATATTTTATGCAAAACTAACCCCCTTCTGGTTATAAAGTCACACGTTACATATTTGACATATTAAGCAAAGTATATTTCCACTTTCCAGCCTTCTCTGACACATTTAAGTGCACTAAATGCATATTATTGCTGGTGAGTTGGAAAGCAGCAGTCTGCAAACTGTAAGATACAACTTTTCTAGATTCTGATGCCGTGAAGAGATGCTGTTAACTTTTAAGATCTGCCTTTCTTCTGAGGCAGAAAAGCAGAAGTTAAAGGGAAAAACCCCTCAAGGTAAAGTTTTACAGTAACTTGACACAGTTCAGTTTGCACACTGTTGAGAGGTATGGTATGGGCTTCCCTACATAGATGGCTGTAGGGAAATTAGCCAGTGGAAGAAAATGTGGATACCAAAGTCAAAGTAAGTGGGAAACAGGAGTGTAAGTAAAAATTCACTTTATATATATACAGTACAAAGCAGGGAAAAATTCCTACAGCAAGACTTTTAGTAGCCCCATAGTGACATTAACTTGACCCAATTTATAGGATTTTAGCATTTCATTCAAAGAAAGGTCATACCTGAAGTAACTCTTACCACTTCTACACAGTATCCACTGAGATATGCTAACATTTTTTTCTTAAAACAGCCCACTGGCTTTAGATAAATTTAGAAATTCCCCTTCTCACCCATGTTAAAACCTAAATATCAGTAAAATTCTCATACTCTGGGTGTTATGAGTTGAAAAAGTGCGGAATCAAGCATAACGAACCAAAGTTCTTACACAAACTGTTTATAGAAATGTACTGCATTGAAGTCCAACCTCCTGATGTAGCCTGGATAATAGGACAGATTAATTTGTCATTTTTTTTTTCAGTGTTAGCTTGCTATTCCAAAGTTTTTGTCCTCATCCACCATAAGCCGTGTAAAAGACAGATAATACATATTTGCTGTAAAACAAATAATTTTAATTGTTTAAAATTAAATGATCCATTATACATTGAAAATTGAAAGCAATTAAGCTTACAATTACAAAAGGCTAATTAGAAGCTAATATCCTCTACAGGGACATCAAATATTTACCTGTCATCTTTGTAAGATTTGTAATCCTTGTAATCTTTTGGAGCTTTCTCTTGCTTTCTTGACCCACTGGATTCCCTGGAACCCTTTGAGTCTCCTCGCTCTTTACTTCGTTCTTTTCTACGCCGGTCAATGTCATGCCGAAGATCAGCAGAATCACACCTTAATTTTTTATCTCCCTGTAAACAAATATATATTTTGCAACAAAATATTGAAATAAAACATCAAGAGAATCTCAGTGAAAAGGCAAGCTGTGCGTCAATTTAAATATAAAAAGACAGAATTTATCTATTTTTCAACAAACTTCAGCACACAAACAGACTTTGCCCTTTACATGCAATGGCTACATCTAAAAAAAGAACAGCTAAGAATTTCAGTCTCAAACAAGCATTCCCATCAAGCCAATTGGTGCCTAGTTTTTGGTGATACAGACAACAACAATACATGGCTTGAAGAGATAATTAAGTATTCATTTCCTCTGGTGAATTGTTTTTAAACAGAGTACAACCATCTTTGAGTTCAACCACACTACTCACTGACCATCTTGGTACTTCCCTCTGCCCCAAACCTATTCTTTGTTCTTGGACAGCTTACTGGTCAAAAAACATGCAAGAAGAAAGGAAGCATGGCAAAATACTTGACCTTATGTGTCATGTTATTAATATAGCAAAATCACACTACATAAACCAGCTTCTTGGTAACATGTTTTACTCAACGGAAAAAAAATTCTAAATGCAAGTACGGTAGGTACAATAAATACAATTTTGTATTTTTATACAGAAAACCAGAGATGAAGTTGAGATTTAAAATGAGACTAAGTTTAGAAGCACAGATAGGACATTTACTTAGAACCTACTTTTTGACTTTCTTCCTTAAAGACTCTCTCTTCACCCGTTAAACGGGTATGCTTCCTCAGGGTACTTGGAGAGATGTCAATCCTCCTAAATGTAAAATAAAAGCAGTGTCTTGCCATACATGTACGTGACTGTTAACAGCATCAGACATTTCATTTCAAGAGAAAATTGACAAACCAGGCATTTCTGCAGTAGAATAAACTTTTTGCATTATTAAACCTCACCATCAGAAGCAGACTAAAAATGCATCACAGCAGACTATAAATGAATCACAGTTCGGTTTTGTGTAAAGTACGCTAAAAACACAAATACAGAAAACAGGCAGACTGGTGTTTCACATTTTAAGTACAGCTTGGAAGACAGAAAAAATGTTTAATTATTTATTTCCAAAGGACCAGTATATGTAGCCAGTTGAAAGCCCACTCCCTCCAAGAAACATCAGCACTATGATAGTTTAAAGTCTGTAAAGATGCTGTAAAGTCAAAAGTTTCTTAACAAGAAAAACTGTGAAGTTAGATACTGTATCCTCACATGCAACACAAATATAGTACACTGCATCATAAAACTAGAGCACATGATCAGACACTACATCTGCATGCCTACCTTCTTACCTTTTAGATTCTCAGATTTTTCAAAAAACTGCTGTAAATTAACACACACAAAAACTAAAGTAGTATGAGATGGAACATTTCACACTGAAGAAGAAAGATGCATGTACAGGGCTTCTTTTCATCTTCAAGACATATGCCCCTCAATATTTGAGCACTGCATGTGAGAGAAGTAAATATATCCCAAATGAGATACAGAGGTAGAGAAGACATCTGTTACAAAACCACAGATGAAGCCAGACCTGACTAAGATGAGTTCTCTTTTACAGAAGGGTTTTGGGGTTTTTTTATATTTTGTAATTATACAAATTACCTTATCCAGATTAGAAAAAGTATTTTGGGTTCTCAAAAGAAATATTAGAAGACATTATTTGAAACACAAAGCATCTGCATATGCAGTTAACGTATACCTATGTATTTCTGGGCTCTTTTGTCGGGTGCAGTGCTCTTCAGTTGCTTTTTGATATGCAGTGAACCTCTCATTTAGGGTCATTCCAGCCGACTTGAAGTATTGCTCTGTTGGTTACAATAGAAAAAGCACTGTTTCATTAGCTTCATTCAACTGACACATATTCTACTCCTGACAGAAAGGCAAGTAGCAGGCAAAACCTACAGTACTTTCAATAAATTTATCAGGACAAGCAAATGTGACGTTTTCCCTATTTTTACACACACTGTAACCCAAACAAAATAACAGTGCACAGCATCACTGCAAGTCTACTATGCCATGATTATATCACATTTAATCCAAGCATCATTTACTGATTGGACTTGCTCATTTTCAGAGACGTTTTCCTCTAATGATAAAGAGCAATTTCTTAAACTATTATTTCATGCTTTGCGCACAAGAGAAAGTGAAATTACTTTTGAGACCTTAATATTTGCAGCAAGTACACTTTACCATTTATCTCATCTCATCTCTAATTTAAAATACGAATTAGTGAAAACATTTAAGTAATGTACACTTCAATAACTACATGAATGACCTAACAACTCTTTTCTTAAAGGAATACAATTTCTTGATTGGGTGATGATAAACAATACAATTAACACACCTATGGCATAAATAAACTCATTTAAGCATCTGGCATCTTGGCAAACTTGACAACTCCTCTGACAAATTTTCTCTTTCCTTCAAATACAATTAAATTAGCCACAGCAAAACTCAGTTTTTAAATCAGCTCAACAAATGTGTTTAAATGTAATATAGAAATACATAAAAGTCATGAGCTATGAAATGTTACATATGAAGCAAGCTATCTGCTTAACAGGTCAACATACATCTGTATCAACTTACCGCCCAGCATCCAGCATTTGTCTCATAACCAACCATTAAAACTTGAAACGGCCACTACAAGGGTAGTGCCTCAATCATAATTCCATCAAACACAGGAATTTGAGCTAGTAATTCTGTTTTTATGCCATTTTTGCCAGGAAGACAGAAGGTTCAACTTTGCCTGTTTGGCATCTGTATCTTTCAACAGCTATTTTACTTTTGTAACATGGATTTTGCCATTTCAAAACACATTCCAGGACCTAGTTACAATGAAAAAGAAAACATCACTGGGCATTTTCAGCTCTACATTAATAAAGAGCTGTTCAGACTGGTCGCATCACACCAATAATGAACATAACTTTAGTTTGTCAAAAAAGTTACAAAAATTCTGATCACAGACCACAGTAAATCTGAAACTTAAAGAGATGTTCTGCTTTCAAAAATAACCATAACAGTACATATTCTAGTAATTTGACCAGACAGGCTGTTAAATTTATAATATATTTAACATACAAAAATTTACAGAAAAAGTCTATTCTGTGATCAACATGTGAGAGTTCCGCAAGTACTATTTTCACCTACAGCTACATATGTATCATATAAGCAAAAAATTTTCAGAAGCTCCCACTGGATTGAGTCTTATAGTTCTTTACACATCAATAAATAGATATGTTCACAACAAATCATTATACACCCAACAGGTATCCCAATTTTTTTAACTAATACATTATTGTAGTCCCTTATCGTTGACTATTACTAGGTAAGTAAATAAATATGAAGGAAATAACTTGGCTTTAGTAATCTGAATTACGTCAATAAAATCGAGATTTTTAACTGAACTCAGCACATAGTTCTAGCACACAAATCTCAGCAATTTTAGCAGGCAATGCATCTTAAAAACAATGCTTACAGACAGGTTCACTGAAACTGGTAATTAAGCATTTCCACTTTTCCCTTTACTGTGGTGATATGGCAAAATTACTTTCACCAGCTTTGTCTTATCTCAGTTACATTTAACAAAACAGCAAGACAACAGTCCAGTGAAATAAAGCAAATGCTAGAGAAAAAAAAAAAAACAACATTCAAAGAACACTCCCCAGGGGATTTTAGGAATTATCTATTGTCCCATAAAAAAACTTAAGAGGATATGACCTAACTGAAACATATCTACTTTGATGTATCATATGGTCCAGGTTTGGATTTCAGTGGTTTTGGGGGAGGGCTTTTGTTCTGCTTAGTTTGTTGAGGGTTCTTCTTGGTGTTTATAGAAAATAGCCACTACTGTTATATCAGAAAACAATTACTGTATAACTCATTTAATGGAGGTTTATTTAGCCACTGCCAAGTTTGTGCAAATGCAATTCCTGAAACTATTATCATATAGGAATAAAACACATTATAGCCATGAACTTTATTACCATTTAGAATACAATTTTTATTAAATCTGAGAAAAATAAACCAAAAAAACCCAAAAAAACCCCCAAAACAAACAAACAAAAAAAAACACCACACAAAAAAACCCAAAACAAAACAAAAAACCAACCAAACAAACAAAAACCCACAAAAAAACCCCACCTTCTAATAAGAATCTGGAAATGACCTCTAGAGTACTCCAAAAGGAGTTATTTACAGTCCATTGTTATTTACAGTCCAAAGACATCTCTCAACCCACATCACAACATTTAATATAAAATTGTATGGTAAACTCATTAAAATAAAATTAGAAAAACTGACCAGTGTATGTTTAAAGTACACTGAAGAAATTCAAACTTTCTATGCTACCTAGGATCAAAAATTTATCCAGAAACATAGAATACCTGCTATTATACTCTACACTGCTTGTGGGTTTTTTGTCCTAGTTTCTGTGACCATTATTGTTCTAATTATTTTCATGCATACCTCAACAGGAAGGAAGTCTGCATAAATCACAACATTAGAAAAGGTTTGAAATCTTCCCGTACTAGAAATGGCAAACAGACTTAAATGATCTTGTCAAACACATATCTGGTAAAATAAATGAAACACATACCTTTGACATGGTGAACCAAGGACACAATGTGCTGAATAAATGACTCTGATGTGCTTTTGCTGGCCTGTGGCAACTTAATGTGGTCAAAGATGGATCGGAACTCTTGCTCCTTCTTGACGGAATGGACAAGTGTGCTAGCAAGCAGCCTGTCTTTAGTCAAGGAAGCAGGTCTAAAATGCATCAACAACAAAGAAACCACTCGTTTAAATAAATACGAACAACACTGCAGGCAAGTGGAGAGCCACACTGTAAAGTGGAATAATTTACCTATTGGAATCATCAAGAGGTACTGGTGCCATTTTGAGTTTAACTTCAGGACGATGGGAGTCACTGGCTATCATTTTGATCCTAAGTGGGCTCTCCTCTCTGAAGGTGGATTTTTCTCTCGCATCCAGATTCTTGTGTAGAGGAGGACTGTAATCAAAGAGTTCTTTGAGCTTTTCAGACTTTACCTGCTCAGGTGACTGAGTTTCTTTCTTCATCATTAGTCTCTCAGAATTCTTGTCTTCTTCCTTGTGCTTATCTTTTGTTGCACTAGGCCTTTCCACTACATAGCCAGTCTCTTTAAGCTTATAACTTTTCTCATCTCTAAATCCATCGCTCTCTCTATTGCCCTTGATTGATATTTTAGATTTGTATTTGGTTCCTTCCTCCTCAGCATTCCGGTGAGATGTAGTAGGAAAATTTTTACCCTGATCTGCCAGGACAGATTTTCTGAACTGTCTGTAATCCTCTGTCTCCTCTGCGTCCTCCCCTTCAGAGTCATTAAACTTTTCCTTCCCAGTCTCTTTATCAACAAAAAAATCTAAAGTTTCCTGTTCCTCCCATTCCCTTTCTCCCTCTGTCCTCCCTTTTTCTGATCCTCTCTCCTTCTGGGCCTCCTTCTCCCTGGTATTACCCCTATCAAGCAGGTATACTCTAGACTCTTCATCTGTGTACCTGTGGATAGCAAAGAAGAGACTGGTAACTCTGGATTGCATTCACTCCAGTTCACTCGCATTCCCCTTTTGTGTCAATTCCACACCAAAAGAAGATGAACATACATTCCTCTGAGCAATTAACTTTAGCATGCAATGCTTAGCACACCATTAACACTGTATACACTGTCATTTATGCACTAATGGAGGCATCTGAAGAATATAATGCCTTTCTGTAGAATGCCTAGAAATTTACTTGCTTGTTTTCTTAATCAGTACCCAGTTTCATATTCTCTCTCATTACACTAGTAATTTTTTCCATCAAATTTCCATCAAATTCCATCAAATTCAAATGGTTTTTAAACTCAGACTGCAATTCATTTTTGCACTTCTTTTACTGAAAGAGTTGAAGTAATGGCATAAAAAAGTGAATTCTTTTCAAGATCCTGCACATTACTAAGATAATTCCACAATCTGGCACAGGTTTAGTGCATTCACTATACTGTGCTCAAGCAGGGAACCATTAGAAGGCAGCTCTCCTAAACACAGAAACACACCAATTAATTATTCCAGTCACTGCCTTATCTGTATGCTACGTTCACACAGGTTCTAATACGTTCACCAACTCCAACACATCTAATGCAAGTTGTATTTTTGATCTCCTAAGCAGCCATTTTTTTACATAATAAAGCACTGACTAGACAAATTAATTTAAAAGCCCACAATCAAGCCTATATAGCATAGTCACAACTTCTCTAACTCTTTTTGTAAGAAATCCACTGAAACACCAGTCACATTCAAAAGGAACAGTCTAACATCAGTATGGCTTTAACAACTTTCAAAAATTACTACTATGTCAACCTTGTTAAGAACAAATTGAAGAATTTTACATTCATTGGAATATATACACTGAACTTCCTTCATCAACATCAACAGCATTATATTCCTAGAATACCAACACCTACCCTCTTTGATAAGTAATGCAATTCAAGACATCGAAGTTTCATACTGCACCACACAATTAGCTAATTGATGCTGTTTATGTCAACATAAAGAAACTATTGCACAACACTGACATTTCTGCACTTCCAGAATACTTGCATTTCAAACTACACAAAGTATTAAAATTCTGAAATACCTGAACAGAGTTCACTATCAAGCCAGCAAGTCTGATGCACTATTCTAATTAAGATTTTTCATAATAGCAAAAAACTGACAATAAACCATAGAGGAAAAGCATAAATCAATTCCTTCTCAAGGATACTTGAGTCTGTACTACCCAGTATCCAAGGCCTTGAAGCATCCTAGCAGGAAAAGGCATATGTATCTTTCAAGCACAATTCCAACTGGACTAGTATTACTAGTCTTCCACAATGCATTTTCCAAGGTTATGGTAATGATCTTGATGAAACTCTAACAATATTTTTAAGAGGCAGCAGTAGGCTTATAATTTGGTTCTTACCTTTTCATAAACTTTCCACCTTTTGCAGTTTCCTGTTCACCACCCTCAGGATAAAACGAGCGCACTCGAGCCTCCTCACGGGGGGCACTCTGTGATGGGATTGTCTTTGCAGGGCTTCTCCTCGAAGGGATATGATGCAATGGGCTATTCTGAGAAGGACTATAGCGGCTAGAACCATTTCCAAGAGAACCAGAGCCAGATCTCTCAGGACTATGCTGAATGGAATGGGAATGCTGAGGTGTGTCCTTTGCTGAGTGGGCTGTGCTAAGCAGAGGGGCATCAGAGCAAGACGAACTCTGACTAGGTGGGGTGGCAATAGAAGGACTATGGGGTGACCTTGGACTGTTATCATACGCTGAAAGGCCAGGCCAAATGTCGCCAGAAGCTGCTGATGATTTGTTAAAATCGTCAAGAGGCTCTGATGGGTCGTGTTCAAATGTATCTTTCTGTTCATCTTGTGATTTATTTTTCATGGGACTGTCTTGCAAAGGAGCCCCTTCCGTTTTCTTTGCCTGCTTTTCCAGAGATGCGCGTCTTTTGGAAGAGACGGGTGATTTGCTGTATGGGGATGAAGAACGAGATGAAGAGGACCTGGGGGACCTGGAAGATCTGTAAGATCGACGAGACCTGCTCCGGGACCTCTGGGAAGACACCGACCTTCGTTTTGGACTTCTGGAACGGGAGCGGCCACGCCTAGGGCTTCTGGAGTGTCTTCGGTTCCAAACAGGCCTATAGCCTCCACGATGGTATCTACCACCTCCTCCTTGGTAATACCCTCTACCTCTTCCTCTGTAACCATAGGGACGTCTCATTCCTCTATTATTTCTGTAATCTCTGCGATAATCTCTAGAATAAACACGATCTCTGCTTCGAGATCGGGAATACGTCCTTGACCGAGACCTGGAACTAAAATTAAAAATCAAACATTAATATTTTACAACTGGAAAACCTGAGGAAAAAAAAAGAAAAGAAAAAGAAGTGTCTTGATGCAAAATGCTAGATTTCTCAAAATGCAGTCAGAAGGTAAAGGATGCAGACTCCCGGTCTTTAAGTAACTTCTACAATCTCTCTTTATTTATTATTTCTGAAATAAATTAATTATAATAAGCACGTCTATACTGCTAAGGACTGTGAAACCTGGCATCATGCAGTTAAGACACTACCAGCCTCACTGGTCTCCCCAGACATTTCATTAGAGATCATCACCTCTCTGGAACACAGCATCCAGTTTCTCAGCCACCACAGTTCAGTGTAATATGCCAGCCTGTGCATGGCACCAGCTGAGGCAGTAAATTCAACTGACCCACTCCTTATAGGAGATGGTAATGTCCACTAATAAGTAAGATGAAGAAAACACTGGAGGCAACTGAGAAGACAAAATAAAGCTTATTTACTGAAGCCTTAAGTTACTTCAAATATGAAAAGTTTAATGAGAAATAAAAAATTACAGGGAAAGCGACTAGATAAAGAAAACATCATGTAAAGCAGAAGGGAAGAATCAAACGGTCCAGAAAATGTGAAGAACCACTACCATTCTGAAGTTATCCTGAGATACAGGAAAAGGGGGAGAAAAAATCAAACAGAAACTACATTCAAAGCATAGTTTACCTACTGCCTAAAATGAAATAGGATTCCAGGCTCACTTCTGCCACAGCATCATGCAAGTGAAAACCATTTCATGGACAAAAACTAATACACCAAATCACCTTTTCATGCAGTAAGACTTACCTGTATCTCTTTTTTCTTGAATGTGATCTGGATCTTGACCTAGAGCTGGACTGAGATCTGGACTTCGATCTTGACGAATGTGATCTAGAATTAGATCGACCCATTTTTGCTAGTAGATCTATTCCTTCCCAAAAGTAAAAGCAATGAGAGGGGGAAAAAATAGAAGCAACCATTTAGTATCCATGTAAATGATATAAATGAACAAAATTTGCATCTACTAAAATGACACTATTAGAAAGTAGTATAGCATTAGCTAAACAAAAGAGCTTTGAAGACAATGTAAGTACATTTATTAGTAAATTTAAAACTTAACCACATTTTAAAGAATTTAACATTGCTTCAGTGCACACAATTTCTCTGAAAACACGAAGTGTAACAGTAAAGGTTTTTTCCAGATTCAACTGCAGACAGATCCTGTAGGAGAAAGGAAGCAGCAGAAAATGAAACATTTCTGCAAATTAAGGCAAGAATAATGTAACTCCAGACATCTTAATATATCGTAACAAAATTCTAGCTATTGTGTGGTTTATACTTCTCTTGCATTTCCAATGCACTGCTCCTTCTCCAGGAGGAGCTCACAGTCCTCTACAATGCAACACTCACATGAGCAAAGAAAAAGCCCTGAAGTATTTGGTCTAGCAGTTGTTAATTTGACCCACAGGCATTATTTCTTTTAACCATATGTACTAAAGCTCATCACTCTTGATCTGAATTTCCACTGCTCAAGATGACCATGCTGCATCTTTTTAGATTAACTTAGCTTTTTAACCTACATGCAAAATACACAGCTAACTTAAAGATTTTGACAACTGGTTGAACAATATGGCTTGCAACAAGATTCAACACGCTTCAGTACAAATTAAGCTATGAAAACTACAACTGATTATAAATCAATGACAACTAAAAGAAAGTAATTCATAATAAACTATAATTTCTTCTGATGTACAGTCATAACAGATATTTAGAATTAGTGCTAACCATAAAAAAATACACACCTTTTCCTTTTCTTTTCGGATCAGTGGCTAAAAATCCCCAATTTAATTAATAAAAACTTTGACCCATTACCATTTTCTTTTGAAATTGCCCAGCTTTAAAAAAAAAAACAAAAAACAAGTGTCACATTAGACAACCTGAATAAAAGCTATGAACAAGTAACTAGACATTTTCAAGCCTCTGAATGCTCAATTATCATAGTTTAATAATAAAATTAAAACAGAAACTGAAAAAATCAAACATTTACTGCTTGTATTGCAAACAGGCTTTAAAGCCTAAAATTACTGTATCAAAAATTCTAGCTCAACACAACAAGCACTTTTGCTTATATAGTCTCTCATTACCTTGGTAAGATTACCGGTATTTCAATTATGTTAAGATAAAAACAACATTAGAGTTTAAATTAAAGTTACCAAAATTATAGAGACTTTAGACACATCTAAGAGAGCCCAAAAGAGAAAAGTAGATTAACTTTTCTCCTATCAACTGGTTCCTCCTGCCCCATATGGCCTTCTCCATGAGAGTTTGCATGGCCTAAGAGATGTAACCTCATCTGAAATGAGCCCAGCAAAAACCAAACTTAAAGCAGACTTCCATGTAACTCAGAAAAAACTATTTACCTTGGCGAAGAAGAGTATGTTGAATGCTCTTTTTTATTGACTCCTTCCACTAAAAAGCAAGTTTGCAGAACCTATACTCTGAAGATATTTTCTAATTCATTGAATTCAATTAAACTTACAGAAAATGGCTTGTAATCTGTTACAATACTCACAGGCAACATAAATTTAGACCTTTTAAACTGTTTAAGACATGCCAATTTTCCAAGAGCGACAGAAAACAAAAGCTGGTGGGGTTTTTTTTTCTGTTACAAGTAATTATTAAACCAAGCATCAGATGCACAATGTTTATAATATAACTCTTATAATATACTCTGTTACAATTATTAAACCAAGCATCAGATGCACAATGTTTATAATATAACTCTTATAATATAACTCAATTTAAAAATTATTTGCATTCTATGTATGACAAGTACAGTTGATCTTTACAAGACAGTTTTATATACTGTAGCTTCTTATGCAAGCATAAAATTTAGGAAGGCAAAACAAGATTTAATTTTCAATAGCTGAGTTCAATCAGAACATTTAAAATGGACTTAAGCTAAACTTACCTCAAACTGTTAGTTGGTGTCAATGAAGAAACTATTTCAAACCTCTGTATTTGTGCTTTCAGCAACACTGAGTCCTACAGAACAAAAAGTGAGACTGTCAAAGACACAAACATTTGCTAAAAGGAAGCACCTTTTTGCTTAAACAGGTTCAAACATTAATCTCATGAAAAGACAATACAAAAGAAATAGCAAATTTACTCTTGGACTCAGTGATGCTGCACACCAAGACTGGAGCAGCTCAAGAGCCAGCCACTGCCAAGTGGCAAATCCCTTTCCATGTATGACCACTCCTTCCTCAGCCCTGGTAACAGGGCTGTGTAACACATTATCCTCACCTTCACAGCAGCCCTGACAGCCTTCATTCAGGTCCTCCAGTGACCAGCTCTTGATACCTAGAAACCACTTTCATTTAACTAGGTTATCCATGTGGCTTAATGAAGGGCCAAACTGAGCTGGACTGTGGAGCAAATAACAGCATGCAGCCAGAGAGAGGGAGGCAAAAAGGACAGAGGCAAACTTTTAGATCAGTCCGAGCTCTAGCACACAGCTCTGCACTTCACTAGAGCTACGATTACTGGGGAAAAAAATGGGGATGAGAACTCTGGCCAATGGTGAAAGCTTTATCTTTAGGGTTCTCTTGCAATATTTAAAGAAACATTACTCTGGTATAACTTCTAGTTTAAAATGCATACATGTATCATTTCACCTAAAGAGCGAGCATCTTCAAGAACCAGCTCTTCCACAGTTACACAGAAAGGAAGCATAACTGTAATAACACAGCCAGTCTCACAGGTGTGAATTCTTCACTGGCCTCAGCTTTTCATTACCTCCAAGCCTTAAGACTATGTACACCTGTAGACCAACCCAACATGAAACACACTTTTCAATTCCACTCAAGCAACAAAACAGGGATTTTATCCCAGTTCTCCACAGACAAGCTGGATCTTCAGAAATTCTGCAGCTCAACAATTCAATTTATGAAATCCAAAGGCATAAGACATTGACTGCTCCTAAAGGACATTTCCACACCTGTTCATAGGTGTTTTCTTCATCTAAAAGAAGAAATGTAGCATTTGTGTTCATAAACACTGCTTTCAAAAGTCCACTTACCATTCACTAGTAGTGACCAAGATATTTCCAATTTCTACAAAACATATGCTTTATTAAGATTAAGTTTTTACTTCTCATCATCAGCAAGCATGAGTCTCCGAAGGAGCACAGTAGTGTATCGGACCATTTCAGATTTTGTCTAGACAAAAGGCGAGATGGTATTAGCCAGTAAAGGGTAACGAAGGCATTCAGAAGTCTAGTACAGAAAAAGCAATACAAACTTCAAGTTCAGGCTGGTATGTTAAATGAATACTTATATAACCTATGTTTCTGACTTAAAACTGGTGTTAGCTGAAATCCCAAACCCTAATTCAGGTAAGTCTTTAGATCCTGGGGATATATAGCAAGATAGCTGCTTCACTTTTAAAACCACTAAGTAGAAGGCAGGATCTTACATTACCATAACTCCAACTCTGGTTGTGACTTCTGCAGTCTTAGAAATATTTTCTAGTAACTGGCAAAAATGAAAAGTAGCCATACTTCTCTGTTTTTAAACAACACATTAGCTATACCACATCCAACCCTGGCAGTTGAAACATACCTGCTACCCTTTTCTCATTTAGGTTTTTTAAGATGAATATGGATACAATGCTTTAAAAAAAAAGAACTTCTAATAAAAAACCTTAACTACTGAATAAAAAACATTTTACTATTTGCAGCTTTTGCTTCCATTTAGTTGTAATAGGGAAAACCGTGACACACAAGACCCACTAATCCAAACAACACACAGGACCAGAAGTGAAAAGACTACATAGCTGAGGTTTTTTTGTCCATGTAAATATTCTCACAATAAGCAAGAATCTAAAATTTTATTAACCTTTATTAAAGCTGATTTAGAAAATAACTGAGGTAGTACCAGAAGTATTTAGGAAAACAGCTGTCTGTGACAGTTAGCTCCTTCACAGAAAAATACCCATCCTCAGAGCACCACGGCTACAACATCCTGGTTCACAGCAGCACATGAAATCACCCACAGCCTCTTCCTGCTCATGGCAGGCTGGAGTGGCTACACCACGTCAAATAAGGGCACAGTAAAGGGCAATAAAAAGAGGTCAAAGCATCATTTGTTGCTCTGTCAGAAGAGGCCCCCGCTCGGCCAAAGGTGTGCATCAACAACGTGAAAAGGTGTCATCACGATCACCCAGCATTTTTAAGAGAGGACCACAACTGCTAGGAACATGGCCTGTGCATGAAACACCAGGGCTGTAATCCACACACTTCTTTTTCCTCACTTTCCACCCTACATAATTGAAAGGAGATGCTTGGCTCTCAACCATTTCACTGCCATGTTAAACAAATGTGGATTTTACAAAGGAAGCTGCTGCAGCTCCACAGAATAAGGTGGCTCTGCTAGTTTAAAGAAACAGTCCCATCTCTCCTGTCCTGTGTTTCCTCACATTCCTGATGATCTCTCCTATGCCAGTCTAAGTATTTCTGCACCCACATACTGGATCACTTTCAATACAACTTTTTTTTTTTTTTTTTAAATTTGGTTCATTACACAGCCCACAAACACTTAGGCCAACACAAGGAAATTGAAATAGCAGCCGGGCAGGACTGCTTCTTTTGGCAGCACCACAAACTTAAACCTTCCCTGAAACCAGCTTGGCACAGCCTCGAGAAGCAACAAACTTGGTGGTATTTAAGATTTTTAACAATACTTGCAAGCAGCTTTAAGAATAAAAACCAAAGCAACAAAAACCCCACAAACAAACAAAAAACCTCAACAAAATAAACACATACATCTAAAGTCAAAATAACTGAAACCAAACACACCCAAACAACCAAGACTTAACGCAGAAACTACGTTTTCCAAAAATTGGCTAGTCCACCATCTGTCAGTTATTGAATCACATCCAGATAAGTTTCTTAATGAAAAAAACAACAGGATCTTTGTGTTGTACATCTTGTTTTTGCTTGATGGTCGCATTTGCTGGCCAAGATTGATTGAAGACACCCAATCAGGCTTATCCCATCACAAGCAACACAATAAGAAAGCAAGTGACACTGTCAGCATTTGCTATATTTAATAAAAAATAAAAAGGACAAGGAAAATGGTAATCAATTCCTTTTATATAGTATTTTAGGAGTCCTCACTACACCGCTGATGTTGGAGTTTTGTCAGAGTACACAGACTGTAGATACAACACATCTCTCAAGCTGTTTAACAAGTTATACATCACATGGAAGTTTAAGACATTGTAGGACAGTTATACCCACTTACACTAGCAAAACACTGCTTCCTCTTAGATCCATTACTTTAGCTACCCTTCCTTTACAGCTGTTTAGTAGTCTGTATTTCTCTTGCTTAAAACATTAGTTGAGAGCTGTCAGGTAGATTTAAATAAAAATCTTGTTTAAGTAATTCGCAAGCTGTTGCCAAAATGCGTTTTCATTCAGAGATTCAGGCTTCAAAAGACGGGACGATTATACAACCATGACAACACAAAAGTCTTCATAAAATTCCACAGAATTTGTAATAGTTTCTCATAATACACCCACAGAAATAAAGGAAGTCAGTCTTAATGAGACAGCACTGTAAGTCATCTATTCAATGCTTGCACATCTGCTGTGCTTTCTTATCCACTCTCTATCCCCCCTTTTTTTTAATGTCCACAACTCTAGCAGTGGCACATCACACATAATAATAGAATGCATTTCACAGTCACTTACACCCATCCTACTTAGATCAGCGGTGACTTGGATTCCTTCAAATAGTAAAATTCCATGGCAAATTTGCCCAAACTATCTTGTTATATACAAACAAGAGGTGGGAAGTCCTACTTCGTATGTCGGAAATATAATGGAAACAGTAAAACACACAAAGGCTTTTTTCCCCCCAACTCATTAATTCCTATACAGAAAATAACACAAAATATTTGTAAATGAAGTCAAAACCCAGCAGCATCCTAGTAACATCAAAATCACCTCTGCAAAACTGTCATATGATTGTTAGCTGTCTTTTATGTAATACTAATGGCAAACAAAACCATGTTTCTTCTCTAACTAGAAAAACAAAGAAACCAAAGTGACTGAGAAATGGTTCCACACACAAAAAGGAATTAGCATGCTTTTGGACACACACAGTTTTGGACAGCCTTTGTTATCTTTGTGTGTGTGTTTTATACACCGTGTTTTCATATGCCCTTACACCACGGTCTCCCCAGTCTCTGCTATGAACTACACAAATTGCTGCTGCAGAAAAGGCAATCTTCCCACCCTCATTTGTTCCAAGGCTGACACCCTCAGAGGTGCTTGGAGGGCTGCAGCAGTGATCCATAAGAAAACTACTCTGGACAAAAGCTGCCTTTTCAGGCACATCACCTCCCAGATCCCATTTACCACAAAGCTGCACGGGGCCAGGGCCAGCACAATGAAAAGCAAGCAACGCGCTTTTCCCGAATACCTTTGGGAGAAACTCTCACACAGACAAACAGAGCACTTGCTTCAGCAGCTTTCTTCACCTACCTCTGCTACCTGTAAACAAACCGCAAATGTTCTCTGGCATTCCACAAACCCTTACAGCACTACCTCTCCTTGACAACCAGCCTGAACATAATCCATCCGAATATCTGCACCCTAGCTCCAAACAGCTCCCTGCTGATTTTTTTTCTACATTCCTACGACTATTTCAAGTTTTCTGCATTCTCTTCTTCATGGCACGTGCTCCTACCTCCTGCCCCCAGGATTCTGCCAGCCCCAGCCCCACCTGAGCTGCTCCCCACAGGCTGGCACGCTGAAGCCTTGCCCAGGACAGCGGCACTCCAGCTCCGAGCACCGACAGACGTAACACCGGACCTGGGCCGGCCATTAAGCACAGCCCGTCACTCAACATCAAAAGCGACAAGTGGGAGGATGCAATTCTTACTTTCCCTGACACAAGACAGATGCAAGCCTGAAGCACACCTCAGTGCCAAAACCATTACCCCGTCCTCATTTTCCTCGCTTTTGTCCAAAACAACGTGATTATCAGAGAGGAGGACGAGGAGGAGGGAGGAGAAAAGCAGCTAGACAGCATCTTCCTGCAACTCCACGCTGTTTAACTAATCCCTCCCACACCAAGAACAACTATTCTACGTGATATTTTTATACATTGCATTGCTTAAGCAGTGACTACTCGCAGAGTCAGGAGCACCTTTGTTTTGCATGCCCTCACGTCTTCCTGTAGTAAAATTTAACTGTTCCTCTGAGGACAAAACTTTGATCGCCGAGATAAACAAGTGATGGGTTGTAGCGACTTCGTAAAGGATCAACATGAAACACAAAACAAGAGCCTGATTTTCACAGAATTAAAGGCGAAAAGTAGGGGGTTTACAAAGCAAAGGGGAAATAACGGGAATGATCCTGCAATGGTTGCACAGTACAGCACAATCAAGACTGGCAACACAATAGACCCTTTCAGCGAGGGGCATAAAACCCACGGCGGTCCCTCACGGGGTTTTGCGGGCATCTGCAATCAGGGCAGGAGAGGCGCAGGGAGGCGTGGGGTACCTCAGGCACCGGCGCCTGAACCACAGCCATGCCCGAAGGGAAGTTCCTCCAGCCACCGTAAAGGCTGATCCAGCACCGGGAACCATCCTTTCTCTCCGGCACCGTTTCCCTCAGCGTCACACCCACAATGATAACGGGCAAATTTAACATTCCCGTAACCAGCGCTGTGCCACCCCATCCCCTCGGGCCTTCCCGCCTCCCCCGGAGAGGCCCACAGCCAAAGGCCGCGCACCCGGGGCGCACGCCCAACGGGGCCGGCCGGCCGCCCACTCCCCACAAACCCTACACCCCCATCCCGCCAGGCTTCCAGGAGCGCCAAGGCAGCTCCGCTGCCGCCTCCCACCGCCCCTTCCCCTTCTACCTTCGCTTCCCGGGGCGCAGGGAGGAACGGCACCGGCTCGGTCCGGCTCCCGCGGGAAGCAGCGGCCTACGTCAGGGCGGTGACGGCGACCGCCCGTTTCCGTCCCGTTCCGTCGGCGCTGGCGCGGGATAATCGGGATAATCGGGATAATGGCTGCGGAGCGCCGAGGTCACGCGGCGCGGGAAGGCGGGACGGCGCGGCGCGCGAGCACCGCGCGCTGGGGGGCGGGGCCGGGCCGGGCCGGGCTGCTCCCCTCAGGCTCCCCCCGCCATCTTCCCCCCAGCCCGGGGCCACCGCCCCGCCAAGCCTGCACGCAGCCCCTCTACCGCCGCCCTTCTCTCACCTGGCGGGCGGAACTCCCGGCAGCCCCGCTCCCTTATGGCAACCTGGCGGCCATTTTCCGTCTCGTCGGAGGAAGAGACGTGAAGCCCGCGGGGAAAAGCAAAAACCACCGAGAGGGGCGGGGGCCGCCGCCGCCGAAACGTCACTTCCGCTCTGGGCGGGGAAGCGCCAGCCCCGCGCTCAACGCCCGAGCGCCATCTTGGTTTCGGGTACCCGTCCGCAAGCAAGATGGCCGTGGGCGGTAGCCCGCCCCCCCGGGCTGTGCCCTGCCCCGCGCCCGGGGCTCCGCGTCCCGCCCGCCGCGGGCTCCGGCTCCCTCCGCACCGCCGCGGCTAAAAGCTGTCGCCTCGTATCCTCTCGTTCCCCAGAGGGCGGCCGGAGCAGCTCCCCCCGGCCGTTGCCTGGTTACCTGTGGGCGGGTGCGCGTCCGTGCGGAGGCGCCGCTCGGACGGGGCCGTGTGCGGAGCGCGGCCGGCGCAGGCAGCGGCTCGCACACAGCGGCGCTGGCGGGCGCTGCTCCGCGCCCCGGCAGCGAGATGGCGGTGCCGCGGCGCTTTGCTGCTGCAGCGCCCTTTGCTGCGGGCGGGCGGCCGTGACTTGGCTGCGACACAGCAGCGCCGCGTTCGGGGAGAGCGCGCCCGAGAGGTTTCTGTGCCGCCACGGAGATGCGGCCGAGGGCTGCGAGGCAGCAGCCTGGGAGTGATGCACGAAGCGCTGCGTGTGCGCTGGCCAAGTGCTGCAGCTCACAGAATCACACAGTGTTCTGAGCTGGAAGGGACCCATTTCGAGCCTAACTCTTAGCCGTGCACAGGGACAGTGCCAAGAATCACACCATTTACTTGAGAGCGTTGATGAGCAGTTCACACTTTTTGAATCTTACACGGCTGATTTATTTTTTTAGAAGGCTATTGTCTATTCTTTTTTGAGTCAAGAATCATAACCCGCAAAAAAAAAAAAAAAAAAAAAAAAAAAAAGAGGAAGGCACATGCCATTTTAACATGAGTTTTGTAAATTCTGGGGACAATGAGTGGGAGGCCGCCAGAAGCAATTGATGGAAGAAAAAGGCATAGAAGATGAGAAGAAGACATAATCCCCAAATGCTTTGCTGTTCCATGTGTAGGCAAAGTGATTTGCTGGTTAGGTCTGTTTATTGTGGCTATTAAGTTTTTTGAAATGTAGCCTTCTGTGGAGGCAGCAACCAGTGAGTAGTTGGTGCTGAAATAAAAACTGTGGTTAACTGATGAACAGTCAGCCTACAGAGAAGCAAATCCTCTCTCCTTTTAAGGTTTTCCTTTCTGCAGGGGTAGGGGTAATGGATGTGTGCCTCAAGTGCAGCACACATTGCTACAGCTTTTGCTGTAACCAACAATAAGGCACTTTTAATGAAGAGGCTCTTTGAGCTTTGATAAGGAACCTGTGAGAGAAGACAATTTGCCCGGGCCTATAAGGTTTTCAGAACAGGTTTTCCTGAGATTTGACTGCATTTAATACACCTATTTTTTAATGGTTCTGCAAATTGCTTTTGCAGGGACACCTTCCACTAGACTAGGTTGCTCCAAAGCCCATTCAGGCCTTGAGCAGTTCCACAGCTGATGCATCCACAGCTTCTCTGGGCAACCTGTGCCAGTGCCTTACCATTCCCACAGTAAGAATTTCTTCATAATATCTAAACTAAACCTACCCTCTTTCAGTTTAAAGCCATTGCCCCTTGTCCTGTCACTGCATGTCCCTGTAAAAAGTCACCCTCTGTCCCTCTTGTAGCCCCCTACCCATAGGTACTGGCAGGCTGCTGCACGATCTCAGAGCTCCCTCATCTCCTGAGCGAAGTACCCCAGCTCTGTCAGCCTGCCTTCACAGGAGAGGTGCTCCAGCCCTCTGGCCCTCTGGATTTGCTTGAGCAGGTCCATGTCCTTGTGCTGGGGCCCCGGAGCTGGACACAGCACAGCAGGTGGGGTCCTGCAGAGCAGAGCAAGGGGCAGAATCACCTCTCTCATCCTACTTCCATGCTGCTTGGGATGCAGCCCAGAACACGACTGGCTTTTTGTGCTGTGAGCTCTCATTGCTGGCTCATGTCTGACCTCTCATCCATCAGCACCTCCAAGTTCTTCTCCTCAGGGCTGCTCTCAATCCATTCTCTGCCAGCCTGTGCTCGTGCTTGGGATTGTCCAGGTGTAGAACCTTGCACTCCACCCTGTTGAACTTCATAAGGTTCATACAGGCCCACCTCAAGCCTGTCGTGGTCCCTTTGGATGGCATCCCTTCCCTCCAGTGTGCTGACTCAACTTGGTGTTGTTAGAAAACTTGCTGAGGGTGCACTCAATCCCGCTGGCACCAACAAAGATTTGTGGGACATAAGCTGATATAAGATACGTGGCGTTTGGGACAGAAAAACTTCTACTCTTTCAATCCTCTATTGTGTTTAAGATAACATGCTGTGTGCCCAGATGGAAAAACAAAATAGGTGTGCTGACTCAACTTGGTGTTGTTGGAAAACTTGCTGAGGGTGCACTCAATCCCACTGGCACCAATAAAGATTTGTGGAACATAAGCTGATATAAGATATGTGGCGTCTGTCTTACTGGGACAGAAAAACTTCTACTCTTTCAATTCTCTGTTGTGTTTAAGATAACATGCTGTGTGCCCAGATGGAAAAACAAAATATAATGTGAAACTTTTTTGAGAATATATTGTAGAGTGTTTCAGTTATATTTGCCTGATGGCAAATAATGCAAGTTTTGTTCACTCTTTGTCTTGCCAAGTGTGACATTTGAGCTATGGGCTATGTGATTCTTCAGTGGAGCGCCTTGGTAGCAAAAGCTTCAGGACAGGCACCTGTGCTTTGAAACACACCAAACCAGTCGTTTTCTAAGGGTCTTCACATGAAACACAACCTGACAGGTTTCCATCTCCTGTGACTCCATGACTTTCTGTGGTAATTTACCTTGTAAAATTTAATCTTCTTTTTATATGGTTTGACCAAACCTCTAAAGTACACGGGCACCTCTGAGCTGCCTTTGATGTTTTAGAGATACTATCTTTTGCTACAAAGCAATAAAAAATACCAAAAATATTTCCATTTATGTGCTTATTATTATCATAGGAGACATTAGCTCTGGGCACACAAACTGCTGCTTTATTTGAATACAGCAGCAGGCCAGAAAATTACAGTGAAATATAAAGCTCAAGACAATGGGAAAATACATAAAGACAAAGCATGACAATAATACTGTGTCACCACCGGCCCAAGCCAGACTCTTGATGGCTGTTACCAAGTGTTCTCACTGTTCAGTAAATTAGCTGACTGGTTGTACATCTTGTGAGCACCAGCACAGAAAGGAGGAATCAGTAGGAAACTCCACGGTTGATAGTCAGCAGTGAAATTGGATTGTCCGATCAGGGAATGCCGTTCCTAAGAGTTGCAAAAGGTAATGCAACCTCAGTTCAAAGAATATATTAGGAATGAAGAAACCCCAGAGTGAAATTGTCTTTAATATCTTCAAAAGCTGGAGCACAAGCTTGCACAAGTCAGTGGTTGTATTTACCATCTTTGGCCTGGTTCTTTACATGCAGCTGGTGCTTTACAACAGAGATTCACATCTGTAGCAGCTGCGTTTCCTTTTAAAACCTTGTTCAGTTTTACAACCTCTTTGAATGGATTTTGTCAATCCGTGAGTGGGACAAGGCCCAAGGGAGCTGTGTAAAGGAATGCTTCAGTAGATGGCACTCTCCCTCTGAAGGAGGATGGGCAAATACCTAAACCAAGGAATTAGATGCAGTGAGAACAGCTTCCTTTATACTCTACAGAAATCGCAGTGAATACACATAAAGCTCTGTCTAGCTATGCAATGAAGTAACTCCTGGCAGATTTTCACGAATTTGGATCTATCAAGTCCTCACATCTGGCTTCCTCCCTGCTTGAATGACTGTAGTCTGTTTATGTTCAGCTGAACTCCTCCTGATTCCTTAACAGTGAACACATACACACATGTATTTTTGTATATATTTTATGTATTTTGTGTATATATATGCACCTGTACCATATACACCATATAGACATTGGTGTATGTGTGTATATATACATATATAAAAGAGCTCAGTAGTAATGTAAGTTGCCCACATTAGACTCAGAGTTTACAATTGTTCTTTCACAATTTTTTTTTCAAATTCTTTATTTTATTCTATTATTCTGTTAGTGGTAGGTCCATTTTGAGAACTTAAGTCCTTTGATTTGTTGATAGTTTTCCGTTGCTATTTTATAGTCACAAAATTTCTTAGATCCAGTTAAAGAGTACTGAATTGGTACAAGTGAGGAGGCCTCAACTGCAGGTATGGAGGCAGTGAAGACCTTCTAGGCCTTAGGGAAGCTACGACCTTTTGAATCAAATCTGTTGCTAAACAAGCAGCAATGTACAGCCATCATGCATCTTTCTAAACTGTATAGCACTTTCCTCACCGCTGAACAGGAACGTGAGAAGAATGTGAAAAAAATGTGTATAAGACAAAGTTGCAATAAAAAAATTACATGGGACAAATTTATAAAAAACAAATTTAATTAGTTCAATTTCTTAAGAGTCTTAGATTCTTGAGTATAAAGTGAGTATATACTTTTAATTTCCTGCTTTTTAAGTACCTTTTTTCTTATTTGACTGGTACACAAGTCAAATACAACTACACAAATTCTCAATCACTGCCTCTCCCCTACACTCTGTAAAAATCCTGTCTCCATTGATTAAAACCACAGGGATAGCGGTATTTTAAAATCCAGACCCAGGAGCTAAAAGTTTACTACCATAGCTAAAATAAAGTTGACCTTTTTTTTCCCCCAATATTTATGTCAAAGCCTGAGGGTGTTTGGGGGCCTGATAGCATCCCTAGGTCATGTATGAAAGAGGAGTAGAGAGAGTATTTGTGTACATCTCTCCAGTGGCAAGCAACTTTTGATCAATCAAAAGTTATGCACCATTGCAAACTAGATGAGAGAATTTCTGTTAAAATAAGCAATTCAACTGGAATACTGCATAAAATGGTAGATTAATAAGTATATTTTTTTACATTTTCTAATTTTTGAGTCAAAACAAAACAAACCTGCTGTGCGTGTCAGGTGCTTAAGGGACTGTGCTCAAAAGCAGTATTTTCTGTCATTTGCAGAGAAGCTATATGCCAGATTAAATGTGCCAGTGCCTTACCAATGGCAGAGGAAGCTTTCTGCTGAAAATACTGTTTAGCTACAGAATCCATCTGTTTTTTTGGCAAATAGATTTAAACTTCCAAATGCATTTATACAGAATTCCAAACAGCCTTCACACAGTAAGGTTACTGCTTGGAAGTCTCTTTTGCACACAAACTGAATAGAAATGGTTTGGAGAGGCATTTTAACACTGTACAAAGGATCATATTTTTTTTTTTCCCTTGGAGACAAAAATCAAAATGTTGAGTGTGGGACATTTACTATTTGAAGCATGTTCTGTGAATAAAAGCAAAGATAGCAATAAAATAAAAATCAAAGGGTAAAAGCAAAAATAGTCTAACATTATTAAGGTACTACTATTTTTTTCATCTTCTGCAAACTTGAGCTGACATTTTTATTCAATTAATAAGGAAACTTATCAAGGTCATGAAACCAATCAATAACGTTTCATTTATAGCTTCAACCCTTATCTTTATAGCAGCTACTGTAATTTCAGAGTACGTTTGAAGATCCATAAACCAGCCTTCCACACTGGCTTTCAAGTATTTGTTTCAAATCAAAGAACAATTGCCTGAGTCATCAAAGTATGTATCAGGACACCTGAGTTTTATGCCTTCAGGCAAATTATAGCCTAATTTTCAGGTGTCATGCACTTCTTTAACTCCCACTTATCTAAAACAGAGTTGCACGAGCTTGGCACCTCTGAAACTTGCTTTTAAACCATTTTGGGACTATCTTCTTTACAGATGCATTGGAAAGCTGTTTTAGTGTTCGCATCCATTTTGAAATGTTTAGTAAGAGCATCACAGAAATGCAGTCAATACTAGCAAATGTATCATTGAAACAGTCCTGTTGTTTTCTCATCTCAGTGCAGTACAGTTCAAGTTATCTTTAAAGAACCTCACAATTAAACATTACAGTTTATTAGACAGAACAGAGCAAGAGACAGAAGGAGCATGTGATGGGTAGCAGGCTTTTAGGATGAAAGTTGAAGGGTGGGAAATGATTAGCAAAGGTAAAGAGCAAGTGGTGGCAGAAGTAGGACCTGGCAATTACATGGATTTCCTGTTCTTTAGAAGACCCCTACTGAAAGGATCCAGAAAACATGGTGAGAAAGTGGAGATACTAGCCCCACTTTTGATAGCATGAAGAAGCCAGACAGAGATCAGAACTCTATGGATTTGCAGAGCTGGTTAGGGAAGTAGCCAGAAAAATCAAAATCACAATTCTTTACAATGAATTGCATTATGTATTAGAAGTATCATATCTTTTGGTTTACCAGTGTAGGTAGGCTTATTTGTGACAAGTGGTATTTGTGATTAAGAAAATTTTATAAAGAGAAAAAAAAGCCATTGTTGGACAGACCAGAGGGATTTGAGTGAGTCTGTTCATGAGTGTTTGGAGATGGGTGCAGAACAAAGGGTTGATTTTTAAACATTATTTATTTAGAAAATGAAGATTCATTAAAGGACAGAGGTGAAAACTTACCAATAAATGTATCAAATGCATTAGAAGTATCATATCTTTTGGTTTACCAGTGTAGATAGGCTTATTTGTGACAAGTGGTATTTGTGATTAAGAAAATTATATAAAGAGAAAAAAAAGCCGTTGTTGGACAGACCAGAGGGATTTGAGTGAGTCTGTTCATGAGAGTTTGGAGATGGGTGCAGAACAAAGGGTTGATTTTTAAACATTATTTATTTAGAAAATGAAGATTTATTAAAGGACAATAAATGTATCAAATACCAATAATGTATTTATTGGTATACCAATAAATGTATCAAATGCATTAGAAAAAATCCACCAAATCTCTGAATGAGAAGCTAATAAAAGTGATTAACTTTCAACAGCCATGTACCTACAGGATCCCTAATTAAGGTGACCATGAATCAAACCAGTTTTTACTAGAATCCTGAATATTACAAATATCACCTCATGCTGCAAGAATTAAACCAGGGTCATTTGTAAAACTCTTCAGCCAAGGGTGGGCACATGCACCAAACTGGTGAATTAAGCAAAAGGAGAACTGAACATTTTCCTTTTACTACCTCTTTCTGCATGAAAACAGCAGATAATTTTTGCATCCTCCCATTGCTAACTTATCCAGCCCATTCAGCAGGACTGCCTTGACAGGAAAAAAATGGTGCTACATTCATCTGGCTACTGTCTTTTTTCCCCCCATTTTCTATTCTTGCTGATTTGCAAAGTCTCAGGTGACTGAGTTATGAGTTGTTTGTCCAACAGCTCCTTTGTTCTGATCTGTGCTTCAGCAAGAACTGGAAAAACCTGTTCACTTGCTCTTTTTTTTTTTTTCCCATCTTCCTCTCTCCAATTGGTAGCTGCAGCTTGTACACATGCAGACAAGGTGGTGCCTACCTTTCATGTGGAAAGCTGCCTTACAAAAACAGGTTGCATTTTCCATTATCCCAGAGTTTTTCTAGCCTCAAACAGGCTTTGGTGGATGCTCCATAACCTAAACTCCATTTGCTCTCTATGGGATGTGTTTAGGACATTATCTTATTTCTCTTCAGGCGAAAGGAAGGTGTGTCTCCAGTGCACTCATTTCAAATAACAATTTATGAACTTTGGGAGATCTGCAGAAACCAGCCTTGTGAAATGTATTTTTTTGGACACAGAAGTCTGTCTGCCTTACAGCATATACACACCATGTGATGTTAATATCTGTAAGACAGAACGAACAGTGAGGAGACAAGCTAGTGCAAAAAGCAGACAAATTGAGAAGAAACTTTTGTTTCCATCTCGTTCCTTTTCTTCTTGCTTTGTGCTGCTGTTGGAACAAGAATGGGTCAGCTATGTGGACGATGCATGCAGCTCCTGCGGGACTTCATAGGCTTTGTTCAGAGGATGGCCTCTGACTTGGTGCAAGGCATCAAGGAATGCTTAACTCTGATAAGCAAATGCTCCTGCTTAAAACAGAACAGCTCCAAAAACAGACAGCTGTACAAGCCCATCCTACAGCCTCATGAGAGAGTGACAGCACAGGAATTTCTGCAGCATATTGAAAAAGGTAAGAGCACTTGTCTTTTTCTAAAGGGTTGTGAAACAGCAAGGGGATTCATTTTGTGGGTTGAAAGAAGATTGCTAGCTGCTCTGCTGTGGTATGGCATTGAGCAGCTCGGTGATGATGAGGAAAGGCCAGAGCTACAGAGCATTTTCGTTGCGTACAGGACACCAAAGGCTCAAGTCATGCAACAGTTGGATCTAGGTAGAAGTGGTGAATCACTTTCTTGCTCTGCCACCACTGTTAATATATAACCCATGTAAATGTGTTTCATAAAAGTGAGTGCTTCTAGAAATTAAAGTTACTTTTTAGAAGTGAGTCAAAAGGAACTGACAGAATTGGACACAGGCTTTGATAAGACTGGATGCTATGTGAGTGCTGAGCTGTGAGTGGGCAGATCACAGGGTGCATCTCTGTGTTGGCTGAACACTGGGACTTACACTAGGAATGTCTGGGCAGTACATGGGGAAGACCAAAGTCATCCTGGGACAAGCATCATTGAGTTCTCAGGATTCCAAGCAACTGTGCTTTTGTGCAAACATTTTAGACATCAGGCTTAATAATAATCATGGGATTCTGAGTGAATCAAAGTAGATTCATAACTCTTCATCTATCTCCTTTGCTTAACAGGTTATCTGCCTAATTCCTCTGTTTTTCTGTTTGTTATATCCTCTTTGTCCTGTCCTAGGATACAACATCAATAGGAAAACTTGGTTTTTTTATTTCACGTCTGCAGTCATCTTGAATGAGTGTATTTTGTTGGTTGTCCAATCTAAAAATAGTCCTTATCTCAAGATAAAGGGGTCATTGCTTGATTGGTTTTTCTTTCTGTCACAACTAATTTGGTATACTTTATGTTTAACAGCTTAGGGCTAAAGCTACTACACAAAAGTGCATAGTCCCCTATTTTTGTTTGTGTGAAGGGTGTGGAACTACTATTCATTTACTTGTCTTTTTGGAAACAATCTTGTAAGGAGAACCAGGAGAAACATTTTTTTCTTGGCATGACATGGTTAATTCTGTTTGAAATGCTCTGTCATGGAACAACCTTTGGAATAATTTCTGTGACTCTTGTTGTTGGGAGCATGTGTGGATTAGCCTCACTTGGTATTAGCTGGTGCCATTATTCAGCAAACGTGGTGGGTCCTGTGCTGATAAGGTTCACTGATTGTTGCACTTCAGTGCTGGTTTAAATCCTGACATCCATATACAGAATAGGGGCAGATCTTTCAGCTTGTTATACAGTGATCTTCCAGGGCTGAACTTTCTCCTCCAAAGTCTAGTGTGCTCCTGACTGTGAGACTCCAAGACAGGAGACTGTCCCTGCACAGCTGATGGATGAGATGTAATGAAGGGGAGGCCAGGGTGGCCCCTTGTAGCAGCCACTGGTGCTCCCTGAAAAGACTGTGTGTTTTATTGAGACATCCTTTCCTCTCTGAGATCAGTCTTCAAAAGTCTGGTCTGTCTTGCATCCATGGGAGCTGGGGTACAGCAGCAGGAAGCCAAGAGCTCCTCTGACAGCAGTACCCAGATGACAATGAGAGTTTTCAGGGAGGTCCCACTGTCCACAGCAGGGCATATACAGCACCCAAGAAGCAGAACCAATCTGGTTCTCTGGATGGCCAAATCTTACTGCCTAGACAAATAGAGGCAGGGAAGCCTCACAAAGAGAACCAAGACACATCCTTCTTACTTTAACACTCACCTGTGTATTTTATTCCAAGAGGGAACAAGCCTATCCTCAAAACAAAATATAATAAAAGATAATAAATATGAACAAAATATAATAAGCAAACAAAATATAATAAGCAAAAATAAAGTGTTTGGACAATTTGGGTGCAAGGAGAGACTTTATGCTTGATCATCACACTCATCTGTTAGCCAGGGCTGGAAGTTTTGATATTTTAAGCAGGTGAAGATTTTTGAGTGGATTTTGAGAGCTTTATCACTCTCCCAAACAAAACCACACATAAAAGAATCAGATAGATTCAGGTTCAGACAGTGAAAGGAACAGAATTAAACCACATGAAGAGATTTTTTTTGGTTTTTTTTGTCTAAAACCTTGCACACACAGGCAAGTCCTTATCTTTGTGTATACTACTAATTCTTTTTAAAAATTATCTTTATATGAAGCAGTTCTGTGAAGCTCACTTACCTAATCCTGAGGGTAGGAGTTTGCTAGTCTTGACATGTCAGCAGCTTCTAATGCCTTGAGATATTGGTTGTGTTTTGCAGTGAGGCACAAAAGCTCATGCCCCTCACATCCCTCACATTTCTTTGTCCCATGGGAGGTAAAGTAGCTAGATATTTTTCACAGAGATATTTCAGTCATTGTTGCACAGCTTTGATCTGTTGCCTGAAAATAAATCTTATAATTGTGTGCTCCACCAGTTGATCAATCATACATTACCTTTTTAACTCTGTTCATTCGCTCAGTGTCCCTTTCCTTTTCCTCTCTGCTGCTCCATTCCACATATTATATTATACAGTGACTTACAGAAGTCATGCATGACTGCTATTGTTTGATGGCTGTTGTTGAACATCTGGTTTATTCACAGGGGAGCTATCATACTCAAGAGCAGGTAGACTCATGCTAGAAATTTAAGCCTGAGGCAAGCCCGTTTGCAGTCCATGTTGCTATTCCTTTAAATCCTGTTTCAATACCCAAAACAGGAAACACAGTGAACTTCAGATGTGGTAAATTAGAAATATATACTCTTTCTGTACTTATAAATATATATAGAGATAAAACACACGTTAGAAATATATACTCTTCCTTAACTAAGAACACCATGTTCAGTATTTTAACAAAGATTCAGAAAAAGGTAAAGATTTTTGTGGAGAGCAAGAACACCTGCATTTCTCTTAGATAGCATAAAAGTGTCTAAAGGTTATAATTTGTCTTGTTTCCAATCACTAGCTTTGTGAGCTTTACAAGAGGCATTGCCAAGGTTATTCCCAGTTCATCTATTGCTTCTGCTCATGAAAACATGAATAGATGGACTTTATGGAGTACAAAAATCCTTATGAGTTTGGTTGGCTTTCAATTTTAATTTTTTTTTTTTTTTGTAAACTAACCCTTTACAGATGTAATTAAGCCTGTGCTGTCATTTTACACCTTTAGATTTTGAAATGTCTCCACTGGGAAAGGACCCTCTGGAAGCCTTGAGGACCTTATCCTTTTCAGAAAACCCGGGTTTACAGCAGTCAGCTGCCCTCTATTACTTGCATATGAGTCAGCACAGTAAGTTGTCTCAGTAAGCATTAGAAAAATTTCATGTAATTATAAATAAAATTATTATTTCAAACAGTGAAACTCTTTTTGATTAATTTAGCAAGGGGTTTTTTTTGCTTTCATGCCATGTTTTTTGCCAAGGAAGATGGAAAACTGTCATTGCCACATAGGCAGAGTCAGTTCTGGGTTTTGCTATAAGGAGATATCTCTTACGATTATGAAAGACTGTTACTTATGAAATTGTTATATTTATATGAAGCTCAGCAGAACCCGAAATATTTCAAGTTAGTGTATACTGAATCTCCTGAAAGAAGCATAGTCAAAATATGGTGAAATGAAATGGACATCGTGACCAGTTAATGTTATAAATTATATACAAAAGAGGACAAAGCTCCAGAAGATAGATTGTAGTGAAAAGTTATGAAGGACTCATTCTTCTTTGTTCAAATAATCTGTGGGAGTACTTGGCTCTTGAGGTAGTTTGTTAATGGTTAGGAGTCAGCCTAGATATCCCAAATAAAATATCAGCAAGAGTTTGAATTCTATAAAAAGGTAAAAATACTGCAATAAGCAGGTTGAAATTTATTTGTTTATTTTAATTTTACTTCAAAGAGAATATTCTGTCACTTGGATGATAACTTTATCCCATGTATTATTTGCTGGATAAAAAGTGCAGGTAGCCACAATGCAAGGACCTGCTGTGAGGCAGAATGACTTGTTTGGTAGCAAGGCACACTGCTTCCCTTCCCATGATGTTTATGAAGTACTTGATTATTCAAAACCTCTTCAGGAAACTTGCCCTGTTTGCTAGTAGCACTGGAATTTTAATGAAGGTGAATACCACTTAGCCTGTCTATGGGAACACCTCAGGCTTAAGTCCACCAAGGGAAAGATGTGACTGTGATGAACAGTGGGATTCATGAACATTTCCTCTCACTCTTGCAGTGAACATCAAAAAGGTAAAAATACTAGCAATAAGCAGGTTGAAATTTATTTATTTGTTTATTTTAATTTTACTTCAAAGAGAATATTCTGTCACTTGGATGATAACTTTATCCCATGTATTATTTGCTGGATAAAAAGTGCAGGTAGCCACAATGCAAGGACCTGCTGTGAGGAAGAATGACTTGTTTGGTAGCAAGGCACACTGCTTCCCTTCCCATGATGTTTATGAAGTACTTGATTATTCAAAACCTCTTCAGGAAACTTGCCCTGTTTGCTAGTAGCACTGGAATTTTAATGAAGGTGAATACCACTTAGCCTGTCTATGGGAACACCTCAGGCTTAAGTCCACCAAGGGAAAGATGTGACTGTGATGAACAGTGGGATTCATGAACATTTCCTCTCACTCTTGCAGTGAACATCCCCCTGCCTGTGGAGCATCTGGAACCTTTCTATGCCTTACTACGTTCTGCTGACCTGGAGGTGCAGCAGATGTCTTCCTTGTCCCTTGTCAACTTCCTGCTGGAAGGAAATAGTGAGTAATTAATGACACATCTCTCTTCAGGTCAAGAAGTATCCGTTCAGACAGTCTCAGAGAGAAGGAGGGCTCTTCTACACAAATCTAGATTCCTTTTTTTGTGTTCCTGATAGGACAAGTGTGAGTCTGATTCTGACTGCAAGGTACATAGCTTCTGGTGGCATCAAGATAGATCAGATCCTTCCAGCTAAATTATATAATGTGACAAGTGTTCTTGGATCTGTGTGCAAAGGCTGATAAATTATTCCCAGGCCAGTGTGGGAATTATGTTCTCATTATTGGATCTACAGACATTTTTCCTTTCAAACAATGAATACAGCTAATAGAAATAAACTCTGTGTACGAGACAGTGCTCATTTTCTGGTTATTTATGAACTGGACCTTAGTCTTAAATTGCTTACAGAGAAAAAAAAGTTTAAACACTCAGCACAATTCACTTACTTCTGTAACTAAAGGGGAAAATAGACTTGAGATGGAATCTGGGAGATGCAGAAGAATAACTTCCCAATAAAGTTTATGTTGATAGACAGGGCATGAACATGCCACACCTCATCAACAAAGTCCTTGTTGCATCTACTACTGCATTCCTGAGCACCCAGGCCACAAGAGGTGTTCCATCCTGCAGTCCCATAATAGCAGAAGACAGGGTCAGTTTTCAGCAAAGCTGGCTTTTTTCTTTGCCTTCTTTTTTAAGGATTTTGCTGCAAATAATATCATGTCACCATTTACACAGAAAAAATAATATTTAAAGGGCAGACCTCAGAAGAAAAAGAAAGGGTGGGGGGTTGCTGAGTAAGCTGTGAACCTATTGGAAAGCTTCAGTTGCTCTTGCCAAAATTAACCTGATTTGGGACCTTCTGGCCTAACACCTCCAAACATCTGTTACACTCTTTCATGCATCTGAAGGAGAATTAAGCAAACCTAGCTAGGGACTGTGAGTGGCTTTCTGGCTGTTTTTATCTTAGGTCTATTTTGTATAATCATAATGTAGATCTCCAAAGCAGTCAATGGATGGTGTATTCTTTCCACAAAATCACTAACTGCTTACTTTTTTATTTGTTCATTTTTCTTGAATTTTTGAATAGTTGACAAAGAATTAGTTGTCCAAATGGGTTTACTTGAGCCAATTCTGGATCTGCTTGAATCAGAGGATCCCACTGTCCAGTGTAATTCCTGTGCCTGCATCATGACTTTGGCTGTTTCGGGTGAGTGTTCTCTTTGCCTTTGTCCTCTGCTGTGGATTCATTCGACTCTTCCATCATATTTTAAGGTGATACAACCTATTTGCAATGGGTTTAAGAGTCATAAGATGCAGCAAGTTTTGGTATTCCCACATCATAAATTCAACCTCCTGACATTCCAGTTATTTTTCTCAGTGTTTCTGACCTTTGTGCTCTTATGATTACAAACCTTTTTCTGATTTTCATCTTAAATGTATTCATGACTGGCTTATCTTAATTAATGTCTACATTGGCTTTTGCTTCAGGAGTTTTGTCTCTCTGATGTCTATGCTGATGAGGTTCCTTCATTTTACGAGACTGAGAAAGCCAAGGCCTTTTAAGACTCCTCTCTTGCTTTGGCAAGAACCCCTTGTGTGAGGACACGAGGCTTGACTCTATTTTTATCAGAAGGCTGATTTATTATGTTATATATTATATTAAAATACTACATTACAACTATACTAAAAGAACAGAGAGAAGAGATCAGAAGGCTACAAAGACAAGAATAAAATAGGAATGCATAACAAAAATCCTGTGACTGCTCACAGCCTTGGCACAGGTGGCTGTGATTGGTCACTGATTGAAAACAATCCACATGGACCAATGGAAGATGCACCTGTGGCATTCCACAGCAGCAGATAGTTATTGTTTACATTTCTTTCCTGAGGCTCTCAGCTCCTCAGGACAGGAAAAATCCTAGCAGAGGCTTTTTCACTAAAATATCATGGCTACACTCCTCTTGTAAGTGAGGCTCTCCATTGGTCTTCAGAGTCCTTCCGTGTGTAAATGGTGTGTTCCAGGAATGGAGCATAGGATTTGCATGTGCTGTATCGTGATACCACAGGCCTCAGGCATTGCTACAGTGCCAAGATATAGATAAATGCTGCAGGAATTCCATTTTGAATTCATCTCTTCTGAAAGAGAAGTCACCAGAAACGTGCAGCATTTCAGCTGGGGTCTCACCTGTGCCTTTTATTGTGGCACATACAGAAATACCTTTTGTGGTACATCTCATGGTAACACTTGCAGGTTTGGTGATTGTGCCATGGTGATGCTGTCATCCTACAGCTGATTTAATAATTTAGGCTTGCTCCTCCTCTGTTGCTGCTTCCAGCAGACACCAAGTAATCAAGGCTCTGTACCACACATGTTTCCAAGTGCACATCCCTGCATTTTCTACAGGTTTCATTCTGTTTCCATTGCTTCAGTATCCTACCTTGTCTGTTATTTGTAAGATATTCTGGTCCTCCACTGCATTGACAGTTCTGCATTCAGCTCTTTGTTTTAACTCTCTAGTTCAAAGCAAATACAGACTAGCCCTCATGGAATTCCATTTGTAGCCTCTTCCCAGGTGGTCATTTCCATTCAGCTGCTGCCAAAACTTGCTCCCAGTTTGCTTTCAGTTTTTTATCCATCATGTACTACTTGCATTTGTCACCATCTTCTGCTTAACTATGAATATTTCATATAATGATATTAATATTTTCCTGGTATTCAGACAGGTAAATTCAGTCACAGTTACCAAAAGAAAGGTTATCATGTTAGTTTGTCTTACTCTACCTTGTGCAAACTCATAGTTCTCCAGTACAGATTGTGTACAAGTCTGTAGAAAACCCATGTTTTCAACATTTGTTTCCCTTCCTGTAGCCACCTTCCTTCTCCAGCATGGGAAGGTGCAGTCTGATGTCCCAGAAGGCTGAGGGAAGCATGATGAGAGTGTTAATTTCTCATTTAAATATTTATGTTGCAAAGGAGGAGTGGATAAGCAGGATCCAACCACATGAAAGTGCTGATTTGCATGTTATCCCACCTTTTTATTTTATTTTCAGGTTTTTAAACACTTTTCCCTTAGGAGCTTATTTTTAAGCATTGTATATTATTGTCAAGTTAAGAATTTTACATACTACATTACTTTGTGTGGAATGCAAATTGCCTCATTTAAATGTCTTAGTTAGGCATGGCATCACTAAACTTTTAGGTACTTGGCTCTAGAAGGACTTTCTTTGTGTAGGGTCAGTGAAGTTATGCCCCTAAAGATTACAGAGAGATCTGTGTTTCCCTTCACGTATTTTAAACAGTCCACAGAGAAAGTGACTTGTTTGGGCACCTGAGGATGTTACTTAGTCCTGAAGACACTCTTACCCTTCTACATGTCTGACCTGGAATACAGGGAACCCTCAGCTACTGCAGATCCAGGCTACCTTCATTCCCTGTGGTCTTCTGCCTTTCCACACTCCCTTAAGCACCCATGTCCTTCTGAGCACAAGTACTCCAGATTAAGCACTCAAGGAGCTTTCAAAGCTCAACATAGACTTAGGCAGTCCTGCATAGGCTGGGTTACTGCCTGGTATTTGATCAGTGATGAGGATCTCTGTCCCAGTTTAACTAGAATTTAAATGTGCTGGATCCATTTATTTGTTTTTCAGACTATATTTAGATACCACAGCAATGAGACTATAGCAAGAGGCAATTCTCCAGGGTTTATTTTAATTTTAACTCGCAGACTCTGATATTTTTAAGTGTCTGCTTGAGAAAAGTATCCTGTTCAGTCATATCCTTCAAGAAGACCATTTATGCAAAAAGGATAAATATGGAAGCACAACCAAATTAGGAAGATCCTTAGATGGCTTTAAGGTGACTAAAATTCTGCATCTAAGAATGGTCTTAATTCTGTTGCAGCAAGCATGCAAGACTATGTACAGTGTGAAAATATTTAGCAGTGTTACTGCAGGTCATGTTACTGCAGGCCAGGTGTAAACTGGGTAGTCTCCCTGCTGCAATAGGGAGCTGAAAATAAGAACAAACTAACCCATTCAATTGAAAAATATTTGAAGGTTAGTTTTTCCAACACCAGCATTTGTCCACACAGCAAAAGGATACATGCATAGTTGCAATTATCTGTAGCTTTTTAATCACTGAGTGAAAGTAAGCAGTTCTGAGATAAGAACTCAGAGTACTTCAGAACTAAATGTTCACATGTTCGGGGTTTAGGGGGGCCTGAACATCTGCTTTAAGCTGAAACAAGGCAAATGCACTGAGTGTAAAGCACATTCAAAGTTGTTCTCATGGGAATTTTTAGGTACACAAATGTCAGAGTGGAAAGAAAGAATTTATGAATTGGTGAGTTATTCAAACACAGCTTGAGTAGATGTTGTTGATTTCCCCACTTTAGAGTAGCATCTAGAAGGAACACATAGCTTCCTTCTGAAAGCATTCCAAGAGGCATCAGTGGAGGGACTGCATTTTTTAAGATAAACAGTTCAGGAGAGAAACATGATCTAGCCTGCCACCTCTCTTACAGAGATGGCAATAGTTGCACATCTTGGTGAGATGTATTTCCCCATCCAGTCTGTCATCATAAACTGGCAAAACAAGCATTCAGCCACAACATCTGGTAGAAGAAAGAATTTGCCCAAATTTTGTCCAAATGTTCATGATCCCTTTTCTCAAATGTAAGATTCTTTTCCACATTCACAAACATTCATGGAGTATATTGTGTACAAGAATAAGGGAACCAGTGATATCTAAATTCTTTCTTTATCTTTTTACTTCTCTTTTTATTCACCTGAGTAGTTTGCCTCACACCAGTTGGAGCCATACAAAAGACTTTCTGCTTCTACTGAGGGAAACAAAAGAATGGTATGTAGGCAGATTAGATTAGAGAAGGGCTTGTCTATGAAGGAGACCAGAATATTTCACCAGAATAATAGCTTCCCACATGGAAAAACTATTTTTAAAAGATTACTCTTCCCAGAACAATTATTTTTTTCTCAATTTTTTTTTCAGAATAAAAGTTATTTACCTGAGTATATACGCATAGGAACACAGAAAATTACTTACCCTGGAATATTAAACTGATACTCTCTGAACTATACTTGGAAAATATCCTGGCTAATCTGTCCATGTCAGTTCCCCACTGTATAGGCTTTAGTAATAAAACTAGCAGCTTTGTTCTCATAACTCTCCAAGTTAGTTAGCACCTGAAGACTTTATCTCATCCAAATACCTTTTTTTTTTTTTTTTTGCTCTGCCTGCGTCATGTTTCTCTCAGCAAACTTCCACAGACTAGCCATTGTTTAAACTGGGTATAAATACTGTTAATTTTACAGAATTAAGTATTACAGTTTTTCTTTTTTTATCAGTTTTTCATCCAAGAGCCCTAAGTGATTCTGCAGACCTTTCTGAGTTCTCGTTGTACTCCAGGATGTTGAATACAACTTAGTACATTGCTATGCAAGGAATCACCACCACTTCAAAAAAGCATCATCTTTTCAAATTCCAATGGTTAAGTCAAATTCTGTCTTTAGAAACCTCTGCACTGTTTGTAGATGTCAAGTGAGTAACACAGGGACATTCCAAGAGAGAAATTGGCCCTGAATATACCCTACTAAAATAATTAAACCTTACCTGCAGTTAATGATGTAGTTTTTGGTTTTCACACTGTGAATAGATTGATCAGACAGACCAAGGGTATGAAGTGAGTATGACACTGTTAACATGTTCAAAGGGCCTTAAAGATATTTTAATTATCCTAGTCACAAACCAAAAGCATTGAACCAGCTGTTATTTATGGCCAATCCAAAAGTCATGAGTTGGTTTCCTTCCTATGAAGCTCTCAGAATTTTTAAGTTTCCTTTGAGCATGCGGAGAAATCAGAGAAGGGAGAACCAAGGGATAGTCCTGCTTGTGGCTCACAGTGGGATGGCAGTAAATGTTTCTTTCTTTCTGTCTCTGATTCTTCCCTCCAGAGTCCAACCGAGAGGCTATTGGTGCTGCTAGAGGAGTTACACCCCTGCTGTCTCTTGCCAAGTCCTATGATCCCAGAGTCCAACAAAATGCAGTTGGTGCTATTCTGAACCTCACACAATCAGGTACTTTTGGACTAATGGTTTACCTAAATTGCCAAAAGAAAACTGATAGAAAAATAATCCTAAAGGTTAAGGCAAGAATAAAAGCCCTTCTGAGCAACAAGTTATTTCCTCTGCATATGGCATTCATGTTGGTACCACCGGTTGATGCTTTAAGTTTAGCTGATAGAGGCCCTTTTTTGCCTAGTAGCAAAACAAAAAAGCTTGATTTTCAAATCCAAGGGGGTAGTGTATGAATATTTAAACAATCAGTCAAAGAAATAGGAAAACAAATAGCTATTTGTTAAAGAAATTATTTGGCCTTAAAATACACTAAATGGCCTGTTAATTTTTTAAGCAATCTCTGGAGTTTACCCAACAAAGTCAAGTTTTAGGAGCTTTTTGCTTGTTCTGACTAACTCAGTGCTGGAATATGCTAAGTATAACTATCACAGGTCAGACATTAAAGGCTCCTGGAATATCTGAAAACAGCTTTATCAAAAGTAGTACTTGGTCCTCTGCAATTATATGTTGACTACCATAATTAACTCTGAAACAAGCCAGCATTAAATTTCACCTACCAAGATTATACCATTATTCCACAGAGCTAAACTATAAAGTCACGAGTAACATCTCTGAACTCTGTCTTGTGGAAGGAAACAGTTGGCAAGAACTTACACAGTTAGCTATTACATTTCTGGTATTATTCAGAATATTTTAAATAATTTGTTTTTAAAACACAGAAATCATAGTGAAGATCATACCTGAGGCTTTTCAGCTTCTCCAGTAATTCAGGTTCTCAGAGCAGTTTTTAGCATAAAACCATCAAGAGCTTAATCAGACAGCCTGCTAGTCTTTTTGCTAAAATATCTGCATACTGCTGCATTACATAAGCTCTAAATTACATACTCTCCAGCCACACTGACTGGCATGTATTTGGACAACATCAGCACTCTTTAGAACCCAAGAATCTCTCTTTTGAATGGTGCCTCCAGATGAGAGGGAGGGAAGGAGGAAGACACTTTCACTTTTTCTTTTTAATGGCAGAGAAAATCCAACAAGTCTTATGCAAGGAAGGAGCCCTTCCAGTCCTTGCCTTGCTGCTGGAATCTCCTGACTCAGAAGTCCAGGTATGGCTAAAATAGGTCAGTAACATGGAGACTCTAAGGAGAGCACAAACCTCAGTATGCAGAAATGAAAAGGGGGAAGAGGAGGAATGGTTTCTCTAGTGAACTGGAGAAACATGGGAGAACATCTTGGTGAAACTCAGCTCAGTCACGTAATATATATTAAAAGACCCAATTTGTCTCACTGCACAGGAGAAAGTTATGATGCAAAACTTCTTCTGCCAGCACACATTAATGCAGGCACAGCTGCTTGTTATGTGGTTACCTTCTTGTGTTTTTCAGGTCTGATGCAGATAGGTCTCTTCCTCTGGGTTTTGGTTTTTTTGTTTTGGGGAGTTTTCTGCATCCTAACTTGATCATCCACTCTAAGCAATGTTACTAAGTATTCTGAGAAGAAAACTTGGAAAGATATTTTTCTTGTTGTTGTAAATATCTGTAAAGCATCCTATTTTATGCCTATCACAGACACCCGTTTGTGAATCTGCACTCTCAGCAGAGAGCTCATCTTAGTGCAAAACTGTGCTGATAAATAAACTATGAATCAGAGTTGAAATCCTTACACTCTGCTAGTTTGTTTATTCAGTCCTTTGAGTAGCACAAAAATTTTTGCCCCGTCAGTTTAATTATCTCTACTCAGATTTTTCTAGATTTCTGAAGGAATGGACCCTCTGGAATTGCTTTCTGTAAACTATTTCCACATTTTTAGATTTCTCTGAGATTTATCTTAAAATTTCCATCTCTGTAGCTCAACCTTTCTTCTAATTATACCTCCCTAGTAATAGACACTTTTATATGTGTAATCCTCCCTAGCATTAATGGTTAGATCCTTTGGAAATGATCTCTTGGCATGCTAGGGCAATGGCTACATCCAGCTTGAGTAAATCAATGTAAACATATAATACAATAGCTGCAGATGACTTAACTTAGATGCCAGCAGCAATGTCATTGCAGCAGCAGAGCACGTTCCCAAACAGCCAAGATTCTAATGAATGTACAGCACGCCCCAGCAGGATTGCTGTAGCAGCTACAGCATGTTGTGTCAACTCTATAAACACCCTTAGGATGAAAAAGCATTTTCCTTGGTTTGAAATCATTTCTCCAATTTATTTGTATTCTTTTCGGTGTGTCACCACTCTGACCTCTCTCTCTGTTTTTTCTTGGTTCTTTGCAGTATTACAGCTGTGCTGCCCTGAGCAACGTGGCAGCCAGTGTTCAGCACCACAAAGCCTTGCTGAGGCCCAGTGACAGATTCCTGCTGCGCACACTGATCTCTCTCCTATCCTCTTCTGTGGACAAGGTAAAGCTGTAGCTTTCTCTTTGTGAAAAGACTTAGCATCCAAGTAGAGCTATAGACTTGGGCTTCCAGTTTCAGCCTCACATCATTCTGTTCATCTTCTGTACAGGTACCTATGCAGCATCTTTCCCATGAGAAAAGACACCTATAATAGGAAATACATGGGTTCTACAAGGTCAATGTATGTAGAAAGCAAAGGGAAATTATTAAAGTTGTTCTACAGCCCTGGACACTTCCTTTAGACTAGGATAGCTTGTATGCTATTAACTTGAATCATGTGAGAAGTGCCCTGTCCAGGCTCTGTCTTTGATCATTGTGTCTGTGACAGAAGCTGTCTGACCCATCTGTTGAGCTTTTTTTTTCTTTTTGGTATCCAGAACTTTTACTGTATGGTTTCAAGGATGACATCTTGAAAATTTTACTTTGTTGGAAGCCACATCAAAGAAACTTCAAGAAACCACAGTTCCTGGTGGAACTTGAATTTCTGTGTAGAAGGGAAGTGAAAAAAGGCAGAGCAAATGGGACAATTTCTTTCCCTTCATTCTTATAACTTATCAGATGTTCTAAAATAAAGCAAACATCTGAACCCCATTCTTCATCAACAATAGGATGACTGATAATAGGAGGTTGAAAAAAAATTTAATCAAAACTTTGAAAAAAAAAAAACATGTGCCAAAATTTACTCTTGAATATTACGTAAGAGCTTGCTAGTGTTGTCATGTTTATTTTGTGTGCCATAGGCAAGAACATGCATTACTAAAACTGCTCTTTTTCCTCCTCTCTCTCATTTTTAAATTTTTTGTTTTCCTCTTTGGCACAAGCAGGTTTCAAGCCAGGCATGTGTTTGCCTAAGAAATTTGGCTACCAGTGGTAAGCAATGTCTTGGACATAAAGAAACCACACTATTTCTATCTCTCTCTGCCTTTCAGAGTGAGCACAGTGGGCTGGGAACCTTTCCTATCAAAAACAAAGAGACATTTTCTACATTTTAACTGAATGTTAAGGGAAGAGGAAGGTGCAGTGCATATCCTAACTAAATCTGTTTTAGAGCTCCCAGGTAGCAAGGGGAGTATCTGGAGAAAGTGATAAAGGCAGCAGCGGTGTGTTTATGCACAGAACAAGCCTTAGTGAGTTGCTAAGCCTTCCTTCTTTCCATGTTTCCTAAGCATTAAACCCAATTAGGACAGAATGTCTCCTGAAATTGCTTATTGAGTAGGGACCTGACTTCTACAAGGCATAATTTGGTCTATCATTAAATGCAATTTTCTTCCATGCATTTGTCATCCTCCTGAAAAACCCTATTAAATGTCCAAGATTCATTTTTATGACATATTCAGGAAATAGTGGCAGAGGACTGGCACACTCAGTGCTAAAGTCCCAGACTTCAGGGTAGAGTTATTCATCTAGAAAATGTAGAGGTGCTTAATTTTCCAGTAGTCACAATTATAGAGGAGCTGAGAGTGAAGGAAGTGCTGTGGCACTCCTTGATGTGTTTGAAACACCCGGTCTGTTCAACCTTTTAGATCTGCCTCTCCATCTGCCAGCCTCTCTGGCACTGCCTTTTAGTGCACTCTCTGAGGTTGCAGGGGCAAGTGGGGTATAACAACTCAGTGGGGTGGCTGGGCTCTCTCCTGGCTAACTATAACCCTGTGAGATGGGTGGTGCTTGGGAGGTCTTTCTGTTTGTGCAGCTGCCACCTTCTTACCTGGCCTTATGCCAGTGATGGAGTCAGAAAATTCCCCACTTGTTTTTTTTGAGGTTCAGACACAGACTGAGGGTGCCCAAACCTACTTTCTGCCATCAAGCTTGTATTAATCCCTCAGCAAAGGGAGGCAGAACAAATGAGGGTTTATTTTTATAACTGAACCTCTGCATTGCCCCATCACATGGAGATGAGGAGGTCCCCTCTAATTTGATGCAAGTCAGCTCAGCTGTTTGAGTCAGAGCCTGAATTACTCCCTGCAGTGCTCTGAACCCCCCTGACCTCCTTTGTTTTCCCACCCCAGTGGACATCCAGGCCGAGATGGTTGCTGAGAACGTCCTGCCCAAGCTGTGCTCTCTCCTGGCCTCTGGCAGCGAGGACGTGCGTCGTGCCTCCATTGCCCTGCTCTGGATACTCTCCCAGCACCCACCCAACCAGGTATGGGAGGTCATTTCCCAAAAACAGAGGGGAAAGACTAGTTCTGGCCACCACCTGGGGTAACACTCTGTTGTGGCAAAACAGCCTATGAAATGCATTTTGAAAATGACCAAGAGACTCTGGGAGACTTCCCAACCCTCTGTCTCCTACCCGAAATAGCAAGGCTTTGTTTACTGCATCTGCACTGTCACTAACTACCTGAGGAGCCATCTGTTGTGCTGAGTGGGATCCAAAGGAGAGACCAGTGAGAGAGGAGAGGGGGAGATGGGTGTCAGAGCCGTTGGATTTGTGGATACTGCCTTGCACTCCCTGCAACTCCTTCTAGACCCCTCAGTCCCCGGACCATAGGTCTGCAGATGGGTGTACGAGGGGCAGGACATACACAGCACCATGAGACACTGCCTCCATGAGGGCAACCAGGGGAGTTATTTCTTGGCTACAGAGCTTCCCCACCCACAGAGAAACTGATTTAGAGCACACATTTAAAGTGCTTAAGTTCAGAACAAAGAGCAAATATACATTACTCCCTGCATGGACAGTGTTACTCAAAAGTTCATTTGTAGAATATTCACATATTTTGAATTAGGACCAAAACAAAAAGGGGGACTAACAGAATTTGAAATCTTGTCTGTCTTTAGTTGATGCATTAGGACTTTCACTAGGACTGTGTATCCTCATGTCCTAAGTTACAGAATGTTTCTTTTGCCCATGTTCAGGGTAAACACCACCATTAACAGTGAGCACTACCACATACATGAAGAAGTCTGCCTACAATTAAATTACAGCAAATTACTGACAGATTACTCTTGTTTTTAAATAAACTTTTCTTTACAGTAATTAAAGACATCCTTAAGAACATAGATGTGAAAGGTTTTTGGTAAGTGTTTTAAGCTAACAACAGTTTGAAGGTAGTCAGAGGTTGGGTACATAGAACAAAAATATGTGAGAACCTTCCCTGCCACATTGCTTCAAGCAGTAGTGGCAGGGTCTGAACAACTTCAGGTGGCCTTAGGTGCTTCTTATGCCTGAAATACACTCAGCCTGAGTGGGAATTTACTCTGGGTTTGCTTCAGGTGGCCTTAGGTACTTGTTGTGCCTGAAATACACTCAGCCTGAGTGGGAATTTACTCTGGGTTTCTAAAGCTTGGTGTGTTACAGTTCAGTTGTCTCTACACAAACAAAAATTACACCTTCCCTTCCTCTGGGACATGATGGGAAAAATGGGTGAGCTCAATGCCTGGAAAGCAGCAACTAGAGCACAGAGAAATGCAAGGCAGAGTGGCTGCATGAGCACAGAACATCCTCATTGCTTGTCAAACTGCCTCATACAATCAAAACACAATTTGCTCTCAACAAGCTTACAGTTGAAATGCATTAAGTTAGTTGAAGGCCATTTGCACAGTAAATATGTTATTCAGTAGGAGACATTATGCTGGAACATGGTCCTCACTCAGTTTTGCTTTTCTTGTCTCCAAACATTGTTCACATTTTTTGTTCTCCCAGGAAAGAGTGCCCACAAATCTTTTTCTCCCTGGTCCTGAAACTTGTCTTTACCAGTGTTTCAAATCCCTGGCCACAAAGAGACGTGGTCAGTATCAGTGGGAACAAAGCAAAGACACTGCAAACTTAGCCTTGGTACACCGTGGTGAAACAGCCTATCCTTCATGAGGGAAAAAGGGTCAGTAGCAGGAGGCTGGAAAGCAAAGCATCTCACTTTATTCCCCAGTGAGAAGTGTCTACCTCTCTAAATTTGTTTTAGTGAGCAAACACGGCTGTCCCTGACTACTGAATGTTGCTGCTTTGTGCGAGCGAGCCCTGGGCACTCTGAGAAGAAGCTGACCTCTTTGTATTCGTATCCTGCCTCCCCATCTCTGTGCCTTTTCTGAGCTGTTTTTCAAGTCTTTTCAACATTTCTTTCTCTAACTCAGGCTGAATTCTCCGTGACTGAAAAAGGGACTTCTCCATGGGAACAACTGTTGGAAAACAAACCATTGAACAAAGCTAACCTTTACAACCAAGTCAAGTGATGCTTGAATTATTACAAATACTTCCCAGGATACAATGGGGCAGAATCTGTCTGCTCTTTCGTTACCATGAAGCAAACTCCCAGGAATGCTTCACGGGAGCTCCTTGCCCTGCTTCAGCTCCCTTTTTGCAATCTCTTGGTCAGGCTGTTGACAAGGATTCCCAGCAAGGGCTGGAAAGCTTCCCTCTTGCAGAGGAAATAGAATTCAGTTTCCTCAAGGACAGCCCAACCCTGAAACACTAAAGAATCGGGTTTTGCGAGAAAACAGTCTCTTAAGTCAAATTCTTTTGAGCAAAAGACCTGGAAGTCAGGGTCTGTCTGTTCCAGATGGTGCCACTGAATCTCCACTCCAGGTACAAAATACCTTTGCCTTACCATCTTGCTAATTGGTAAATGGGATAATATTTACCTTGTCAAGAAATCCCTGTGTAAGGAGAATGAGTGTAGCATTGCAACTGTAAGCACTCTTGCTGCTGGAATGTTTTTTCCCTTGCCTTTTTTTTTTTTTTTTTAATATTCTAATCTTGGGAGAAGTTAGATCAATATCCATCTGAATCACTCAATCTATTTTTACTCACAGTTTTCTCGTGATTCTCTTGCACTGTGCAAAATTGAGCCAGAAAACAAAATCTGGATCTCAGCCATATTCCAGCCAAAAAAAGAAGTTCAGCAAAATTAAAGTACTGTCACTTGTTAATGTAGGTCCTAAATAAACAAAAGATCTTGGAAGGGAAGTCATTATATATTAGAAAGTTTCTTTATAATCCATAGAAAATTTCCTCCTCTCAGGCTGTAGCAAATCAAAAATGAGTATCATACTTGATGGGATTACATAGAAAAGAGGACCCATTTGGCCCCAAAAGCACAGAAGACAGTAATCAGTGGTAATTTAATTGGATTATGTAAAACTATATTATTTCTTTTGTTAAAGAAAATGAAAAATAAGACTAAGGAAAAATTACTGTCATGTCTACATATAGAATTCTTTTAATGGCCTGTGTTCAGGCATAGAACTGCCCTTTCCATTTACTTTCCTGTTTAATTTTAGGATTTCTGGTCGTGACAGTGCTTAAAATGAGCTAAGTGAAGATGTCAGCTGTTATTAAGAGAAAATAAGATACACTTTTGCAATTTAACCTAAGCAAAAGAAAGATTAAAGTTTAACTTTTAAAGATATCTGCCTTTCAACACTGCTTTAGAGATCCTGATATTTAACAGGTTTCAGAATTATGTGATTTTTTGCAGCTATGTATAGGACCAATGATTTGTTTTCTATTGAACTCCTTTGCTAATGTGTCTTGGTTTCCAAGCAGTACAAATAATATAGTTCATTGTGAACAAACAGAAGAACTGCATAAAAAACTCCTAAATTCCTAAGGGAAGGAGAAAAACACTCCCAAGTGGAAATCTTTTGCTTTTAACTGTAGGCCTAAAATAAACTCTGTCAAAGTCAGGTTTCTCTTACACACAGCAGTGCCCCCTTAATCCATGTTGTTGTTGAGGTACCTACCTCTGCAGTAATCCAGACTCCAGTCTGACAGTACAGGAGAAGAGTAATGGCTGCAAACTGAAAGAAAGTAAATTCAGATTTGAAATTAGGAAAAAAATTCCTACTGTGAGGGTGGTGAGGCAGCGGAACATGTTGCCCAGGGAATTTGTGGATGCCCCATCCCTGGAAGTGTTTAAGGCCAGGTTGGATGGGGGTCTGAGCAACCTGGCCTAGTGGAAGGTGTTCCTGCCCATGGCAGAGGGTTTGGAACTGGATGATCTTTAAGGTCCCCTCCAAGCCAGGTCATCCTGTGATTCAAGTAATATTAATGGCAATTGGAGGAAGACTATATTCAGAGAGAGATACCCAGCAAAGTACCTCTGAAATATCATGAGACAGCAGAGAAATGTGTGTAAAGAAGATGTTGTTCAAGACATGTTTACTGAAGAGGTGCCTGATCACAAACTGATCTAAACATACAACCCATTATTGTAGCCAGGTAAATTGCTGAGCACAAGGACACACTGCTGCTGCTACTTCACCGTGTAGTTCTGCCTTTCACAGAGATCCTGACAACCTCTCCTTCCAGTCAGGATCACACATCCTTCCCCTGACTTAGCAATGACCCCGGTGAGGCATTTGGTGGAAACAACAATAAACTACATGACCTTGAAGACTCCAGCCCTCCATAGTAAGTGCTCAACAGTCAGTGCACTCAGACCGTACTTGAGAGAAGCAGCACTGGACCCAGCCACACCCTTGGTTTAAATAAGCAAACTAATGCTCTTTTTGCAGAGCTAGGTTTGATTTCTCCATAGCTCTCTGCAAAGCTGCGTTGTGTTGTCCACACTGGATGTAACTGAGATACTGGTTGCTCTTCTCAGGACACTCTGGCATGTGCTGAGCTACTGCAGAGCCTGGGGACGTTACTGGCAGCACATAAAACAGACCCTGTGATTGCTGGACATACTGCTTGCATCATCAAAAACCTGTGCCTTTCCAAAAACAAACAGGTAGGAACACAATGTTTGTCACTGAACTATACCCTGTGAGGTTGCCTTTGTGTTTATGTCAAATCAGCATTAAAGAAAAATAGTTCTGTGGGTAATTAAACATATGCCAATTTGCTATATATTTTACACAAAATTGCATATATGAATAAAAGGACCAGACCATAAATGGAGGGTAGTTTAGTTCATATTTTCCCAATGCAATACAAAAAAGTGCTAATTAAAATAAGAAATATCTAATTTTTGTTATGAGTGATGTGGTTACCTAATTTAACCACATCATAGGTTTAAAAGTTCCTCTACCAAGGCCATTTCATAATGATTAAAGAGATCATTCAGGAAAATCTGAGGTCGGTTGTGAACTCAATTTTTATTTCCTGGCTCTTTTGCTTCAGCTGCTGTTCATTGTGAAACAGAACCCCAGCAACTGATGTATATTTTGCCTTTTGGCAAGATACTAGCTATGCCAAAACGCTATAAAGATCCCTCTTGCTGACTTTGCTTTGAAATCCATAGGTACAGATGCACTTCCTTTCTCCTTGCCTTTTGGAGTACCTTGATCAAACAATACCACCAGTAGCAATCAATACTGAGGGAAAAACCCCACCAAATTAATGAGCCAATTACTACTAGTTCCAGAGATTTAAAGCAGCCAGAAGGAAAATTATGGGTTTTTCACTAATATAACAATTATATAAATTTCTAATAGCTGTGACTGTTAGAAATTGTGACTTAGCTGTGACTAAGGAAACTAAATTCCCTTAAGCTCAAGGCCCACAGTAGGAATAAAAACGGACCATCCATTCAAAGTTTGACAAATATGGTCTTTTTTTGAAATACTTAAATTCTGTGACTTTATCCTGTTACCAGCTGGGAGCTGCTTCACCTTCATAAGGCTTCATAATAGCGAGAGTGTCAAGCTCTCACTGCATAAGTGAATACACAGACATGAGTGGGAATGCCAGGTTTCCAGGGTCAAGTCTAAGGAATGCTCCCTAAAACACATAAGAGTCCTTGGCACAAGAGGAAAAAGGCAGTGCTCTTTTTATGCCAGCAGGACAGAAACAGAGTGTGGGAGCTTGAAAAGCAGCAGTCTCCAATCCACCTTGAACCTCTAAGTAGCAAGTAAAAAACTGCACCATAAAATGCAGCATGAGTATCAGAAAAAGATACTCCCTTTTGTTGATAGATACCTGAGCTCACTTAGGGAGCCATGAGCAGCTTCCACTGTTAGGGACTCCTAGAGAGCTGAAGACCTCAGAATCATCTTCACTAGCAACCAGTCACCTCCAGCTCACTCATTCAGAACTAATTTCTTGGTCTCATTTTTTTGCTTTTAGTCCAAGTCAGCACAGGCAAAGTCTCCTATCTGTTTTCAACTCAGTCTGTAAAATATATATCTCAGTACAGGTGATCTCTGAACAATCCAAGGTGATTTCACCTGGTTGTGGTAGATCTGGGAGGAGACATTTCCATTATTGATGGTTGCACCTCAGTACTTCTGAAGCCCCCAGACACCACTAAACCACAATGGAAGTGCTAAACATGGATCTCTCTCTTGTGGCAGAGAATCACTGAGAGCCGCTGTGTCGAAGGTCTCCTCCAGACCATGCTTTTGACCAACACTCAGGAAGACTCCCTTCGTTACGTGACATCCTGCCTTGCTGAGCTAGCAAAGCAAGGTATGGCAGCAACCCTCCATGAATGGCTGAATCAGAGAAGTGCACATGTCCCTAACTAATTCTACTTGGAGATGGAGCACAGCTGGACACACAGCCCAACTCTTTCCTTTTAAATTCTTTGTTTAGTTGTAAGTTTCAAGAACAAAATCCAATTGACTCCATTGTCTGCACTTTTGTTCAGCTGTTTGAAATCTTTACTCTAAATTTTTTTTTTGCTGAACTTTACTGCTGTACGTGGCCTGTCTACTTCTATTTGTAACATTTCCCCCCAGTTTCTCAGGCTGAAATCATTTTACCATTGCAGAAACTGATATAAAAGTCTAAAATATGAAGTAGGTCTATATCTTGAAATTTTTTGCACATGGATTTTCAGGATTTGGTATCAGAGATACCAAATTGGTACTCATGAAAGATACAGCACTCTTTATAGCAAAATGGACAAATGTAAATTTTCCCAGCATGCCCCAGCATTGGATAGTGTCTGTCAAACAAGTAATCTCTTTTATCTGGTATAATGGCCATGCAGCTGGCTACACGTCACATTTAATTTTGTGAGCAGAGCACAGTAGCTGCTGGACAGACTGAGTCCAATAGGCCAAAAGTGGATCTTGCACATAAAGTGATTCATTTTTGCAGAACAAAAAGCCAACAAAATATGGACCAAATCCATCCATCCTCTTACCTTACTGAGAGCATAACCTCAGAACATGACCCTTTTTAACAACCTAAACATACCTATTAACCAAGTTCAGCACTTATTTTGCTTCTCCAGTTGCATGAAGGATTCACAATTTCAGCAGTTTCTGGCAGACCTCTCAGTTTCACTTCTTTGACACTGGAGTTTCTGTTTAGAGACTACTCTCTTACCTTTCTGCCTTCCAGAAGGAGTCATGTTACACATGGTCCAGTGGATGGATGAACCTTTGACAAACTGCTTGGTGAGACTGGCTGGCCAACGGGAACATCCTGAGCCATCCTTTCATGCTGCCTCCATCATCCTGCACATGATCGGTCATGGTAACTCACACAGGATTAACTGCGCTTTGAAAGAGACTTATGGCTGTCTGGAGTGAAATTAGCCTTTTCCCAAAGGACTGTCAGGCACTGAACAACCTTAAATATTCTTCTATCGTCCCCCCATTTGGCCTCTACAAGTTTTTTAGAGTACAAGTGTCTGTAGTCACCCTTGAAATAAAACAGTCCTTGAGTGCACGAGAAACTCCAGGGATGAAGGTGGACCACAGATAAAGGTCTGATTTACATGGTTTTTGCCTTCTTCAAGAACTGCCATTCTGCAGGGCTGGTTCACAGCAAATTCTGAGGTCCTTGAAAACAACTTCAGTAGGAAGGTGGGAGACCATTAACACACTCCTCACCATGGAAGAGATGAGAACGTGTTTCAGACAAGGGTCACTTCAAACAAGGTTACATCTTTCTGTTTGACCTTCTTTCTCAGTATGTAAAATGTGATGGCATCCCCCACAGACAGCAGAGGCTGTGTTCCAAAATTTTAGATTAACTCTGCTCCCTGACCAGCAAGAGAAAAACTTACCGAACCAAATCCTGCTGATATAATTCTAGACTAAATTAGCAGGAGCAGTTCAGTAAAGTGGTTTTAAGAATGTGGCCAAAATATTTCAAGTTTCAATGAGAGAGAATAAAAGAGCATTATTTTTACCTGTAGAAAAAAGTTTTATGCTTAAATACTTGCCTCATGCAGCTGAGAGCCTTTAAGACTTGCAAGAAAAAGGTGTTCAGATGATACTTCCCACATTCTCTAGAAAGGTATGGTTAGATTTTAGACATTAGACAAGAAAAACTGAAATCTGTGGTGAGTCCCCAGTGAGGGAAAATGCAAATCTGTTTCATTTCTAGCATAAAGAATTTGCAACAGAGCAGACTCTCTCTCAGGTAGTGAACAGAATCCAACAGCACAAACATCTAATGGATAGCTTCACCTACCTGGCCAACCAGCTTGTAAATCAGCAGGCCCCTTGCACAGGGATCAGATTCCCAGCACAGCAGCGTACTCGTCTTTTTATTTACCTGACGTATCAGCAGTATTATCAGAAGCTGTAGTACAGGGAAGTCCCTTGACAGTCTTTGCAGTAATGTTGATTTTAGCTGAAGGTGAATGAGTCATTATTGAAATGTTGTTACAAAAATCAGTTTTCAAAGTGTTTAAAGGCTTGTATTGATCTCCAGTGGTTCTCTCATTTATGCAGAGAAAATGACGCTTTTGTGGAAGCATCACATTGGAGAGATTCAAGCCTACCTCAAGAATTTTCTTACCCACCAAGAGGTCCGTTTTCAGCAGATGGGCATCTCCACACTCTGCAGACTACAAGCAGGTATGTTCTTCCTGCCAAGGCTGCCTGCACCCATCAGCAGCATCAGGCACTGCTTAGTAACAGAGATCACAGAATCATCAGGGTTGGAAAAGACCTCTAAGACAAGTCTAACCACTGACAGTGCAAACTTCTCCAGGGACTAGTTCTGCTCACTTAAGAAAACAGAACAATCTCAAGGGTAGCTGTTACCTCACATGTTTTTAAGCAGCTCTTTAAGAGTATCTCCCAATAAAGGCAGGAGGATTTTGTTTGTTTGCTTTAAAACTAAAGGCATTCAGAACAGTGGGGAAACAGGACTTCAGGAAAACCTTATCCTATATGAGAATTTTTGGCACTAGATGCAACCTAAAATTTTTCAAATGTGATTTTAGTTTATTTTGATGAAGGAAGTAAGGAAATTGCATGTAAGCTGATAGTAAAACTGGGAAGTCTCACATCTTCATACTTCAAAGTCCATTACTTAATATTATGCTGGGTTAAGTTAGTCTTCTTGTCTTTGAATAAAAGTTGAGTGTTTATGAGGGTTATAATGTGATAATAACTGTACATAGCACATATCTTTACATATTTAGAGCCAGAGCCAAAACCCTACAATAGCTAGATAGGCAGCTGCTGCATAAGGCTGCATTTGGCAACTCAGATTTATACATCTGGATCAGGAGAATTTAGCAGCAGTCTTGAATGGTTGTAGGGATGAAAACCAAATTTGTATATGCTTTGTGTAGTATTTTTCTGCCTTACCTCTAATAAGAGCCACCAACTAACTGTATCTATCCTGAAAAATAAGTTTTCTATGTATCTGCATTAGAACATTGGGAAAAACAGCAGGTTGCCTAACACCTGTTATTCCTCTTCAGATCCAGACTTTTCATTAGCATTCAGAAAAAGCCAAATGGCCAAACTCCTTGAGCAAGTCCGTCAGCAAACAGAAGAAACTCAAGAGCTCCTTAGGGCAGCTATGTGCCGTGAAGACAGTTAATATTTAAGCCAAATGGTTTATAATAACTTACCAGATCCAAGGGCCTGAACTTTCAGAGGAAACAACTCTTTTCCTTGGTTCCTGTAATTTTCCTGCTACTTGCAGTTTCGTCATACAAGAGAGATGTCCCGATAACAAGAACTGGAGCAGGTCAAAACACAATTCCTTGCACCCTTTGGCTGGCTGCTTAAGTGTGCTTGAGGACACGGCTACATGTTGAAAAACACATGCTATGCTTGGTTAACCTTCCATGGTTTTATGGTTTGCTTTTGGTTTCCTCACCCCCTCCTTCAGAAAAACCAGCACTGTTCATGCAACAGGCTGTATGCAGGTCTGCATTCATCTTTATTCTGTTTCTGTTCCATGTCCTGTATTTCACAGCACACTCCAAGGACTTTAGAAAATAACTGAATCAACCCATACTATAAAGGTAGAAAACTACAAACAGGTTACTACAGAAAGTAACTGCTGAGGAACAACTCTCAAAGTACAAGAAATTTGTGAGAAACAAGAACGGGTGAAGCCTTACAGCTGATCCTTGTCCACACTATAGGCACTACTCTCCAACAGAAGAGCAAAGGCATATTAAGGCAAGGAAATGTTGCACAGAGCAAGTACAGAACAGAGCAGGAACCATGAATAATTTGGGTGAGACGTGTTTAAGTACAGAACTGTGTTCTCAAGTGTTATTTCCAAAGCTACTCGTAACAAGGGATGAGTGAAAATATTTGACAAAATTAGGAATTTTTGTTATATTTTGATATTCATACTTCATGTTAAATGGAGTTAAAGAACAATAAAAAGGTAGTTGTGTTTAAATTCAACTTATTTTCTTACATATATACTTCCTGTGGGCAAGCAGCTGTTCAGCCATCTCCAGGAAAGCTGGGTTCCATCATGTGTAATGGTTACTTGGGAAGACAGACACTGTAACTTCAAACATCCCCCCTTTCCTCTTTGTTCCCCCAGCTTTATATGCCCACCATGACAATGTTAGGTATGGAATGTCCCTATGGTCAGCTGGGGTCACCTGTCCCAGCTGTCCCCTCCCAACTTCTTACGCAAGCCCAGGCAGGTGGGTGGAGTGAGAGGCAGACTCTGCAAGCGCTGATGAGCAGTAACTAAAACATCCCTGTGCTACCTGCCTTGTGTTCAGCACAAACCCAAACACGCCCCACTTTGAGCTACTGTGAAGAAAATTAACTCTACCCCAGCCAAAAGCAGCACAGTGTCTTTTGAGGTGCTTCTGACCATCTCATAACTCTTATGTGCAAGTAGAGCTTTAGAGCTGATACAAATGTGGAATAAAAGTAAGATTAAAAAATTAATTTATAAAAGTTATTTGTCAGTTAAAAGCTCAATGTTCCATTTTATTATGGCTCAAATCTCAGAACTTAATTTTGGTGCTTAAGGGAGGCATTTTTTATAATTGTTTCTTTTAGTATCTGCAAGTTCTTTCCAATGGTACCGTTTGGGAAAAAAACAAAACAAAACAATGCCCCTACCTTCAAAAACAAACAAACACCCCCAAAAACAAAACAAAACAAAAAAAAACCAAACAAAAAGCCCCCAAACAAACAAAAAAAAAACATGTAAAAACAACCAAAACCACACTCAGTGCAGTAAAAAGGCCTATGAAAGTGCAGGTAGACAGAAACTTTGGATAAAGCAATATGGCATTTTCAATATTCATCCATGACAGGAATCCTGTTTTGAAATCTCATGTGACAAACCATGTGCTCAGCTTTGGACAGGTGAATTTTCTAAAACAGAGGACTTGGCTGAATGACACAATGGGAACAAAAGAATCTCAAACTGCAAACCACCTCCAAGGCTGATTTTAGATCTGTTTCTAAAAAGAAACAGTGCATTAAGTGATGATATTGAAATGTGTCCTGTATCTGTATTCTTAATCTCAAACATTATTTCATGGTCTTAGCAAGAAAGCAAATAAAGTATTCTTCATGAGGAATAAGGAGATAATAGACATGAAGCAAACAGAGCTAGTGGTGAGCAATGCAGCAGCTGTGATGTACTGAAATAACTCACAGCATCATCCCTGTGAGCGAGGATGCTGTGTTGTGGAGATGGGAGAATGGAGCTGAGCCTTCCCAGAGCACACAGCTCTCTGCTGGGGAAGGCTGCTGCTCCCAGCCCCCAGAACAGCTGGCTGCACCTGCTACTTCTGCCTCACAGGGTTCCACCCTGCCCCTCATGGTACAAACAACACAACTAGTTGCAATAGCAGGCAGAGGAGCTGGCCTTCCTCCCATACCATATTTTATTGTCAAGAACAACACTCAACAAAAGAGAAACTGTTTCCCCTGCATTAAGAGACTTAACCAAAATATTTAGAATTTCAATATTAAATCCTTTTAAAAAATTTTATACACCTACTTCTACTCTCAATTCCCTTGGTTTTATATTGTATGTCAGGCCCCTGAAACAGGAAATTCTTGCTCTCATTTGAAGCAAATCTGGATTGACTGTAATGACAAACTGTTTTTAATCCAACCCTGCTAAAAAAAAAATAAATCAAAGCAAAAACCAAAGTGAAAGTGAGAAATAAAGCCAGCCCATTTTTCCACAAACAGCGAAGCAAATGTGCTGAAATCTGCCAAAAAATAAACTAGAATGATTTATAACCAATCCTAAATAGCTCAAGATCAACACAATTTAAACCTGATCCTAAATGAATCCTAGAGACTTAAAACTGAAGCTAAATGTAACTGCCTAATTCATTGCTCTCTTTCTTGTTGCAAGTGACTCTGTACTGATTTTTAGTAAAGAAATTAGAGAAAATCTGAAACAAAATTTTAAGCAGACCATGAGTAGCAAGAAGAGTTTTCCATCAGAGATTGACTCTTGCTTCAATTTGGTGAGAAAATGAAAATATAAGTAGAAATAAATATTTCAAACAAGTTTTATTTGGTACTTACATGCTATATATAGTTTTAAAGAAAAACTACATATTTTGGACACTTCAAAATATTGTGGCTATGTACATGGAAAACTAAAGAAAGCAAAAAAAGAACCCAATTCATTTTACTGTGTCACAAGTTACTATTGAAAGCACTCTGACTGAATGGCTGTTTTTTCCCTTCCATAAATATTCTGGCAGATGAAGTCTCTTTCATTTGATCTCCATTGCTTTTGTCCCATCTCCTCTATAAGACGAACACTCGGCAGCAGCAGAAATTTCTTCAGAAATTCTTCGGCTTTTGTCTCAGAGGATTTCTTCTGCTAGCGCAAACTTTCTGCACAGCTTCCTAGAGGCCTTGCTCAGTGCTCACTAGAGGCAAGTGCAGGAATCTTAATGGTAAATTCTCTGTTAGCAGGAGCTGGGAGCCCATGAACCTCCATTTCCCCTACCCAAGGATCTTCTCACCGATTCAGAGAGCAATGTCTCAAGCCTTTGGCAAACTCAAACACCCCGAGCAAGCTCTGCCTCCAACAGCATCGTTTAGCAAAGCACAAAAACGTGCAAGATTTTACAGTTCTGCACAACAGCAACCAAAACTGTGGGATGGAACAATGAATGACAGTAGAAATCAGCATCAAACTAAAGAGAAAGCAACCTGCATCACTCCTCTTATCACTCAAACTGCACTGCTTTATAAAAACCACACACTACATAAAAAAGCACAAATGACCATTTTCCATTTGCTCTGAAACGAGCAAACCCCAAAAATCCCTGAACCTGCATTATCATCCAAAACTCAAATATCCCAGGTTACACAGTCTTCAAAAGTTTGATAAGGCAAAGGAGAAGTCTTCCATCATTGGGAACAGCAGCAATTTACAGGACTCAGAACAAGGTATTTCCTTGTAGGTGTGTGCACAAGTGTGTGCACATATGCATACACATCTTTTATAGTATTGTGAACATGGATGTAACTAAAAAAATCAAGTTTGCAGTATCTTTTTTACCACATTCGTCTAATTTATTCAATCAAATGGTTTATTTCTGTACTGAGCAAAATTCATAAATACATAATCTAGGAGAACAATAGGTTATCCTCTTGTCAATGAAAAAATAACGCTTTCAAATTTTCACATTTTAAAACCTTTCTTGTTTTGTGTTTTTAGAGAAAATGTGAGAAGATCATAGTGACGTCTCAATTTACAGAATGTCCCTGTAGGAATTACATTTACAAGAACCTGATACAGAAGCCTATAGTTCGCCCCCATAATTAGAGTTCTCTGCAATAACATTTAAACCAACAGGTTTAAATAAAACGCCCCATTAACTCTACTTGTAGAGCAATGAGGCATTTATTTTTCAAGTATTAGAACCATAAAGTGTAAAAGATTCTTTGCCAATTTTACAATTATGCTTTTTAAACCAACACCCACCTTTTTTAAAAACAAAAATAATCAGTCCCACCACCCAAATCAGCCCGTTACTTTCAGATTCCAGTGTCTTGTGTCTTAAGGAATGCAGAAATATTCATTTACTAACAAAAAAAGCTTGTTGGAAATAGCCATATTAAGTAACGCACGTGAAGCATGATTTTTCTAGTGATGAAAGCTATTAGAATGGTGATCCAAGTCTATTCCCCTCATTTCTTCTGCTGGTTTTACTAAAGTCCTTCCAAAAAAGATATTCAAGAAATCTTTAAAAAACTGGAGAGAAAAAATAAAACACTCCTTCATAGCATGGAAGAAACTCCACTGACTGCAGAGATGCTCATATCACCTTTGGTTCTCCAGAAGGAACAATCAGATCACTTCTAAAACAGAAGGTAAACATGTCAGGTCAGAGTGGCAATTCTTTCTTCAAAATGTTACATGCTTATGCAATTATTTTAATGTGAGCTTTTCCTTACATTTTTAGGCCAGAGAGAAATACAGTGCTATCCAATTTAATTTGCTAAATCAGTATTTGTTTACCTAGAATTCTTGAAAAGTTATGATGTAATTAAAAAAAAATCCAGTGTCCTGGAAACCATCCCTTGATGCCTGCAAGAACTTGATGAGGAAAGCACATCCAGAATTTCAAAACGTAGCTTTTAAAATGTAGTTACTCCCCTTCTTCATGTGCATATTGCACTTGCAAAACTGGAACCAAACTGCTGATCATAAGGTCAGAACAGCAGCTGTCCCCTATCACTTCTGCTTGAAAGCACAGGGCAAACCTTTCCAAGCAACTTCAACTGGCAGAAAGCAAAGCACATGTGAGAAGCCCTCCAGGAAACGATAAGGCCTCACCACCATTGCACTGCAGCTGTATGTGCCTGGCATGCATAGCTTTACAAAGAGATGTGCTCCTGTCCCCAAGTAATTTAAATTTAAAATTTAAATAGAGTTTAAATATTAAAAAAATATAGTTTAAAAATACTTAAATGAATCAGTTTATCAATATAAGCTGATTGGGAGCTCTGAGACCTCTGTCAATTACAACAAATTACAAGAGTTAGTGAACCACAGCAAACCTACCTGCTGTTTGATGTGTTTGAACACTATCTACCTGAGGCAAAAGAGTGCCCTTATCTTCAAAGGCTAGAATTGGATTCAAAGGAATTTCGGGACTGTTGCTTCCATCATTGTTCATAGCATCCAGCCGGGATGGTTTAGAACCAATAGGCAGGTTCATGATCTCTTCAAAGTTATCATTCTGCATAGACATTCCATTTTCATTTGCATTTTCCTCTGGATTGAGATTGCTGAAAGAGAAACATAGCAATTTTTCCTTATGTACTTTATACAGAGCAGAAATTTAGTCATCCTCAAAGCAATAGCACAAATGGAAGAGAAGTCTGCATCAATCCCAAGCATTCTTTTAGCCAGTGAAAACAAAACTATGCTTCCACCACAGTAGGAAAAACTGGTTTTGCAGCCAAGTACTTGTTATTCCTTCCCTTAAACCCATGGGATAGTAGTTACCTTTGGCTACATGATAGCCAGAACTACAGAGTGGACGCTGCAGTCTGAGAAGCAATTCCAGTGGGAATCAGTAAGGAAACCTCTGCAGCACCACCACTACCTGGAACCACCCACATAATGCAATTTACAGCTCCTAACATCTTTTTCAGCTCTCATAACCTTTGTTGTACCCTTCCTCTTACTGCAAACCAATGAAATTGCCCTTGGATAAGATCACTGTTATTTTTATTATTTCTTGGATCACCTCCTGCCACCAGCTCTGGAGCAGCTTTTTCTATATGCCACTCATCCAGAGGAAAAAACCTCCCTTTTCAATATAGTGCTCCTTTCATTCCCTTCTCCCATAAATGATCTTAGGGGTCATTTCCAAGGCACTACCCAGCTCCACACTTCTGTTGATCACGTCCAAGCCAAAAGAGCCCTCTCCCAGAACCCCTCCTGTCAATCTGAACTTTCATTTTCTACCTGCCATGTGACAGAGATACCTTATGAGTGAGCTCCTGCACCTCTCCCCCAGTCCAGAGCAGCACAAGCACAGATACTGCATTTACACATACTGTCCCCAGATGATACTTGCTCATGTCTCACAGCCTTGGGCCTCCCCTCCCACCCCTTTATTAGGTGCTGCATTGTCAAATCCTTCTGACTCTACACACGGCATGTCCTATCCTGCCACAGAGGAGAAACTAAGGTGTTACTTCAGTAATGACAGTAATGGGACCATAAGCTCCTCAGGCAAGAGCAAGTACTCAACAAATACTCAAAAATCTTGTCATCTTTCACAGGTTCTTCCTAAAGCCCTCAAACAGTTAGATCCTGGCAATCCTGGGTACCTACTCCCTGTTTAGGTCCCATTGCAACTGTTCAGGTTGTTTGGAAATGTTTCGGCCACAAAGGCACAGATGCAATTTTCCTAGATTGAAACTTGGCTATCAATTTCCTCAGGCCATTTTTCAGCAGGCAGCTTGGTTTCACAGGCTTATTTTCTGACAGCACATTTACTACTCTTAAAAAGAAACCTGCTTGTAATTGGCACACTGTATATTTTCATTTGCTGGCTTCTTTGTACAAGTTTGCACAAACAACGAAAGAATTGTTTTACAGTACTCCCCAAGAGACCAAAACCTTGCTCTTTTGAAAGTGGCAATGCTTTTTTATCCAAAGCTCAGATTTCCTGTGAGAATCACACGCTGGTGTTCATATCAAGCCTTCCCAGTTTTTCAAACCATCACCAATTCTTTTTCAGAAAGGCACTCCCCTTTTTCTCATCTGTGGATATGCTGGGTAAATTTCTAAGTGAAAAATATGTTTCACTGCACTGAGTTTGAGAGCAGGTACAGAAACCCTGCTGGCTGCCTGGAAGAGCTCCTAAGTCGCATCACCCTTTTGTGCCAGAGACCCACATGTATAAGATGAGGAGCAGAATCTGTAAAATGCTTTAGGACTATTAAAAGCTGCTCTGTCATGTATGGTCATTAGGTTATTTTTCACTAGAAAGTATCCTGTTATTTACTTTATCCCCATATACTGCCAATAGCCATACCAGAGCTAGGATAACATGCCAAGTTTGATGAATGGGATTAGAAAGAGGTGGAAAGAGAGCAACTGCTCATTCATATAAATTAAACAGCACAGTAGTTCAACAAGTATTAGAGCAATGAAGAAGCCTTTTGCTTCTGCAAACAGAATTTTTCTACTCAATTTATCAGCTGACTTAGTGAATAAATAATGCTTCATATTTTATACTTATGTGTCACGGCACTGCCAGTACTGCACATGGAGTCAGAGCAAGATTTGTTCAGACTCGAACAATGTCTTTTGAGACAGAGGAGTCTACAATCACAAAGGGGGTACAGAAAAGAAAATCAGGATTATAAATATTCTAAATTTTGTGGTATAAAATCTTCTAGATTCTGTACTGCTTGATCCACCTAAGGACTAGAGGTGCAAATTTAGACTAAACAAAGGGGGAAGCAGAACAGTGGAATTAATTTCCAGTGGACATCTTAGAGACCACAAGCTCAAAAGGAGATTAGATGAATTCCTAGGAGATTGGTATGCCCTTCAGCTTCTGGTAATTAGCAGCTTAGGGACTACTTGAGCCTATGGTTGCGTTTGGACTACAATGCTTAGCAACCCTTCATTGGCCAGAGGATCTCCTGGTACTTACTTTTTTTTTTTCCTTTTACATTGTGCTACAGGCCCTTAAAGCAAAGAACACAAAAAAATAGAAAAGGTTTTTTGACCTGCTACAGCTGTTCTTACTGTCTTATGTTACATTCTTAATGTTGTCAAAGTGTCTAATGCAACAGCAGAGATATCCTTTTCAGGCATACAATATTGCAGAAAGAACCAGATAATTTTGGCATTCTGACATATTCCATAAGTGTGCGTGTAGCAAAACACTTATGTAATAGAGGAAAAAAAAGTTGCCTAAGTTGTTGAGAATGCATTTCCAAACATAACAGTCTTGCAAGCACATCTGAAGGACATCTCCATGGCAGCTGAAGAGTATGTCTGCAGCTTCACATTTTGACCTGGACACATCAATATTAACAACATAGACTGGAGGATGTTGGGAAAAGAGAAGCCAGTTTAATTAAAGAAACTGGAACATCCAAAAATTTAAAATTACTTAAAATTGTATCTGTTGTAGATAATTTTAGCTCTATGTAACACAGCCTGAAAACTCTATGTAGACACAGCCTGAAATTAGAAGTTGAAGAGACTAAAAAATAAAGAAGGCCAGAATTCAGTATATCTACTTCCAATCATTAATCAGAAATCAACACTGAATAGGAAAAAAAGATACAGATTTGCAGACCTTTGAAAAACACCAGAATATTTTCACAGCTGCTATTTCTGATCTGAGGGAAGATGTCAGTCACCTCATTTATTGAGAGGATTTTTACAGAGGAGACATAGATAGACATTAACAGCAAAATGTATCCCAGACTTCTGGATTATTTAAATAAATAGTGCTTATTTTTAATCCACTGAGACAACAGCACTGAAACCAGTCAGCAATGGAGAGCTTTCTTTTCCAGGGCAAGATATGAAGGCAATCACCCAGACCAACTGCATATTTCTAAAAACTGATTATCTAACCTACCCAGACCCAGCTCCATGCACCCAGGATGGAGACACGAGGTGAACTGTGCTCACTGAGGAGTTCTGCACTGCATTGCAAGTGTTTGTAGAGAACAGCACAGAAAAGAAGAATTACAGAGTACCATAAGGAAAGTACTGTCAACATAAACCACTGTAGTGAAATAACTTTTTCTAAGAAGTAGCATGCATGACCTATGTTGGGGAAAGAATTAGGGAATGGAGTACAGGCAAAAATCTGTAAGTGAGCTATGGATGAGGCTTTTGTATGGTTCTGCATCACTTCATCCTCTCACCACACAAGCACATGACACAAGTTCCCCAGGTAACACCTTTTTAACTTCTGGTCAGAAATCTCACCCTCTTGCCCTTAAAACATGAAGAAGTCTTTTTCAGAAAAAAGACAAATCTTGCTGAGGGCCAGAGTGAGGTGCTCATTCAGGAGACAACCTGCACCCACTGCCCCTGTGTATGCTACCACGCCAGGTGAACCTGGATGCCAGACAACCACAGCACACAAGATACTGTAGCAGTGGTGTTGGTACCTGTGGCTTTTACCCTGTGACAAAAATCTGTGGTACACTACCAAGTGCTTCAGGCTTCACCTTCCCAGGCACTGTGGATGTACCTCTGAAGCAGACACAATCCAACCTGGCATGCCAGTTCTCCCTTCCACAACCTCACATGTGCTTCCTACTTGTGTCAGTGTTCTTCAATCTCATTTATTCATTCTCCACTGTGGTCATTCTGAGGTTCTTCCACGCAGATTATAACGGTACAGGGCAGCACTCATTAGTGTGGCACATTTTATATTTCAAACATCAAGGTGCTTGTAAGGTGGGGAGTGATTAACATTTTAATAGCTGCCCAAGACAATTATGAGGCAGCTCTGAGCAGCTCATCCAATGCACCTCAGTGTCTCTGACAGAACTTCCCTCAGCAGGAGCATCCTTGTCAGCATGACAGCAGGCTAAGATCCCCCAGGCATATGGAGGGATCGAGAAAGGGCAAATTCCTCCTTCAATTAGTGCCAATCACACCCTGAAGCATACTGTCCATTACAGACTGCACAATGGCTTCCCACATTCAAGTTTTTCGATGCATATTCTGGCAGTACCTACATAAAACATGAAAGGACTGTGCGATTATTTGGCATTCTGCATCACTAAAATTAAAATAACTGACAGCTCATGCTTATGTAATGGATGTCACTCAGTTCAATATTGAGGTTTCAAGCTTTTCAACTATTTCTCAAAATCTGAGTGGCTTGCTTCATGGCTACAGAGAGCATCCAGTTTATGGTATTTGCCTCCTCAAATACTCCTTATGAGGAACAAAGGTGTTTTTTTAATGCATAACCAAAGTGACTAATCCCATATCTCACACAAAGGACATATCCACACCACCACTGCTAATACTTCAAGCAGTCTAGAAATCAAAACATCTAGGTTGAAACCAGAGTATTCATTATTTGAATTAAGAAAATAAGCAGTGCAAGCCCAGAGTGGGTTTTATGAAGCTTAATTCAGGGACACAAACAGAAAAAAATTCTCTTTCTATTAAATTTCAACAAATGTAATAATTGCTGCCAAACACATTGTTCCAAACACTGCAAAGAACACGCTCTATTTTGTAAAAAAAAAAATCACCCTATCATGTAGCAAAAATCAGTTACTGCTCTTGAAATATGATAAAGTTCTTTCCTTAAGAGAGGAAAAATTAAAAACCAGCAAACAAGGCAGATTGAACAGCTGCGTCTTATTTAGCCAATAAACTCATGGATGCGAATACAATTTATTATTCCAGCAGCCCTCCTCCTCCAAACAGGGCTCGCTGACACCCGGCAATGCTTTACCTGTCCACATTTGCGGGGGGCTGCTGTGCAGCCCCCGTGCGCACGCAGGCGGCCGCTGTCCCGCCGTGCAGAGGTGGCACTGCTGCTGTCCCGCCGTGCAGAGGTGGCACTGCTGCTGTCCCGCCGTGCAGAGGTGGCACCGCCGCTGTCCCGTTGTTATGTGATGGTGGCACTGCCGCTGTCCCGTTGTTATGTGGTGGTGGCACCGCCACTGCTGTCCCGTTGTGTGGAGGTGGCACCGCGTGCTGCGGCCCCGCTGCCGGCTCCGAGGGAGAGGCAGGACTGCCTGGGACTGGGCAGAGAAAACAGGTTTGCATAAAACCAAGCAGCAGCATCTACACTGGGGATTAGGGTAAAATATCTTCTACAAAAGCCAGCACAGCCAAGGCGAGTTACAATTTAAAAAAAATATAGGGTTCCCACACCCCTCCCCACCCCTCTAGCCAACCCCATCTCCTCTTGTCAGCTTTTTGGGCACACAAACCCTGTTTCAGGTCCAAAGTAAATGTCAGAAAGCCAGATTTCAAAGCCATAGCTTTGTGAACAAGAATAAACATCTTACAATCATATGCACAATTCCAACATATAAGCCAGTGGGCAAAAGAGACTGATATCTGATAGAATGTTGTGCTGGGACTTTTCAAGTAGTAATAGCGAATGAAATACAGCAAAACTTGGATATTACTCATTCCATACACTGGTATTTCTTGATTCTAGTGACTGAAAAGGAAATCAAGAAAAAAAAACATCTCCATTGGGATCTCCACTTCTTTCAATAAGTACCAAATGACTACTATAAAACACTGCAGAGAGCAACATAAAATGAGAATATCCCTGTCCCTCATGCCAGAACCATGTAATACATGTTTCTGGCCCGCCCTGTGGTTTTCTTTTAAAGTACAACTACAGCCTTCTGCATTGTATCTAGAGTCCCTCTATTCATGTTCAGGTCAGTAAGAGGAAGCAACTGCACCCCACCCTGCTAACATCTGCCACAGTAATTGCAAGGACAAGTCAGTATTCCTAGGCTTGGACACATTTATCTACATTACCCAAAACCTCATCTGGTAAGCCCCTCCTTCAGCTGCTCAATTTCACTGTACTCCAAATGTTTGGGCTGAAGACTTTTATACTGAATGCCTCAGTCTGATCTTTGGCCAGTTTTTATATGGAAGATACTAGAAATAGGGGTTTCTGTGCTTCTACAAATTGAGTAACAGGAAAATAGATTTGCTTTAACTTTTAGAAGGAAAAAAAAACAGAAGAAAAAGTTGTTCTGCTTTGGAAATGCAGAACAATCTCATATTTTTGAAGCAGAGGACAAAATGACAAATGACAAAAAGGTGATGGATTTTTTTCATTGTGTGATTTGGCCATTCCCATAAATGTTTCCTCAGGTTTTGGCAAACAGTAAGACTTCAGAAAAAAATTTAAAACAAATGGTTTGTGGATAGTCAGGGAGATTCATGTGGCTGGAATATACCTTTAACTCAATGGTACATGTAGATAATGCAAAGTCAAACAGTAGAGCAGCCCTGAGGCTGAGAGCAGTCTTCTCTTTATTCAGTCATTCAAGGATTCTGACCTTCCCTTGGGCCTGGGGAAATGGAGATCCAAAGTCTCCTCTGCCTTAGGAAACTGATAAAAGACTACTTTTTGTCTATCTCTGGAGGGAAAGCACTAGCCAACAGTTGTGGAACACTTTATAGTGTCAGGAATTCTTTAAATGGTTTATAACACTTTCAACAGTGCCCAAAGACAAAGATGGCATCCCAGATGAGTCCTGTATCAGTAGATCACAAACGTTTTTCCACTGAGATAATATGTAAACAAATAACAAACATGGGTAATGAAATCTGCATCAAAAGGCTTCCTGACAGTACTAATTATAGTGTTCACTTTAAAAATCAAGAAAAAAAGTCATCCATCAGTCACTGCTGCTGTCTTCCATTTCACTCAAATACAAAAGAGAAAAAGATTAATGTCATTTAATGTTATGCTACAGTAGGATAAGCCATTTGATAGCTTGACTTCAGTATCTTTAAACAATGCTAATTCACACCTGGTGATTGTTGAATATAAGCTACATTTTATTTTTCTTCCTTTATTATAAGTATATAATAAAGGAAGAAATATATATTTTTTTTCTTATATAGAAAATTACCTAAAAAGAAATAGAGGGAATAGAGTAGAAGAAAAGCATAAGAGTGTGTTAAGTGCATAAAAGTGTAAGGTGTAAAGCGCATAAAAGTGTAAGCTTTTGTAGTAGCTCAATTTTGTCAAAAAAATAAATACAGGTCAAGTGAATAAGGCAGCAGGTGTGGAAGAAAGAAGTCGCAGGGAGATGTTTAGAACAATGAACACTTTCTTTTAATGACTAACAAGAAATAATCTTTTAAGAAAATTGAGTAAATCTGCAACAACCACATCTGAAATAATATAAGAAACAAACTAGAATCAGTTTATTTTGTGATCCAAATCACAGAATCATTTCCTTTCACTTTATAAATAAACTTGCTAAGAAAATTGCTTTTGTCAAACACCAATGAGACCAAGTTGCTAAAACACTGGACTCATTTAGTAATGGTTAACTACCTATACAGAAAAGATAAATAATGTCTGCTAAGATTTAATTTATATTCCTCTCATAGTTTTTATTACTGCAGTTAGTGTGCCAAATTTCAGAACTGTTTCCCAAATCACTGTGCTCAGTAGGCATTTATTCACCTGTTGTGCTCAGGGCACAGTTAAACACAATACCTGCTTCTCCAGTAATATTTGCCTTTGATATATGTCCATTTTGCTGGTCATTGGATTTCTACAAAGGAAGCACAGTTTTGTAAATTAAAAAAGGCAGTAGGGAAAAAACCAGAAACATGTTCAATATTTACACATGTTAAGTAGCAGCACTGACCTTATCTACAGCTTCTACACGCCTAGTTCTCTTCATGATCTCCTCAAGCCTCTACAATGAAATGTAAATGGGTAAAATAATGTTTGCTGGCATTAATTTGAATATCTTTCTCCCAAACCACAACTGCTTGTCATTTATCAGCTGTATCTGTTTATTGCAAAAAAAATGAATTATTTATTACTGTTGGCAATATTCCCTTCATTGTCACATGAGGCCAATGAGGACTGCAGCCTTTCTGAGAGCACATTTACATCATTTACTTCCTACTGCTCAGGTGGAAACAGACTGCTAAGGCAAAACCAATCACAGTTTCTCTGCATGGACTGAGTTACCTTCTTCCTTTCCAAGCGCTCTTGCTCTTCTCTTTGGAAATGCTTTTCGCGTTCCAATCGAATCCTCTCAGCCTCTTCCCGCAGGCGAGCTTCCTCTTCTTTCTACGTTTGTGGCAAAAGAAAAAGAAGCAAGGAAAAATAAGCAAGGAGTGACAAGTTTTACACTGTATATCTCATTATGTGTGTCTACAACACCCAGAAAATACACTTTTGGGGTTTACAAGTCACCATAATCTTTTCAGATGGAATTGCACATTTCTTGATTAATCTCCATGTTTTGCATAGCATTAAGAGAGAATAACTAAATAATGGACATCATGTTTGGTTCTGTGCCTGTTCCAGAACACAGCAGATGACAAATAAGGAATAAATTTTCCAGCCTTCAGCATTAAAACAGCAGCCAGGAAAGTATTAGAGAGATTCATATTTTGTGTGGTGGATATTTTTGAGAGTAAAACAAATGCAGCAGAATGTTTTCTTTGGCTAATAGAATAACTGTTTAATGAGACCAAGGGCAAACAGCCACAGGCTCATTTGCACAAACTTTCCATTTCTGCTTTTTTAATGAAAAGCAAAATTTGTCTGGAATATACCATAGAGGGGCCTTGCTCCTTGACTGGGACACTGTTATATGATGAAACCACTACAGTAGATAATTTTTTGCATCTCTAACATCCAAAAAAGCCTTGGCCACATGCTATCTTTGAAGACTAAATTAAGTTAAGCCTCAGTTTAACATTTCAAAGAAAGTAGCACAAATCTTCTGAAAAAGAAGAATGGAGTTTCTCAGCCATATTCACTAACACAGTCCTTTAAACATTTATTATCAGAAGCATACATTTATACACCAGAAGAAAAACCTCACGTCTACAAGACAAAGTGAAGCACATGCAAGAAGTAAGAGGACAGGTGAGAAGAATCAAATCCTATCCAGAATGCTTACCACAGCCTCTCCAGAAATCAGTAAACCAACATTATGCCCATCAAAAATGAATGTACTTGAAAAACTTAATTTTCATTTATTACGTCTTTCGACTGATTTCTGGAGTACTGGGCCAGATAAAGGTTCTCCTTGGTTTGATTAAATCTACCCCTTCCCACCAGCCCCACACAAAAGCAGAATTTGACATAGGATTAGAATTCAGCAGTACTGTATCTCCAACACAGTGAATCTTTATCTTTACGCCTGGACTTGCTGTAAGTCTTGGGACAAAGAATTCTCTGGTATAACAGCATTTACCAAAATTCCTCAATACAACTATATTGCTTTTTTCATCCCAATTTACGAGGAATAAGAAAGAATTTGTTAAAAACACATTGAAAAGGGAGAGAGGGAAAAAAACCCCAAACCTCAACTCTCTACCACATGTTTCTGTCAAGTACAAAGATCTCCACTCTTTGAATTACTCTATGGAATAAACTCTGTCCCAACACTTTTCAGTTAACATTTAAATTGTAAATATTGTTCTAATTTAGGTAAGAAGTGCTGCTACACCCACTTCACTGTGGGTGTAGCACTAGGGCCAGCTAGACTGGCCCAGAAATTCCAAGAGGGAGGCATACTTGTTTCTGAATGCGCTCCATCTCTTCTTTCTCCTTCTGCTCTCTCTCTTCTGCCTGGCGGCGCAGCCGTTCCTCCTTTTCCCGTTCCTCTGCATCCTTCCTTTGTTTTTCTGCTTCTTGTCTGCGAGCTTCCTCCTCTTCTCGGCGAGCTCTTTCTTCAGCTATCCTCTGGGACAACTCCTCTTTCTTTTGTCTGCAATCATTAAATAAGCATAAGAAACACAGGTAATAAATCAGGGAGAAAAGCCAAACCACCAGGTTCCTGATCTGACAGCACTGCTGTCCTATTCCTAAGCTGTCTGTTCTGCTTCCCATGGTGGGGGGCCACACATGAAGCCCTATGGAATATAAATAACTTTGCAATTCAACACCAAAACTTTTCCAGCGTATTTCTGCCTAATCCATGACTCGCATACTTTCTGAGTCAGAAATAGTATCTTTGATTAATACATTTTGGAAAACACTCCTTTCTGCTATAACCATATTTGAAACAGTATGCATTTTTGGCACCCATCTCACCTCATGGCAATGATTATTCCTTGATTTAAAAAAGTATCTAATTCTGCTGTTTTTTGAAGGTTACCTCCTAACCTTACTAATGGCCCCTCATATCCTTGTGTTATGAAGTGAGTGACTTTTCCCTTTGCCTTTGATGTTTCCTGAATTATTTAGGACTTTTAAGCATATCTTCCCAGCTGAATAATCCTCACCTCCTTAGTAGATGTTCATATGGGAACTGTTTTGTGCTTGTGATCTTCCTTGATGTCTGTCTGCACTTATTTTTCTAGTTTGACTAATTTTACTATTGCAAAGAAAAAATAAAACTCAACATTGAAAAAGTAGATTTATCTTGGGTCGTTCAGAATGACATTTTCATTTTGTTCTTGTTTTCTACTAACTTGTAACAGTTCATTTACTTTGTCAACCATGACTCACCTGATACTTTCACATATTCATTTCCAACCAAGATCTTTTCCCTCAGAAATAATTCATCCAGAGACCAACACCAGTAGTCAAGTTAGGATTATTTCCTATACACACTCCTTTATGCTTGTTAGTACAGCAATTCAGCTTCCATTTTGTAGCTCAGCAATGTAAGATATCTCTCAACCTTCTCACAACTGACTTATGTCACTGGAGACCAACATCATCTCACTGGCCTCAATTCCTTTCAAGTTCTTTTATGAAGGCACTGCACAGACACTGGAAACTCCTCTCACTGTAAAAACTGATTATTCTTTACTTTTTATTTTTGATCTTTCTGACTTAGTATTTATCCACCATATTACTCTTACACCACAGCAGCTTTTTTTCTTTAAAACTCTTTTTGAGAGAGTCAGTGTTGTGAGCCTTTTGGAAAGCCAGGCCATTTTAACTGGTTCAGCCTTGCTCCTATCAGCAAAGTGGTTAAAGAAATCCAGCAAATTCCAGAGGGATGACAGCTCTCTAAAAAAACAACCAACTTGTGCTTAGCCACAGTCATGTATGCAGATGGGCTACTCATTTGCTATTAGAAAGTGAGATGTAACATTAATTACCCTCCAAAACTTTTGGGAGGGTGTTGGGGGTGTCTATTTTAAACGAGAAAACAAAGAGGTCTAAGTCACAACAGCTGGACACCTAAAGCACCACCCACAACAGAGGTCTTACAACTCAAAGTAAGAGACTTTGTGCCGATCACAAAGTTGAAAACAGCCATGCAGAGTTCTCTAGCTGCAACAAAAAAGTACAGCTTAATCTCTGAGGAAAAAATGAACCACAACTGCAAGGATCTACTCTCTCCTCCTGTCTTATTTTAAAGCTCTACATACAAAAAGTTTTAACCTTAAACATCTGCTTAGGATATATTCCACCAACTGGAAAACCCAAAAGGAAAACATAGTTTTGTGGAGGAACTTGTGCCTTCTGCACTTCAGTGCTGTGCTTCATATATAACAATGTAACAGCAGAATACACACAAGCTTCTACACGCATATTTCTTCATACCTCTCTACTGCAGAGACCTAGAATTACCTTTCAAGCTCCTCTCTCTCCCTCCTTTCCTGCTCCTCCCGTTCCCGCTGCTCACGGGCAAGGCGCCTCTTTTCAGTCAGCAGCCTTGTGGCTTCTTCAGGGTCAGTTGTACCTGCAGAGGGCTTGGGCAGTGCTGGGGCTGGAGAAACAGCTGGAGCAGGAGGCAGGGTTGGGCTGGCTGCTGAAACTAATGGGAAAGAAAATTAGTTTGTACAGACACAGCAGCCAAGATCTCACTCTTTTGAAAAGAACAGAAAATACTTTTAAATGCACTGCAAAGTGTTTTCAAGCTTATGTGGTTTTTTAAATGATTCTGAGGAGGAAGATGTTTCTAGATGCCAGAGGTCCACATACCTTCAGGGAAGTTTGGTTTTGCAGGGTATGTGAAAGCTCCTGCAGCTGAAAGTGTAAGTCAAGTTTTCTGTCAGAACAAATGCTGACAGGTGCTTAACAGGATTATGCAGACTCAGCAAGTCCCTACCATCACATTACTTAAGCTTGCCCAATTCTGTTTGAAGAGCAGAAAGAGAACATTGTGAAATTATATTTTTTTCTGTCTGATCATCCACATCTGAAGATCAGAGCCAGAAGTTTTGGTGATAGTCACTTTTGGTGACTTGGCGATCTCAAACATCAACTGCCTGATGTGACCTGCACCAATGCAGGACACCAGCTATCCTCAGTTTTGCAGCTGCTCCAGCCTGAGGCAACTCATGGGACACAGCATTTTTAATTTTGCCACTATTGGTGAACTGTGGCCTGTGTTCAAATCTCAGTAGTGCCTTCATATCAATTCTTTATTCAGGACCAGCTTTGTCCATGTGGCAGAGAAGATGTTAAAGGGTTTTTTTTTCATATTTCTGTAAGTTTGCCTTACATTCTCTAGCACAGGTACAAAGTGACTCATCACCTTTTCTCTAGACACCAGGGATCATTACCAACACAAAAGCTAATGCTAGGAAGCATTCCCAGAGTAATCCCATCTGGTAATACAGGCAAACATGGCGAGGGAAGACTTTGAACTGTCAATGAAATCAGATTCTGGCCCAGTAATATACATGTAAAATAAGTCATAAGGAGCAGCAAGCAGATGATTATAAATCTGCATTTCTAACCATACACTGGGATGTGACAATTTTCCTAACCTCACTACCAACTTCTAAAGAGGGGTCTCCTCCCTGCTTATCCCCTTCCTATACCTCATCATGTAAACAAACATAAATTCATTTGTTTTCTGTGCTGAATTCCAATCTGTTGACCTCTCTGCTCTCCTCTTCTATCAGCTAAAAACTACAGAGGTCTTTCTAAAACTGCTTCAGGGCTTTGACCATGAATTCAAATTATTCTTCTACACCAGTAATTTAAAGAGTGCCAGTGCCTGTTCTCTAGCCTTGAGGTGAGCTGGCACAGTTTAGCCCTAGTGCAATGGAGCACTATTCTCTCACATTACCAAAGCAGGTATTCAGCCCAACCCCAGGGAACAGTCCAAAGCTGGGCTAACCTCCAAAATGTAGCTGGAACATAGAAAATTCTGGGATGTTGAAATATAAAAAGTAAGCAATTTGATCACTCTGAATCTTGGGAGCCATTTAGAGCCGTGCTCTTAGTAGCCTTGGGGACAGAAGGTAAGAAAATGAGAGGCTGCAATTACAGCCTGGATCAGAAACATACCAGAGAGCCTTTGTAATTGTAAACAGTATAAATGACAGAGTTCCTGTATCTCAGCCCTTTTTAATTTACTAACATGGGCCAAGGCAGGGCTGTTGCTTTGAAGGGAGCTGCTGCTTGGAGCTTGCTTCTTGCCTCAGGCGCTGAAGTTGGCAGCACAACAAGTAGCTTAATGCACACCTGCCCTGCTGTCAGAACAGATAACACCCAAAAGACCTTTAAAGCTTCACTGGCATTAGTAAAGTTGTGTATGAGATTTGCCTGCAAAAGCTTGAACAGCTTCATCAGCCATTGCTACCTGCTGACCTCCTGGCTCCTGTGAACAGAGCCAGCATGCAGGTGAACCAGACCAGTGAAAGGCCAGTGCTGTTACCTGTAGGGAATGAGCTGTATTCACCTGCAACACAGTCCCAGAAGAATCAGCAACATTCCTCCAGGCCCAAATGCTAGAGGAATTGCACCTCTCTAGATTCTTGAATTCAACAACCAAGTTTTGGCAGCTGGGGCCTCCATCGGCAGTACAAAGCCATCCCATAACCTCACATGTAAAATGCTCTGCCTGAGGTCTCCATCTTTGGTCCCAACCACCACCTCCTCTGCCTTAGGGAAAACACATTCAGTTTGAAGGACTGCTCCCTACTTTGACTATAGTACCCTTCTCTTTCATTTGTCTCTATTTTATATTCTTGTGTGTATTCTTTGATGTGAATACAAACTGCTTGACTTTTGACTAGCTTTATCACACATAACCTGCTTCAATATTAAGAGACACATAACCTGCTTCAATATTAAGAGACCTTGCCACAAACTCAAATACTGACAGATGCTGCAAAGAAGTGGAGCTTCTCTTCCTCCTGAACTAAACAGTCAAACAAGCATGCTGGTTTCTCTGGTCAGCACCTTATACTGGAGACCTACAACTTGAAACACCTGGGTATCAGACAGGAACTACTGTAACAGGACTTAATAAAACAGAAGAAATCAATTCACATGATTTTTTTTTCACAGAACAAACCCAAACTATACCTGCTGCAGTTGAATGCAAGATTACTAACACTTAAAACTGTTATCTGAAAGATCACTAAAGGAAAGTCTATGAATTTTAAGTTCAGAATTGTAACTAACCCAACTTGTGTATCCCAGTGGTCATACTGGACTTTCTATCTCATCTGCAAGAGACAGTTTATGCCATATTTAGAATGAACTCAATTTTTTGCTAGAAGAAACCTATGTTTTTTCATTTTCAGATTTACCTTTTGCCCTTTCTACACTTTACAGTTTTGTGGGGGTTTTTTTGTGTACATTCTTTTCTGCATTGCTACTTTTCAAGGTTGTTAGGGTTTGGTGTGGGTTTCTTGTTCACTAGTTAACTATTTTTAGTAACTCATTTTCCCTTAAAAATTCTCCCTATTCCTTTTTACTCTTCTCCTTGGTTCTTTGCATTCCATTACATTCTGCTAATCTCTCCTGTGACATGGTCCTCTTGCAATATTATACACAAGCTAGCAGTATTACCAGCACAAGTGCACTGTGCCTAGCACAGCTGGACATTGTCACTGCTCACACACCTTATGTGATGTTTTCCTGTACAATTAAGTCTTCAGACCATTATTATTTTACTTCAACAGTTTGTAAAAAAGCTGTATTATGATATGGGGCACAAAATTCCTGTCCAAAAGGGCAGAGAAGAGGCTTGTGAAGCCACACTATGTGAGGCAGTTTGACATGTTGTTTTGACTTGAAGCAGGAGGGCTTCAACCTGCCTAGAATTTCCTCATGATGAACATACATCTGCAGGACTGTTGTGAAGAATTCAGACTAACCTTTGACAGAAAAAATACTGAAAGTTGCATCATTTTAGAGAAAGGAAAGGAAAATTATAAAACATTCCTTAACCTAAAGTAGCAGTTCTCCTTACCTTGAGTTAGCTCTGCTTGGACAGTGAGCTGTTCCTGACTTGTGGATTCTCCAGCACCTGCTGAAGTTCCTTTACTCTCTTCTGTTTTCACCTCATTGGCCTTTTCAGCCTCCTTTTCTGGTCTTTTCTTCTCACCTTCTGGTTTGATCTCTTTTTTGACTGGCCGGATGTTGCCAGGAGAGGGAGGACGTGTCTGAGCAGAGGAAACTTTGGAGGAACCAGGTGGGGAAGTTATCTGCTTGGGTGTGCCAGGCAAAAAAGGCAAAGACTTTGATGCATGCCTGTGTAATCAAAGAGTGACAAAGCTTGTTTCCACTTATATATCACTTCTACAATCATAGCAGCTAAAAATAAAATCACTTCCCTGTTTCTTTATCAAGCAGGACTGCTGGCACAACTGATACGGTTTCATGCAAAATGCCTCTCTCCAACTCTCCAGATGTGTGAGCACTGAGCCCAACCAGGATGAAACCAAGTATTTTCCTGACCCTTCCCCTTCTCCAGAACAGTAGCAAGATTTTTTTAAAAGTAGGACTGTCTTTCCTTTTCTTTTTGCAGAGAGAAAACATCTACATCATCAAATACATTTGCCCCGTTTCACATTTGATTAATAGAACAATTAGAGCTGCCAATAGCTCATGTCCAGCTAAGCATGTACTTGACTTACCAAACTGGAGAGGGAGCTGATGATCTAGCTTTGAGGCTGGAAGTAAAATGACCTCCTTTAAAGTTGGCTGAAAAGCTGGATGACAAATGGTCCTTTTCTCTTTTGTCAGTCTATAGCTCAGCAAACAAAAAGACAAAGTCAAGCCAGAGTTCACACAGCTAAAGAAAGCAAAGCAAGCTTAGTTAAGGACGAGGAGTTGGGGGGCTGTGAAAAAGCAGTGCTGAGTCAGTGGTTTCTACAGCTTGTTTAACAAGTTCCTGAATATAGCTCCTGTAACCTGACACCATCTTTGTCAGTAGATGTGCATTTGACAACAAGAATCCTTCTTAATCATTCTCTCCTGTCCTAAGATGTAATAGGCTAATTTACCGAGGCTTATTTTTACACAGGCAAAAAAATGACCTCTTATAGTTTGATCTTTGCTGACTGCCACAGAGTACCTTCCACTGCTTCTCATAAACACAGGATTTCTTTTGAAGAAAACACAAAACAAGTCCCCCTCCCCTTGGTCATACTTGGTCACAGTCTTTCTATATAGCACAATATTTTGGATTCATGCTTACAAGTGAACACCACAGATGTCCTCAAAGCTTCCAAATACGGTACACCAGTTATCCTAGTCTTTCTTTTCTTGGATGATTTTACAGCACATACATTTAGCCATTTGTTCTTATACATGATAGTGATTTCCTTTTTCCATCTTTATTTTTAAAACATACAATCCTAAGTTGAGAAACATTTCTAATAACACAAACAAGAGCTACAACAGAACGACTGCTTTAAGGGAATATATCAGAATTTAGGTATCTACATACAACCCATATTTAAGTATAGATGAAAAACTTCATGGTTTCGGAATAATGAGCTCAGACCCCAGGAGTCTGAAGAATAGGAATACTGGAAAGTACACTGAGCTGCCACTCAGCCAGCATGATGCTGAGGCTGCTGCTCACCAGCCTTAAACACAACCCCTGTAGCAGGTGTGTCATGGGGCTTGAGAGCCTCACCAGCTGAAAGCTGTGCAATGCTTGTCCCCTGAACTGAAAGCCAGGTTAACAACTGGAAAAGACAGACTGAAAACAACTTCACGAGCACATGATATGCTGAGTTATCAAAGTAAACAGAACCAGAATAAATGCACTACCATGAACAATAGTTTTGGCTTGCTAACAGTAACTCTCCATTGTATCTGCTTTATTAGCACTGAAAGCAGAGCATCAGAAAATTTTTTTCTCGTATCAATAAAGTAAAAAGCTGAATTCACACAAAAGTTTGCAGAAGTATAAAAGATTTTCCACATCATACAGGCTACAGGAAACAGCTCTTAACTCACTCATTTTATATTAACAAGAGTTTTATATCACCTCCTCCACCAAAAAGTAACAACCTTTCTTCTTTTTAATTCAGAAAAAAAAGCCAAACCCCAAACCTCCTGCAATCAGAAAGACTTAAGAGGAAGAATCAACAGGCCAGGAGACTGCCATGCTCTATGTACGTGCTAGGAAATTTCTCTAAAGATACGTAGTAAGGCTATGCCTTAGCTTAAACTTCAGTATACTACCCTCTGCCTGAAAGATTAAGTAGCGGTTATGACTCATGGCACTTTGATTAACACTGCTTCCAACAAGGATGTCAATTACAGCACTGCCTCTTGACCTTCAGCCCATCAGGCCAAATGAAAATGCAAGCACCTCTTACACAATGTTTTGCAGAGATGACTTCAACTCTTCTCACACTCTAAATTAACTCAGGTTGTAGAGTACAAGAAAAATATAACCGCTTAGGTTCAGCAAATGAATCTGAAGTGGGTCTGACTGCATCCCACTGGAGCACAGTCAACACGAGTTCGTTCTACTGTTTCGATTTTCCTAAAAGCTCAGATCAGCCCTAGTACTGCTATTAAATCATGCAGAATCAACAGTGACTTGTGGAAAGCCTTGCTTATAAACCATGCTCCTAAACCAACTTCTTCCTTCCTAGTGAGGAAAAGTTTACTAGCCTGGTCTCCTAATAAAGTACAGATGAAGTGAGTGTACTCTATGCACTTGTGTACAGAGACACGTGAGTGCATGCATTCCCCCCCGCCTTTATTTTAGGGGCTCAGTTCAGTTTGCTAAAGGCCACAAAAGACATCAAATTCTGGAACCTTTGTGAAAACAGCCTGCTGGAGAAAACAAGTTCCCCACTGAGGGAAAAATAGCAACACCATCTTGGGCCTTAAAAGGCAGCAAATAATCCATTTGAGAAGGGGGCACTGTGACTGCCTCTGTGCCTTGTGCGAAGCTAAGGCACCTACTCTGCAAACACAGATGTTTGGAAAACATCAGTGCTTTTCCACATGGATTCTTTGGTGCATTATCAGGCTGTGCCACCACATAATGTAGCATGTTTCAGTTAAAATCCAGCCAACTATGACACAAACTGGAGAGGTGGGGACGGTGCAGGGGGGAGGAAGTATCCCTGCAGCTATTCCAATCCTAAGAAGCAGGGCAGTCAGGTGGTCATGGCAGGGGACACTAAGGACACGTTGGCTGCCAAGCTTACCCCTGCAAGGTGCGTTGTTCTCCGACGTCCAACGGCATCAGTGGAAGCATAAAGTTTTGCTCGTTCTCCTGAATTCCTACAGCTCAGGGCCTTGTAGGAGAGAGGACTGAGGGGGCTGCAAGACGCTGAACGGGGACAAACGGGGATAACTACGGTGTTGGATGGTTTTGTTATTTATTAGTTTTAATTACAGAGTAGCATTGGAGAATTGACAGAGGAAAGCCAGCAGGAACAGAAACGACCGAGAAAGACAGAAAAGAAAGAAGGAATTAATACACAGAGAAATGACTAAGTATCAAGTCAGAACCATCATTTGACACATTAGCTTGGCCACAAGGACAGTAAGGATGTAATTTCAATAGGTGCTCGTGCACTTTTCCATTTGTGAACTAATAGTTTCTTTCTAAAAAATTAAGAAATATGCCATGATACTGGGTAGTAGATAGTATTTTCCAGTTAAGTTTTTGTACAACTGGTGGTTCTGAAAAGGCAGTAGAAACCATGGCTGGTCTGACAGATTAGCTTAGTAGACACATTGAAATGAGTTTCAATTACATTCAGAATAGGAAGCAATCAAACAAAATCAGAATGCCTACAAACTGCATTGGAAGTGAAGAAAAATTAAAGGAGACATGCACACAAAGATCAAAATCCATTAACAATACAAACCAGTTTCAACTAGGAAATCAATGAAATTGCTATCTGCGATTTACAGCAAGTGATTTGTTTTTTAAAATTCTTCTTTTTAGGAATAGTTTAGCCCATTGTATTTTTTGATACTTCTAGAATAACAACTTACTCAAATAAATTCTCAACAGCAAACTATTTTACACATTTTTAAAAAAGCAGGCTGACAATAACAAATCAGCTTTGAAATTAGTATTTGACTAACCAGGATGGCAGCTTGTGTTGGTTTGCACAAGCAAAAAGACCATTACCAAAAGATCTGACAATAGCAGGTATCAGATATACAGTGCTCTGATTTTATCTTCAAAGAGAACTTTAACTGCAAGACATATCATGGGAAACTTCTTGCAGCAAAGTGTTCTTGGACTTTGTCTTGATATAACTGAAGGAGAAAATTGGGGAAAACTATGTTATTACTGCAAAGTTTTATTTTTATGCTCCTGTTTTTCTCTTCTGGTCATTTAATTGAGTCTTAGCACAATTACTATCCAGCATGTCACTTTAGGAAAAAATAGGGGCTCTATATATTCTCTTTCCTATTCTTTTTTGTTCCTCTCCATGCCAAATAAATTTGCATCCTCTATTTCCTTAATGAAAAGTCAAACCAAACAAAACCAAAGCAATATTTCTTGCCTGTATATCCCTCTCTGAGCACACTTGAAAGAATGCAGTTCCACATACAGTTAATTCTTCTAGTCTTACAAAAGTACAGCTGCTGTTACAGGAAGAGCTCATAGACTTAGCAGTACTAATGCTGCAAATTCTCCTGCACCAAGAGATTAACATTATGAATAAAGAGTCTCATGTAAGCGTTACAGCAATGGCACTAATGCTTGCCTTATAGTTCACAGGGATTTATGTTTAATGAGGAATTATGACTAACTTAAAAACAAGCAAGAAACAAGAATCAGGGAATTTTTTTTGTGGTTTTATTTTGGTTGAGGGCATCTAAACCAGATAGGAGGCAGTGGCATAATGCTTTACACCACTTATCATTTATGTGGCTCCTGCCCTGTGATTCAATTCCCCTTCTGCATGCTGATTATCTGAAATTACCACCAAGGAAGACAACATAAGTATTAAAAGAGAAACAGTTCATTTTCATTTGTGAAGTTGCCAAACAATGCTTTAGGCAGCACTTCCAGTGATTCATGTACTAACAGGATTACATCTATTCAGAGGAGCTTTTTGAAAGCTATTTACAAAACATTTTGGTTTTGAAGGATTAATTTTTAAAAAGATCCAGATGTATTCTTATGCTGGACATCCCTAATACCTCACTTAAAATTTAAGGACATGAATCTGTATTTAACTCAGTTTGGATTTTTTACATTGCAATTTATTTTTACAGCCAAAGGGCAGGGTAATTTTCTAGGGAATAATGGCAGGCTGGGATGAGTGGAGTGTTCAGAGCACAGCTGTGAGCCATTGCCATCACTTGATCATTAATCTCCAGGAAGCATCCTGTATGAAGGGGCTGAAGTTATTGCTCCTAGAGAATAATACCTGGAAAACAATGAGCAGATGGATCATTCTTCTGGAGGTATAGCTCCAGTTAGCATGGGAAGGCTTTTCAGGGAAGTGCCTTAGACTGAACTGACAAATCAGTCTTTCCTGCTTTTTGTAGCCTTTCTCAATATTTCACTCAGTTTAGGGTTGGTTGTGCAGTATAAACAAGCGCAGTCACAAAAAGCTTCATGCTTGCTCTAGGAAGGTAGCCACTTACATGCGGCCTTCTCAACTACTCCCTAATGAAGAGCTGAATTTCCAATATCCTTTTTCATGGGTGATATTACATGTTAGTTTTACAAGCTATTGTTTTTGAAGAATAAAAAAGAAGTCTGTGCTTATTAATTCTACTACTTTCAGAATATCATCCACATTTTTGCTCCTACAGTACTACCCCTGTGGAAACATACCACAACCTAATTAGTAATAAGAGTTCTTAAGTGAAATCTTCTTTAAAAGTAATCTTAGCAGATCTCTCTTCCTTCTTACCTTCTATGTTCTTTAATTAGAATAAAAATCCTGCCCACATCAGACAAGAAAGACTTGCCTCAACTTACAATAATATATTGCTGCACGTGCTGAGTGTGTAATGGTAAAGTTCCTAGTGGATGATTACAAAACATTCTATTCTAAAACATCCTATAATAAAAGAAGAGGTAGCTGTCACCTGCCTAAAATACACAATAAGCAAGTATGCCCTGGTTGTATTTGGAATGCAGTTTTGCCTGGGCCTTCAATTACCACCTAGTGATATCATCGCATTTCTGCACATTAATTTTCCCTCAGCGAGTACCATCAGGGGGCTGTTCTGGGGTTGGCAGACAACTTTACAATTATTATAACCTCACTGAACCTGCACATTTAACTTCACAGGTATTAAATGCACAGTAATCAGGGCCTATCTTTATAAAAGTCTAACTTTCTCAATGTTGGAAGTGCTCTGGTAGGGGCTGAAACTCCTTTGCAGCAAGCAGCTCACAGCTTTAGCAGTGGGTGTGCTAAATCAGCTCTTTCCAACTAGATGTGCATTTCCTTAAACAGCCATGGCCAGCATGATGTTGTTGCCCTGCATGTTTTGTATGTTATGTTTTGTATTCATTTATTGCATTGATGAAGAGGCAAAAGTAAGAAAGAGTTAGTAGGAGGAAGAGAAAGAGGCATAGCAAACAACTGTTCAGGGAAGCTTTCATGCTGTCATGCACACTAATCATGGACGTTCGAGTTCACTCTGGAATGCTACCATACACCCATAATTAGATCAGTGACTTTACAACATCCGGCAGGGAATCTGGAAAAATAAGTGTCTGAGACATGAAGCCTCTGCTGTTATAGGATTACCTGCATCTCCAGACAATGCAGCTGTGCTTTTACTCCGAGCCAGGAATGAGTGTGTGGGCGTCAGGAGCCTGCTAACGATGCTGCTCTCCCATGGACTGAGCTGAAGACGGCGAGCTGAACGTGCACCATACAAGCAAGATGTTAGATCAAACACTTCACATAGAACCACATGCTGCAGAGCGTTAGTACTCTTTCCTCATTACTGCACACCATGAAAACCTTGAAACTGTCCACAACAGTTCAGTGTTTTGCATTTTATTATTACTCCTTTTTAGCAGAAGAATTCCTATAGAAATATGTATATCTGAACATTTAATTTATGTTACTGCCTGTGGCATTATGGCAAATTGTTACCAAGTGAGTACAGATATTTTGCACATCTGCCACATTTCACGTTAGGAATGACAGGATAATTTCCCTACTAGAGGACCAGTTGCACTCCTAAATATACACCTCAACAGAAATGTTTGTGTCCCAAAGGCTTCCTACACTGAAGATATACAGTCTTTCAGTTATATTAAAACACCTTCCAAAGTTTGTCAGCCTACCTAGAAAAACCAAAGGCTGTTCACTGCTATACAGAGAATCGTGTCACTGAGGTTTTATCAAAGCATTGCAAAAGGATAATGTGCCTCAACTGCAGATACCAAGCTCAGCAGCTGCAGTTGTCTCAGTAATAGGTGAAGACACAGAAAACAGTAAATATATTTAATCATTAATTCTCTGTCCACAGATCCTGCTAACGATCAGGTTCCATGTAGAACACTTTTCACATAGTTGCTCTGTTTTGAAAATGCAATACATGTTGACCTGGCTGCAATCACACTGCTACTTTGTTATTCCCCGTGTTGTCTGATGCAAACACAGTTTGTCACTATAATAATTTTATCTTGTAAAGTTTCTTTACTTTTTTTTAATATTAATTAAACATTTATCATGACAAAGCATTAACCAGAAGAATCCTGTAAGTTACTTTCTGTATTGAATTGGGTATTTCTTTGATATTCCAATGCAACAAATTGTTTCATAATGGCCATCACAAGCCAAAACATTCAACTAGTTCCCAAAGTAGTTCATTACAGTAAGCTTACACTATAGCAGTAATCTTGATATTGCAAGCAAAAGCAGGTCTTTTTACACCTAAGCCCTCACTTGCCTTAGTTTACTGTTTGCAGCAACAGAACTGCAGCTTGAATTTATGAGGCTCAATCTTTATAACATCCATTGAAGTGACTGGCTGTAACAAACTTGACATTCATTTGCATTTTTAAAGGAAGAAATCCAGCACTTTTAATAGACATAAACTCTGAATCTCTCTTTAATCTACTCCTTGCTGAGCCCCATGAAAAGAGAGGCTGATCTCAATCTCCTCCTATGAAAATGTAATTGCTTAATCTGCCCTCAGTGCTGTTTTGCACTTCTCAAATTGCTCCCTTAAATTCCAGTAATGCAATAAGGGGCATTACTATAGAAATATAGGAGTCTCAAACACAGCAGGCTCTTTTCCTAACTGTCCTTTTACACAATGTACTATTGCCAGAGATTTTTGTGATTAATGGCTCCATTCCGCAATGGTAGAGATCGTACAGATACACAAAATACCCTACAGAGACCTCCACTACAGCACACACATTATCATTAAGCTTGCAGTTTAACAATGAAGAAATCACAGAGCTACCATTAAACTGCATGCAATAATGGCAAAGTCTTTGCTTCCTCTCATCTCCAGGCACCATGCTCACTATAATCCCTGTTTAAAGCTACTGTTGCAAGACAACCAGATTCTTTTTTGTGGTCTCATGGTTCAGTAGGTGAGGCTCACAGGTATGATTGTACTGTAGTTTAACGTAAAGATCACTCAACTTCAGAAAGCAATCCTTGGTATTTTAGGCCAGTAAACCAGTACTATATATACTATATCCATTTCTTGGCATTTATCTTTACATGACAAGTGAGTGTCAGATCTAAATACGGCCCTGTGGGCCAGCTGCAGGCCTTATGTCACTATATAAGCTTATATAAGTCCCCAGAGATGAAATAATCTCAAGAGGACACAGCTAAGAGTCTGATGATTTTGAACACCAATGTCTCATCTGCCATGTCTCGCATATCTCATATTCCTTGCCCTAAAGGTGAGTACGGTTTAATTATCTTTGGCCCTGACTCAGGGGAGCTGGTATCCACATCCGCTATTGGAAGCAATCCCGTGTCCACAGCATCCAACTGAAGCACTGAGGCAGTGTTTGGGAGTGAGCTAGCTGATATGCACAACAGTGAACTAAAACCAAAAACTTTCTTCTCCATATAAGCAACAGGCCTGCTTCAGAGATGTCAAAATAGTTTTAGCCAGGACCTTGGAGTGAAGTCTCCCTGATTCTCTACAATGGGCTTATATCAGAATTTGTGTGGATGCGCCTTGGCTTTGTGGGCCAGGGTCATCACATACTGAATTTTCCAAATGCACAGCTACCTGAAAGCATCACACTTCACACACTCAATACATATTTTAACAGATTAGCACCACCATTCACCTAAAACAGACAAACTTTCCCCCACTGGGTTCCAACTACCTAGGAGCATTAATACGTAATTTCATTGAACAGCTTCAGTTTGGTGTCGAAACCACACTGGAGCAAAACTGAATATCAAACAAACATCCCAAAATAAGATCAACTTTAAAACAATGAGGTCAGGGGATTATTTTCTTGCTCTTTTTGCTCAGGGTGAGGTTTTCAAGATTTAGTCTTTCAAAACATCTGACAGACAAAGGGAAGCAGTATTTTTTGTTCTCATGATGTGTAAAGCTATGATTCTAAGGGCTATTTCATAGAATTATTGAATGGTTTGGGTTGTAAGGGATCTGAAAGATCATCTAGTTCCAGCCTTCCTCTCATGGACAGGGACACCTTCCATTAGACCAGGTTGCTGAAAGCCCCATCTAGGTAGACCTTGGGGATCCACAATTTCTATGGGCAATCTGTTCCACCTGTCTCCACCAACCTATCTCACCCTCAGAGTGAAGATTTTCTTCCTAACATTCAATCCATTCATTTTGAAGCAATTACCTCTTGGCCCTATTACGACACGTCCTTGTAAAAAGTCCTTCCCCAGCTCTCTCAGGGAAGCCCTCTTGATCTTTTTGCTGTAAAGTCTCCCTGGAGCCTTCTCTTTTCCAGAGTGAACAAGCCCAACTCTCTCAGCTTTTATTGTTCAATTTTCACACAGGAAGCACATTTGTGATAGGCTTGCTTATACAAGGAAGTACCCTTACCCCCAGCCACAAGCAGGTTTTTTTAAAAGATTAAAGATCTTTATAACCCAACTTGTAACTAAAAAACACACAAAGTTGCAGGGTGCTGGCAAAAGTAAATTGGTTACAATCACCTGTATTTGTCTTCAGGATATACAACCTGAATACTGGAAAGTTGTCTTAGCAGCAGCAGAATAATTTGCAAGTAAGCAAACAGCAGCATTTGATTAGCTGTAGGAACAGATGGGAGGCAGGGATTTAACAGGCCTTCTGATGAGCACCACGAAGGAGACTCTCATTGATAAATGTGGTGTTTGCTTTACACATACGCAATATGGTGAGGAGTACATAGGGGGAAACTGCTCTTTCTACAGGAAACAGTACTGGAGCCCCTGAATGTCTTCTATAATGGCTGCAGAAAACAGTAATGCAGTGATTGAGACAATCATCTCCTTGAAAGAAAAATCACTGCAGAAAAAGGGGACAGAACAAGTAGGGTGCAAGTTTTGCAAAACTTCAAGTATGTGACTTACTACTTTTCATGAGGTGTATCTCCTTGCTAAGCTCTCCTTAAAGAGCACAACTGCCAAAATCTATTGGTCAACAGCAGATTTCTCCAGCTGAATATGTGTTCATGTTCTGCTGCAGTTTCAACTATTCACTAACTACAGTAACATAAAAGCACAATGAGAAGCCTGTTCTAGCTTCCCAATTGTACAACTGTGATAAAGAGCTATACAGCAATACAATCTTTGAGATGGCATCAACCAGTCTTTTAGCTAATAAGTTAATGAAAAATTCATTTGCTGCACAAAAAAAAAAAAAAATTAAAAAATTGTCCTTCAAATGATAAAAAGGCATTGCACAGCAGATGACAAGTTCTTGTTGACAGCTATAAGCCACTTAGTAGGTAAGCTTATTATCCTTATCTCCATCTCACTGTTTTGCAGGTAGGAGTCTGTATTACGGACTAAGTGTGATTGGGTGCCCCTCTGGAAGGTGAAATGGGGAGCAGGCAGTCACAGCCTTCCTTTAAGCACCTGCCTTAAGAGGTTGAGCACACTGGAGAGACTAGTGGCACTTCTCCAGATACATGGCTCAATTAGTCAATCTGACTTTGCATGAGAAAAAGCATTTATAGCATTTGGATTTACATTTTGTCTTGGAGTCTGCAAAAGTCACAAGAGACTCCTAAAGAGTTCTGTGCTGTTTTAGTAAAAATGCCAAGCAAAAAATGCCTCAGCATTTTGACATATGGCCATCACTTCCATATTCCATTTTTTCCTCTACCACTAGACTGCCCAGTATTCAGTTTAAATTCTCCTGAACTTGAAATGGGTGACTATGTTACAGTCCACAAGAGACTATCCTTCCTACTTAATGCCTGCTGCTGTTCACCTGCCCACTTCACCACGAGCCTTCCTCAAAAAAATCATTTGGCAAAGAACAGCAACCATTTAAAAAAATATACACACCTGAAAAGCTAATAAAGTTAAAACTGACTGGATTTCAACATTTAGAGCAAGAAATAACTGGTACTTAGGAATAAGTTATTTCCTAAGGTAATACTGTATTTTTCACAAATTACCAGACTGTACAACTAGGTTTGCCCACTGAGATGAACATGGCTCATCAAATCAGATACACATGTTCACTCAGACTTGGAACTTGGTTAAGACACACAAATAATGACATCAGCAAGACAACGCAACTAAAAGTCCATTAAATTTTTTTTAAAAAAATAACTTGATGGATTGAAACGGGACAGAACTCAGTAGAGGACAAAAAAATCTCTACCAAGTACTTTACTGTAAAGCTCTTTGCACCTTACACAAGAGACATTCTTTTATAAAACTTTTAAGCTCAATGCTTCAATCTCCTAAGTCCTCAGAACAGCAGCGGCAATTCAGCTATGTTAATTTTTAAAAGCTTGATGGTTTGTCTTTTTTCAGACTTGTAAACACCAAAAACGTACACTGAAATGAAGCAATCTTTGAGAAATAACTGGACACAAAACATCAATAAACAGACAATACGAAAAACATCCACACCTCTTCCATAAAAATAACAAAAATGGTAATAAAATCAGAAAATGTAATAAAGTAATTGCTTGAAAGCTTCATGCAACATGTTCTTAGACATTCAAGAGATATTACCAAAAAAGAAAGGGAAACAAAATAATGACAAAATGGTCTAATGCAAATAAAAGGTCACACATGATTGCATGCACTATGGAGTGATGTATTCTTTCAATAGTTGTACCTCATTTACTAAAAACCTGACAGAAGCACTGCTTTTATCATTTGCTAAAGTAGGATTGTTTAGGTAGGTTTTCTTGTTTTAAAAAACAAGAATTATTTATTCTCACAGGAAAAAATGTTCAACCATTTACTTGTCACATTTGAAGTCTTTCCACTACCACTTAGATGAAGTACAGAAAATGACTTCAGAAGCTTATTTTATGTGCAAAGTAATACATCAATATAGAACATTCTTTCTTGATGCTCTTTTAATGCTTTTTTCTTCAAAACTGTACCTCTGTCTGGAGAATTTAGTAATGTTGCAGATGAGGAGGAGAGCCGCTTGTTTATGACTGGATCAACATGTTTCGAAAGGTTCATTGTTGAAACAGACCGCCTGTCTCGATCTAAAACAAATGGAGATAATGCTAATTGACAGCCCACATGCAAGAGTGCAAGTTCCTAGCTCACTAGTGGGAGGAGGAAAAAAACAGGACTAGGTCACTCCTGCTCTACCACAAGAACTTCCAAAACAGAATGGATTTCTCAGCAGACGTTGTACAGGTGACTCAAAGACTGGGCACAACACAATTTAAGCTTCAAATGTGTAAAATATTCTGTTCATTATCACTCAATGGGTTGCAATCTAAAGACTTTCAATATTGTCAGAGAATCTTTGCTCACAACTTACAATAGAAAGCTTCACGAGAGGACCAAGATGCTTGGAAACACCAAGTTATTAATTAAAAAAAACACCCTGCCATCTGAATAAAAGCTGACAGGGCACTGTTACTAGGCAGATGGTCAATATTGTGACAATGACATGCTGAAAGATTAAGGGAAGACTAGTGCACAAAGGAAGTGAGGGTAAGCACAAAAGAAATTAAAAGATTTAGTTAAAAATCCCACAGTTATACATAAGTGCTAAACTACCCACCAGAGTTATTCTCAGAGTGCTGAAAATCCAGCTCAACACACACCTTAGCAGATCAGCCTAATGCACCTAATTGGCATACGTAACACGAAAAGTTTATAATTTTATTTCAGTTTCTCTACATTTTAGGGCGGTATTACATTATTTGCACAACTGCTGCAGTCAGCATCTGCATCTTGCTGAGGGGGTGATGGTTACTTCAAGAATAGAGACTGCACACACTTTTGGATATGTGTCACATGAAATTTGCTGTGTCCTTTCCTCTCAAAAAAAAAAACCAACCCAAAAAAACAAACAAACAAAAAGAGCTCCAAGCCGAAACTTGCTGTGTCCTTTCCTCTTAAAAAAAAAAACAACAACCCAAAAAAACAAACAAACAAAAAGAGCTCCAAGCTCCTTGCTTTGACTACACATTCCCCATTATAATTTCATCTGAAAATCTGACATCCAAAAGATACTGTGAGAATCAGTTCTGCTTTTGCTTATGTTTTAGCATGTATTGAACCTCAGCACGACTCAGCAAAGCACCCAACCATGCTGAAATGCAATGAAGCTTGAACATATGCCTAACTGCTCTGCTGATTCATAGTCTGTGTGTGCAAAAATGTGTCCCTACACTGTTTGCAAAGCAGATACAAACTCAGGACAGTGACAGCATTAAGGATGCTGCTACTGAAATAGTATTTGCCACTACTTATTTATGACAAGGCTATTAATATTGTATTTACCTGTTCTGTCCCAATAGATTAAATTATACTCACTGTGTACAACAAAATCATAGAAATAGAGTCTATGAAAAATACCTTAATTCCTTCCAGATCTATGAACTATATAGCATCCACTATAACTTGTTGGACTGAAGAAAGATTCTCCCTACCCCATGTGATTACTTGCTAACTTTAATGTTAGAATGACTTGGTGAGGGCATAGAACTGGCAGACTGGATACTGGGAGGGGAATAAAACTCAGAAAAAGGTTTTAAAAACGAGAAAGCTAAATATTATAACTAAGAAAAATACTTCTGTAGGCTATCGAGACAATCCCAAATTGAACTATGGGGTAAATTGGAGTATGCCCTGTGCAAATCACTACTGGACACACGATGTTCAGACTTCCTGAGAACAGGAATATTTGTGGGAACAGGATGGGGATCTCGATCTCATGTGTAATCTGTGAGAAACTACACAGGGTATCAGTATAGCCATAAAGTTTCTACATTTAGCAGGAAGGATGTACTACATAAACTGGCTTTCTGAAGATGACAAATGACAATATTGAAAATCACCTCTGCTGTTAGGCATGACAACATTTCTCGTGTCAGTGAACCTTATTTAAATGAATCACATTCAGCATAAGGATTTGCATACAAATGTTGCCAATATGAATCCTATAAATGTAGAATAAGCCAAATGCAATCCATTGCCTGGAAAATTGCTGCTTTCTTTATCCAAAAAAAAACCCAAAAAAAGAAACAAAAAAAAAATTAAATACCCATGAGCAACAAAATAGCCAATGCAGTTGGTTATGTGTCTGTGTTCATGTGCAAAATTGTAAATCCTACGTGCAGTATGCCAAAAGGGTTTTAGAAAATAAAATATTCAAATTTGCTCTCCTTGAATTCCAGCAGATAGAATATTATGCTTCATTTCAGTGAATTGTGCCAAATCTTTAGAGTCAGCCAGCAGTAACTCTCCACCAGAAAAATAAATAATAATGAAAAATCTGGTACTAACAACAGTTCTAATCTATCAGCATGGTGTTAAGCATGCATTGCAACTACATGATGGTGGTTTAGTTACTGATGATCTCACTTCCTGAGAACTAGCTACAGGTGAAGGAATAACAAACCACAGCATTATGTACCAGGTTTTCTAGCACCACCCAGAGATTTGAAGTGGTGCTCCAGGCCTGCTAAATCGAGAAAGGTGAATGATGATTCAAAATAATAACCTAGGGACAGAATGCAAGACAATGATTTTTCACAAAAAATAAAATAAAAATCAAATAAGTTATACAAAGTCAAGCAAGAAAGTAACCTTTTATGAAAAATAACTGTTTATTGAAATTATATATGACTGATTTCAGAGCATTCTTTTCTTAACTATTTTTTTCCTCTCCTGATGAGAGGTTAGACACATAGAAATTAGAATAGGAAGAAATGAATTTAAAGGATCACTTCCTGTTAAAAGAAGTAAAAGTTCTCTTTTGGGAGACTTGATTCACATTGAACAGGGCATATACACATTAATGACTGGCAGATTAAGTTAGAGAAGATAACTGGGGAAAAAAGCATATACTTAAAATTCACTTAATTGCCAATCTTTAGGGGAAGAAGGGGGACTTCTATTTCCCCGAATTTCAGTATGCAGCACAGATCTCCTATTACAAAGAACAATTTTTCTTCCTTGTGTGTGTACTTTAATCTCAGTATTTGGTCATTTCCACCAGACCTATTTTTAGAGTCACAAAGCTAGCATTTGCCACAGTAGCTCATATCACAAGATTGACACAGCACAAGCACACCCACGTATACACACACGAACAACAGCAAAGCAGCAGGAGCAAGAAGCCGTAGCAAGGTAGTTACAGAGTAAGTCAAATCCCAAAACAAGGTGTAACTTTTGTTCAGGTTTCTTTCTCCTTGTTACCTTTTTGCTACACAAGAATGTCACAAACATGCCACTGCTAGCAATAATAGGACCAAGAGAAAAGAATTCAAACTGACATACACTGGATCATCCCTCCTTTTAGAAGAAGAAAAGTAAATTCCAGTTGACTGTTGGGGAAGGGAAACTGGCAAGCAAAGCAAGCCTCCCTCTTTACCTGTGTTATTAATGCGGTTGTGCAGTGCTCCTCCCCAGGACCACCTGTTTTGCCTTTGTTTTGGCTTCTGGCTTCTTTCAATTGTGCGACGTACAACAGCTTCATGTCGTTCCTTGAGTACAACAGGATAACACATTGTTGTAAATAACTTTATTTTCTTATCAAAACCTGCTGCCCTCCATCACACGGACAAAACCAAGTAGGCATCTAAGGTGTTTAAGCTTATGTGCTGCCTACTTAAGACACACAGACTAGAACAAAAATAAGCAGCAAGTAAGCCATAAGTAAGTTAGCATGTTAACTGAAATTTTGAGAAGGTAAGATCTGTTTAAGTGGCCCTGCCACTACACAAACACATGCTAGTGCTACTTCCCATCTGCTAAATACCAGAAGAGTAGGAGAGATAGGAAACAACACCCACAAGGATGAGGTGGCTTACATAGGATCACACTGCCCCTACTTTCCAGTTTAACTGGGAGACAAATCAGCCAAGAGCATATTTCACTGCACACTCATTTTTGAAAAGGTTTTCTTAGGGCAACTTATATTTAACTACCCTTAAACTGAATGGCTAAGAATTAACAGATAGCCATACAAACCTGACCCAAATTGTTTTTCTGCATGAGTTTGCACAGTGCCATACACAGTAATCCAGGCATGCTCAACTTCACTGCATTTGATTCATAACAGAAGCCGTACCTGTGCAAGTAAGGCTTAAAATCCTTCCACACACTCTGTCATACTGACCATGGTTCTTGTTGCATTCTCTGCATCAGCTCTTGAAGAAAAAGGTTGATAGTACTGTATCTTAGAGTAAGAGAAGCTGAAAAGTTGTTTCATGACATTTGTTCTTACCTTCTCTTCTTCGAGTTTCTGCCTTCGCTTTTCCTCTACAGCAGCTCGCCTCCTCTCTTCCTTTAGTCTCTGCTCTTCTAGCTTCTTTCTGCGTTCCTCTAGGTGTTTTTCATAATGTTGCCGTGCTCTCTCTTCTCTTTCTAGCCAGACAGACTCTCTTGCAGCTGTGAGAAAAATGAAAAATAAAAGTATTAACTTGCTTTATGTAATAAAGTCCAAAATACATTCTGAATAAACCAAGGTAAATGGAAAACCTTTTGTACTGTCTTTCTTCAGACATACATAATATCTTTATCTCTCCTCATTTATTAAAATATACCCTGGCCACACATTGATTTTATCTAATCTCAATTTACTTATTATGAACTGCCAACAGTTACTTGAGCAGTTTCTTCATGGAAGATAGGATTTTTTGCTAGCTTAAGTCAGACGTATGTGAACAAACTTTTGTTACACAAACCATGCTAATTCTCTGTAATATTTTACTGAGAAAAAAAGACAATAAAAAGAGAGGTAAAACTATCACAACTTTCACTTTTATTGATCAATACAGATCTCTTATGATAGGAGTGGCTGGGATGGACAGTTCTAGCACCTGGACCAACAGAAGGAAGGAAGTTACTCACCAAAGAGGTCTAAAGGCAAACACTAATCTGTCATGTAATTCCACTTACACACAGCTTCAAACAACATGTTTCAGAAGAGCTAATCAAGACAAATCAAGAAACCCTACACAGGACCAATTTTTCTCCCTAACAGGGTCTGAATTTTCATGAATTTTGTAGAATGCAGGCTCAGACTGCAGTCCACATTAAACCGCTGACGTAGGATACTCTGGCTCACTCCCCATCAGTGCCTTGAAAGCTTTGGGACCCAGAGTGGAACTAGATTGTTCCCCTATGCAACATCATATGTTTGCAGTCTAAGTCTACCATCACACCGGAAATGCTCTAAACTCTTAAAGAATCCTTTCAGTACAGAGGTACAAAAATGAATTTTAAAAAAAAACAAAATCCAACCAAAGCAAACCTACCTACCACAAAAAAACCCCAAACCCAGTGCACATATCCTGGTACCTAGACCCTGAACACACTAAGTAACCCAAACAAGGTAGTCATTCAAAACTGGAACTCAATCAAACACTTCTGCAGAAGATTTGAAAAAATCTATTCTCTTTGAAAGAGCTAAGAGCATCTAAGAAGCATAATTGCATATATCTCACGAAAATCCAGCTAGCTGTAGCGTGTCAGCTTTTAATGAATAGTCACTTATGTACAGACCCTATTGATCATATCAAAACAAGCTGCTTGCTGTGAGCCACAAGACTTCCACAGATGCTGTGATGAGCTGGCTCTTTTGTGCCTGGAATATGCTTACAATGGCAACCCAGCACAAAAAAAGCTCTTTGGTGGTCTACTGAAAATTAATAAATTAAGAAAAGAAAAGGAAAAAGCCCAACAAAACCTCAACTGCTTTCTTAACTGATGTCACTGGAATATTAATTTGCCTATAAAAGACATGGAAATTATTTGTTCTTGCTGTTATTAATGTAAATGGCCAGACTTTCATGAGACACTGCTCATGGTGATTTCCATAGGATACAGTCTATTCATTCATATTGTTTAGAAAAAGTAACGAAAATAGGACATTTGAACTTTTAAGACTAAATTCAATAAGAGAGAGGCTAAAAAGAGATTTATGTACATTCTTAGTGCTGGTAAGACAATCAGAATGCTGGACCTCCGGACAGAATGCTTATCTTCAGCTTTCTGCTTCTCTGAGAAGGGGTGATAAAAATCACACTTTTGTGATACAGCAAGACAGCTCAATAACAGACGCAGGCCTTAGTGAGGGATTAACTCAGGCAAATGGACGTGTTCGGCTGGAATAACTTTTAACAAAAATAATAGATCTGATTCAAAACAGATAAAAAGCTACCACCTTTAGGCTACAAGCAAAAGACAGAAAATATGTGCCCACCTGCTAACATAAGGAAGTTACTAATTTTATGCTTGGACCAAGTATTCAACAAGTACATGAAAGTATGATTTATGATATATCTGTTTGCTGAAACAAGTGTAATATCTATTTTCATCAATTTAACTTTTTTCACGGATAGAGATAAAATCTTAACTACTTTCCATGTTTTTTCAATTTTCAATTCCTGCATTTTATCTTATGAGAGAATCAAGGGAGAACATCTGCTTTGTTTACACTTCTTCCGGCATGCAGTACTGTCATTCTTCTATGAACTTAAGGGCTCGGATTTTGTCACCTATAAGGTAGGTATGTACAGTGACATAAGTTAGTGTCCTTAGATATAAAAGGATATCTTCAGGAAAATTAAGAAATTTAGAATATTTTTCTTTCATTCTTATGTCCCCATTTATGAATTTTCAGAAACATTTTCCTGCTGCCCCAAACAGATACAAAAAAATTGTCTTGTAGAGTAAAAGGTTTACTCTTTAGACCTCTGCTCTAACACAAAGAAATATTTTTTAAAATATATTAAGCCCTATTCTGGATACACAGGTATGCTTCTAGAAGCACAGCATAAATGCCTTGCTGATAGAAAGAATCAGCAGATGAGCCAACAGGAAACTGAAGATATATCTAAAAAGTCTCATCAACCTGAAAGAGCAGCCAATTTGAGGATGTGGCAGGGAAGGATACTAACTTCTATGATCGTGTCTCCAGAAATTGTACCAAGAGCTCTGCCTGGTGCCGAGCCAACACAGAACTCCACTGGGGGTATGGTCCAACAAAAGAGTATTTTCTCAGGCATGAGCATTAACAGATTCATGATCTTCCTCTCCCTTGTAATACCTCACATTGTATGACAATGTGCCAGATTCATTCAAGAAAAGTTTGGTCACTGTTCAGATAGCAACTGCACGCTGAAACCTTAAATTCCATTGGAACAATTACATTAAAGCTGGAAAGTACAAAAGTCACAGCCTGATCCATTTTTTTATTTCATTCCTTAGTACAATCAATACATTTGAACACAGTCACATGATACAAGAACACAAAATTAGAGCATAAAAATGGGATTTAGAAATTGAGCTCTAGACATGCTGTTGAATACCTTCTGCTTGTTTGCAAACTACAATGCTGGATTAGATTACAATGCAACATAATTAAGGCTGTGTTTCTGACACTTCTGAAGTGAATAACAGTGAGAGAAAACAAGGTCAATCAAAAAAGAGACACTCCAATATTAAGCGACACATAAGACTTGAAACCAATTAATTTTACACTAGAGTTAACTAATGTAATGTGGAAGATGTTAGTTACAAACCATGCATGTATCTTTTTTGGAAATAATTTTGTCGTTTCTTTTCCCAGCCACACATACTAGAACTATTGTTTGTAGGGGTTTTAGGCAGTGAGGGAAGGAGGAGCACTAAGTGTCAAAGCCTTTATTTTCTGTTTATCTCTGTGAAGTAAAGAATGTGCCTCCAGATTCTCTTTTTCTGTTTCTGCTGTCTCTTCAGCCCTTTTTCTTTTGGTTTACTGCCTATACAAAGGCAGATCACTCTAGCACATGCCTTCTCAGTCTGCCTTTTCAATCCACCTCAGATGGACAGCTCACCTGAACCAAAATCCTGCAGTGTTTGTCATGCTTTCCAGCCTTTACCTTTTCTAACTTTACAGCAATGACCTCAGCAAGAGCTTTCTCCTCTGACTGCTCTTTCACCTTTGCTCACTGCCAGCTCTGCACTGAGGCCGTGAGTGCACCCTTGCTGCATTAGCAGTAAAATGGATCAGTGATGCTTTAACCATACCTAAAAATGGGGACATTACACAGAAATGGCTGACTGAACAAATTAGAAGGTGAACTTCATGCTGTAATTAAAGGTGAAGTTAATGTGAGATTCTCTAAGACAGCCTTTCCCCAGTAACCATGCTCTGAGGGACATTTATCACAGAAATTTTTAAACTAGTCTTCCTTAAAAATTCTTTTATTTTCTTATAAACTCTTTTGATTTTCAAATTTTCCAAGGAGATCCCAAAATTATTCATATGCTAGGGTCAATGATTCCCAGTTTCTGTGGGGCTTCCTTCTGTAGGATAAAGTTCTGCCCCCAAGTGCCAGGGAAGAAAATAGGGCAGAAGGAATTTACTCACAGAATTTACTTACAGAAAAAGATATTGTCATTTTTATTAATGTTATTATTATGCCACTGATCACTTTCTGTGATGTTTAAAATACTACTTTAGTGCTTACGCATTGTAGGTATTTAATGAATTTAATGAATTTAGCCAACTTGAAACTCGGACATACTCTAAGAACTAAGATTAATCACTCTTTATTTAAGGAAGTATGCTAAGTTAAAAAGAAGTATTACCATCTTTTATTCCCAACACCAGAAACTAAATTAACCATGTGTCCTTGTCAGGATCATAATACTTATTAAAAAAGATCAGTCTTCAAGCAGGATTAGCGTAGATAAAACATGCACAGAAGTGAGACTCAAAAAAGTGAGACTCAGTTTTCTCAGGAATCAGGGACCAAGATACTGCTGAGTAATAACAAGAAAATTCTTCCTCTTTGCTAGGCCACTACCAAAGGTTACCAGAATGAAATCCATTTTAAAATCCCAGATATTTTCCCTGTTGAAAAACACATTTTGATTTTTCTTTCCCAGTTAGGGAGGACCAGGTATGTGCTCTGGAACCAGAGACTAACTGGCATGGAACTACTTTCACCTTTGTTACTAAACATCTACCCTCCAAAATGGCGACAGCACATGCAGAAGAGCCCATGGACCTTCCTGGTCAATTCCCAATCCCTGTCTGGGAATCAGCAAGCAGACAGCAAGTTGGGTGGAGCCAACACCCTGCCAGGATCCATCATAACAGCTTTATAGTAAGAACAATTAAGTTTTAGCGCCAGGGAACGCTCTTCAGCACTGTTAATTTGGCAGTACAGATACAATCAGTATGGCAGATAAGGGTGAAGTCCACATGATGAAAAAGCAGCAGTTTTCAGTAATGTTTACCAGTTTGAGCAGGCCATCTACCAGGGTTGCCTTCATAAAAAGTCAGTTCCAACATGTTTGTCTCACAGCATTCAGTGCCAGGACACAGCTGCTCAGCCTGACACATATAAGTGCCAAGCTGGAGCCAGACTGGGTGGCTCCCTCTGCTCTGGCCTCCAGCAACAGAGCCATTTGACCTACCACTGCCTCTCTTGGGATTTCCATTTGGCACAATCCAAGAGGGTTGGTCTCACACAGAGAGATCTGATATCTCTCTTTTAAAGGACAGATGTTAACTTTTATGCATAGGTGCTATGGAAAGAGCACTAGTGGAAAAAGCACAAAAATGAAAACTTGGTTACAAAAGAGCAAATGACAACTCTGGAAGCATTACTTAGAAAATCAAGTACAATCACCCTAATAATCCTTTAAGGCCTGAACGTGATATCAGCAAAACACACATTACCAAATGGTCAAGAGATTAAAAAGATTGAAGCAGAAAACCCTTCATGAAATTGTTACAACTTTAGTCATGCAAAAGGAACTGCACAGAAAAAGTAAAATAATTAATATTTTAGAAGTGTTGCGATGGCATTTCAAAAGCAATGCCTTTCCTACAGTGAAGAAAATAAAACAATCACTTTTGATGGTGTGATTTGCTGATTGTGTTCCTGTGTATCTTCTATGCTACTTAAAGAAGAGTCCAAAACAAAACATGAATATAGTAAAGGTGAAAGAGTCATTTTTTTGTAGAAGCTTCGTTAATCTTTTCAATTAGGCGGCTCAACACGATCCTCAAGAAACAGCAGATACTGACAGTCCCAACACAAATATGTGCTATATATATATATTCAGATTCAACAAAAATGATGGCATTTCCTACTCTCTAAGCACTCATTAAGCACTCATTGACTTAGACACCCAAGTGTGCTAAGTAGTCTAAGACTGCTAAAATACTATTTCCAGGTGCAAGCAAATCCTCAGGAGTTCAGAGCACATGCCAATCCACCACAGGAAAGCCAAATCTATTACAGCACAGTGGAACTTGAAAAAAATTAGAACTTGACAGTAAAAAAAGGTGAAAGAAAAATGGTCTTAAATCAACTCTTCTTTAATATCAGAATATTGCCCAATAAATAAACATAATCCTTATTAAACTGGTACTCCACATGTTCTTAACAGAAGGGTCAACAACTTAATTTTGCTGACCTCCAGGAGTTCATGTTGCTGAAAGTACAAAACAAAATTACTACCAGCTCTACACCTAGAGAATTGAGCCCTGTCCTTTACTTTTTTTAGAACAAATAATTTTATTTGCGGTAGAACTGAAATTCTCAACTTCTGTATAAAAATAAGTCTTTACTAAACCTGACAGATCCCCTGAGCCAAAAGGAAAGGAATTAAGTTTAAATCCAACTTAATTCTATTGAAAAAAATTAAAATTCCTTCCCTCAGTTGCTTTACTGTTGCGTGGCTGATGTCCCAGTATTAACAAAATCCAACTCTAATTTTTAGCAAGACACATTTATGTAACAATATTATACAACTTAATGTTTAAGAGAGACAGCTTAGGAATTTCTTTGCTGTGGTTCACATGACATGAATGACTGATTATCTAGGATCTGCACTAAATGCACCAAAAAAAAAATATATACAGATGAAAGTACAATGCAACTTTCAATTTTTTTGTTAGTTCAAAATAATTCTCCAAGCAACAACACACGATACACTCATACATCACAGGGACATGCAGTACTCTCCCATGTGGAAATGAAGGATTCCACATCAACTTTCAAAAACTCCTGATGTTGTTTTGATGTTGCTTTTAAAACACGTCACACAAAATAACACATTTCTCAACAGAAGTCACATCCTTCTGGTAATAAATACTCATTTATTAATAGCTAAAAAAATCAGAGTTGAGTTAAATTCAAGGAAAGCATATTTCTCTGCATTTGATGAAAGCATTGTTATTATACAAGGATGAAACCTGAGAAAAAAAGAAATTAAAGACATGGAAACATCATCTGTGAAAAATTAATTAAAATGGGCCAGTAACATCCATTTGCTCTAAAACCTGAAGAAACTAAGCCTACACATACCATCAACCTCAACCCGAGGAGCAGCTTTTCAGGGATTATCAAACATCCTGTCATGTTACCCCTTGAGCAAGCCAAAACTAAAGCTGTCCTGTTCCCTTCCAAAACAATCCTAGCAATTCATGCCTGGCAACTGCAATGTTTTAAGGTGCCGTAAAGAAGGGAGGTTATAAACGCTATCAAGACCTAGGTGACAATTAATGATGGCTCTTCAGGTTAGAAGAAGCAGCATAATTTTGGCTGGAGTTACAATATAGTTCAATAAACTTTCAGACATTACAAATGGGAAATAAAGAACTTCTGTTTCTTAAGCCCTTAGAACAATTCAGCATTGAAAGAAATCAGAGTAAACACGTAAAAAAGAGGAAATACTTGTATTTCCCAACCTCCCAAGTACCACAGAACTTTGTTACAGATAAACATATAAACATTGTTCAGAAAGCCACCAATTTGGCTTCACATAATTATTAATTCTCTCACCACCATACTCAGTACACTGCCCATCAGTAGTCACTGGTTAGGCAGCCTTCACTGTTCACTCAAACTGTGTTATACTTATGCAGGCATAGGTGATATAAGATATTGAGCACACCTATTCGACACCTACTAAAGGTTTGACCTGTAAAAAGTACCCCAAGTCTACATTAAAACATATGCTGCAATTTTATTTTATGGTATTCAGCATTTTAATCTTAATTGGTAAAATATTCTAAAACTTCAAAATTCCATTTACATGGAATTTTAAGCTCCCTTGCATGATTTCAGAATTAAACCTACTTGTCATTCACATTCATAGAACAGGTGAGAGATATAGTACTGATGAACCAGAAGATTTACTTTAAAGATATGGTATTGTATCTGAGAGGACACTATTGCAAATCTAGCACTATCATTTTGCTGACTGTCCCTAAAAGTAAGCTGGCAATAACACTGCATGCAGATGACAGTCCATTAAAAACAAACAAATAAACAAAAACCAGAGGGGGCCTTACCTAGCTGTTTTTCTCTCTCTTCTCTCCGTTCTCTGGCAAGCCGTTGCCTGTCATCAACCTTTAGTATTGTTGGATGATCTAAAATTGGAGAAAGAGGAGTATTAGGCACATAGCATAAAAACAAATACTACCAAACCCAAACTTTTAGGAGAATGGCTGTTAAACAACTATTCTGCCAAAACAAATAATGTTTTCAGAAATCCATCTTATTTTAAAAACCCCAGAAAAATGATAATTAGAATGCATTCCTATTTTTTAAGATCTAAAATACTTCCAAAGAATAGAGATGTGACAGCGAATACCCAGCAAGACTACTGCTTGTGAAAGCCAAGGAAGAGGCTTTATTTTGTTTCCAAGACTAAAACAACTTGACTTCTAGATAGCATTTTGAAAAAATACTGTTTATTATTCCATAATGTCTCTCCAAAATGCATCCACATGAAAGGCTATTATAATAAGATTTGTCTTCCCCTTGATATTGCCTCAGAACAACCAATAAGCCCTATATCATGACACAAGAACCTCAGTACCCAAGCAAAACAGGCTGAACCAAAACAGTGATCTGGCTGAATAGTTCTAAAGCAGTTCTGGCTGAGCCTCTGGAAGAAGCATGATATTGATTTCAAAAGATGCTTGTGTGCACATGTGTTAAAAACCATGGCCAATATACTAAAGGCAGTGAGGCATGACATGCGTGGACTGGCATAACACGAATCAAGTAAGATGAGAGGTTTAACTATTCTTGTAGATTGAAATTTATCTGCATGAGTACTTCACAACTATCTGCAACTGGCTGCTTGGATCACAGCAGTAAGACTGAGGATAACATGAAAGATCTGTGTCAGAGCCCAGGTTTCACTTTAAAAATTCAGGTTTGGTTGAAAAACATCAGTGATGGTTCTGGAAGACAACAAAGTGCTGAGAAAACATCACTTGCTCAATGATGGTTCTGGAAGACAACAAAGTGCTGAACAGCTAGCATTCGACTTCCAGTCTCAGCAATGGAGCTGTTCCAGACAAAGGGAACAAAATCCAAGTTAGCAATTCATCTCAGCACGCTGCCAAAACTAATTTCCTACTCAGCCTGTTCTTTTAAACCTGGAAAGCTCTTAATTTTATGGGTTTTTTTCAGTAGCACTGAAAATATCTGCTTTGCATAAGAACACAATAAACAAAAAACCTACAGAAAAATCAAAACTTCCTCAGTATAAATAAATGATCTGATTTATTCTGGTATTGAAGGGAACTCAGTTTTTAAGTATTTTAAGATAAAGAACTATTCGAATACCGTCATCATGAAAGTGCACAAGACAACAGAGCCTTTTCACTATTCAGTGTGAATACACATGTAAGCAACTTGTAAAAACATGTAGAGTCAGTCTACTTGTGTATAGGCTGCATACCTATGAAAAAATGTATTAGCAAACAATACAATGGGTCATAAAACTGAGGTTAAAGATATTTGCAAAATAAGTCCCTGAAGTGAGGCTATGCTAGACTAATTTTGAATAGTTATCATCTGAATTAGATTTAAAAGAATAATAATAATGTGCATTTCATCCTCTAACAGAAGTTTCTGCATAAGCATGACAGGATTTCTTAGGTGAACCAGCTCATCAACAGCTACATACACATTAATTACTCTTGAACTCTAATCAGTGAAAATCTATTATCTCAACAACTGTCAGACTAGAGCCCCAATTAAGAGTGTTAATGGCATGCACAGTAACAGCTGCAAGGAGAAAACCCATTGCACAGCTGGCAGGGAGAACCTTCAAACACGACAGCACCAATGAAGGGCACAACAAGTGAAAAAGTCACCAGCAAAGACAAGGTAATCTGTTACCCAGCTGCAAGTCAAAAACTTCAGTGTTGGCTGACTAGCCCACGGTGCTGCCATTTGTGACACTTTGCTCAGCCACGGCATGGCAGAGGTTTGCCCACTGCAGGGTGTACATCTGCATTTGGCTGATGTTCGGCAGCACGCTGACTCACATGCAGTCCCTTCAGCACGCAGACACAGGTCAAAAGGGTAATAATATTCCTTGTCTCTGGTGACTGGCACACAAGGTTCACAAAACATGAATTCCTGTGGCATGAGTAATTAGCGCTTGTGGAATAATGCACATTTCCCCTGGAAAACAAGGATTCCCTTCAAGGGCTGTCAGCAAAGTCAATGTAACATTGAGTTGACAGAAAATGATGAGGCACAGGGGAAAAATGTAGAAACCTGCTTCTTTCAGAATATCCTTCCAGTTGGGGTTTTTTTTTCCCTTTCTTGAGAAGAGAGATTTCCTCATTGGAGAGAGGCAACAATTCTTCAAAGAGGCAGGAGGGTTACATGGACAGGCAAACTGAAAAGGTCTCCCTTAAGAATTCCTAATTATAAGCAATGAAGGAATAAAATAAATTTTTAAAGTTGCCCTCTGCCACTCTGTTTGAAGATATCCAATTATTTTTTCCATATTACACACCTGATAGTGTTCACACAAGAGCAGCCCCTCTCCCAACAACCCAGGATGTTAGAACAATCCTAAAGCATTCGCATTAAGTTGCAGGCTTTGCAGAGTGTGTGCCTTCAGTAACAAGCAATTTTGCATACATTTGTGATCACAAAGAGCTAAATCAATATTAGCACAAAGATGAGGGTAACATCTTTGTAGCAGACCATCATTGCATTTGCTCTGCTATAAGCTGGAGCACGTATTATCAGTGCAAGACTCACACTGATAATTAAAATGTCTTCTCTAAGTCTTCAAAATTATCCTTCATAGTTTGGCTACAATCCCAACCTCTAGCATTTGCATTCTGAATCCAGATGTTCTGCTGGCACCCCCAGTGCAGAGCATCAATAGTTTCAAACTGTGACAAAAGAAGAGAGTTCACTGGGACTGCTCCCCATTTTACTTATCAAGTCTTTACTCATTAAAATCCCACCAGGCAAATACCTGGGGGATTGGCAATTCTTCGTATTCGGTAGGAATATCAGGAGAAACAAACAAAATATTTTGTACTCTCTTTTGCTCATATTCTCATCAGACCATAAGCTTTAAGTTACTGTGAAAGGAAATGGGAAATTGTCAGCTGCAACAAATCCTGCAAGAATTACTCATTTTTTAGAGAAATAATTGCCAACTGGGCATATGCAAAGCCTAAGAGACAACACTCCAGGAAGACCCACGTGCTGCTTTGGAAGTTGCAGTCTGGCTATGCTGCTATATGTGGGAACTCATACTCAACAATCTATTTCCCTCCACTTAGGTAACAGGCATAGAATTAAGCATTTGTATGACAGGGATGTTTGGAGAATAAATAAGCCATAGTTCTACACAGAAGAAATTAGTTTTGTACCTGCTGCTGGAAATTAAGCCTCTAAATTCCATATGAAAACAGTATATATGCATATATTGAGACCATTTTGTGTGTTTGCAAAATTCATTTTAATAAGTTAATATGTAATTTTGAAAGCAGAGAAGCTGTGAACAGTATTTTGCAGAAATTCAGCACGGAAACATCAATAGGTTTTTGTCCCTAATGACAGTAACAAAAGGAAAAAACAAGTTTTACAAATCTTCTATAGAATTAAGACTTGACAAACTCTTAATTTCTATAAATATCAATTTTGCTTAAGTTCCTAAATTAACAATTGTCATATATACTTTGTAAATATGACCAGTTTTTGTGGCTCATACTATCAGCTCCACTCTGCCTTCCCTCACTCCAGCCCCAAGAATTGTGGATTCCTTCTACACATCAGCATAGATAAAGGGAACATTGGAAGAGTGAGGATGCCCTCCTGACAAATGAAAACTGGATTAAACTATTGCAGAATAAAGCAAGTACTGAACACTGTACAAAGAGCTGTGGAAAGAGATAATATTATCTTTGTTTTCTTCTCCTTTTCCCACTGCCTGATTGAGAGCAGCTGTGATTCCTGTGCTCTGTGCAGGACCCAGAGTGCCTGGCAGAGCATGCCAGGTGTGATCTCAATGCAGATCACACAGGAATCCAGTGCTGGGATTCCTTCCCTCTAGGGACACAGGCCAAGGCACCCCTTTTGGGAACAGAGAAAAGTCTGTCAGTCAGTGACAAAACAGTCACTGAGCTGCCAAGCTGTCAAGAAGCTGAAGGGGGATGTTACAGTGGCCTTGTCCTCAGCACCACAAGCACCTCTACTTTCCCAGGCATCTAAACAAAATCATTATTAACTGCATACGTTAACCTTGGGTACCTGAATTGCAGCACAGGAAGAATTTAGATATGTAAGTCCTCTTCTGGATCTTGGTCTAAGCATGCAAGTGGAACAGACCAAGGACTACAGTAAGCTTTTTAGCACACACATTTTCAACTGTGTAAGCGAACACTGAATTAAATCCACACAATGTACCCGTGAGATATGGTAATAAAAAACATCTGCCCACAGCACAGAGCATGTTACAGAACATGGCAGGCTTTGTGGTAAGTGAGGAAATGCCTGAACAGAGGCACATTTACACAAAGCTGCAAATCTTTGCCTACAGCACAGAATTCTCATTCAAGCACAAATGCAAATACAGTGGCTTCTGTTGTCTTTTCTCACTTCCCAACCCTCATTCCTAAGCTATTCTAAAATATAAGTAAATTTTTCCAGTTTTGCTTCTTTGCAAATAATCACATATTCCAGCCTATCTAAACATGACCAGTCACTGATACCAGTTTTGGCTGAAACAGTAAGTGAGGTACAAAAGCAACAAACTTTACAAGTTGCTGTGACAACAGCTGTTTTCCACGCACCATTGAGACAAACAGCCTTAAAACATGGAGCATGTGGAATGGTGTACCTGGTTTAGTTCCAGCGTTGCTTTGTGCTGAAGCGACTTTCTTATCTTGTGTTTCAGAACCTTCAGTTGCTAAAATAAGGAAGAAAAGAAGAAAATTAACCATTTTACTTAGTAGTAGGTCACTCACCTTATTATATTGAAACTTAAATATTGCTGGATTCCCTTTAAAATCAGACCGTTCCAAGATTTCACCTTAATGCCATTCTACATCATTTTGCATAGAAAAAAAACCCCAAAGGCTACACAGAAAGCATTTAAGCCACAATACAAGTTCCCGATTCAAGCTGAGGAAAGAGCCACAAGTTTTTATTTTAGCTATGCATATTAATAACACTTAGAAGATGACTTGCAGATCCCACGTTTCTAAAGGTATGGTGCAAGATACTGGTAAAAACTTCTTCACAAAATGCACATCCATAATGCAGGACTGAAGAGAGGACTATTAATGACCTGAATGAAATCTAACTATTCCCATTATTTGCAACAGACTTTTGATGAGGCCCTACCAGCCTAGAACAAAATTTAATTCTGGAGTTCTGAGTGCCCTTTCAATAACCCTTTAGAAAGAAAAAAACCTCAGAAGATTCATTACTATTCAAATCACAACCATATCATTGGTTCAGCATCTATCTCTAACTAAAGAAACAGCCAAGAAATTAGATGCCATGATTTTTTCATCTTACTACTCATCTTTGTATCCAGCAGTTCCACTATAAGAGTGCTGGAGTCCAGAACACACCAATCTCAGAACAGACTAAAGGCAGATTATAAGAATTCTAAGAAGCCTTCCAAAAACAGCTTGAAAGTATTTGCAAGCAAGGATAAAAAGACAGTTATAAATAAAGCCTAGGAGATGAAAGACACCAATTCATTCAAACAAAAATATCAGTAGAAATGAAAGTTGGGGAAAAAAACCCTGATTACTCCAGATTTAAAAGCTAAACAGGCATTACTGTATTAGATCCACTTCAGAAAACATAATTAAAACAAATTTTCCTCAGAAGGCTCCAAGCACTTTCTTATGCATTCTATTTCAGCTTTAACAATACACACTCAGCACTTAGTACCTCAGTGAGTTCATTCCCTTCATGGCCACACAGAAGTCTTCATTTCCTTGCCTACCCCCTTCCACAGGCATGTTTCAGGATTAACACAGAGGGTAAAAGGTAGCAGGAAGAATCTTTACGTTGCATGTACTGTACATTTTTTTGCAGGGGGAAGGTGGGTGAGGGAAATAGAAAAATACTGTTATCAAATGTTTTGTGTTCAAGAGCAATGTTTTGCAAAGAACGGTGTTCAAAAATCATGTCGTCTCACAAAAAAAATTTTGTGAAACCTTAAATAACTGTCAGACACTCCTCTTCCTGATGCCTACACTAAGTCTCTTGCAATCAACAGAAATAACCACTGTTCAACTTAACAAATACTTATTCCAAATGACAATAAGAACTGGAACACCTTAAAGGCAGCCCAACACAAGATTTTAGTATTTGTCATTTTAAAGGCCTCATACATAAGATTAGTGTGACCTATGGGTAGATGGATTGATTTTTGGCAAAATAATTTGAGCACCATTGGACACTTGCACCACCAGGCTTGGGAAGATCTACCATTATAAAAATCCATATCTGGTGCTGGAAGAAGTCCAGAGAAAGCCAAGAGAGTTGGTGCAGTGTCTGGAGCACACGTACTATGAGGAGCAGGGGAGGGAGCTGGGGGTGCCTAACCTGCAGAAAGGGAGGCTCAGGGGGAATCATATCACTCTCTACAACTGCCTGAAATGAGCGTGCAGCCAGGTGAGGGTCAGCTGCTTCTCACAGAACAAGAAGAAACACCATGAGAAGGAAATGGACTCAAGTTGCACAAGGGGAGTTTCAGACTGGATATTAAGAAAAAAAATCTTCCCAAAAGAGTAATTGGGTATTGGAACAGGCTGCCCAGGGAAGTGGTGGAATCACCATCTCTGGAAGCGTTCAAAAACTCGGGGATTTGGCACCCAGGGCCATGGTTTAGTGGTGAACATGGCAGTGTTAGTTTAACTGTTGGACTTCATTTTAGAGGTCTTTTCCAACCTTAACACTTCTGTGATTCTAAACTCTTTATATCTTACCTCTCCCTCAAAGTTAAGGTACTTGTAAAACAAGCTTTTCTCCTGCATGTAACAACTATTTAGAACATTCTCAGAAAAAGTCCCACTGTAACTCAGTGGGACTACATCACAATTCCCATCAGCCTGGCCTAGGGCATTATACAGAAGAGGAAACTGTCATAAAATAGTAAAAATACTGTTTCTAAGAGCTAGTGAGTACACTGATGCTCTAATAGTGTCAGCACAAATTTCCTTGCATCCTTCATACTGAGTATGTGTGTGTTATTTTTTTCAAGCACTGCACCATTTGATTATGCAACACTCCATTAACTTAAAAACTGTGGTTTAAATACACTTGCAAAAAAGCCTAGGTACACAAAGTAATACTTTTTTTCCCATATTTCCTTGTCTAACATTTCCTTGAAATATTTTTTTACATGGTTTGAATACACATTCATATGACCACTTATATGACAAGTGATGAAAAGAACAGATGGCACACCATGAATTTTAACGATGCTGGATATGAAATAAGAATTGGCACAAGCATTTAGTAACCAGTGTAGGTGTGCTCCCACATAAAATACCTCCTGCTCTAGGATACAACAGATTAATCAGACAACTAAACATCTAAAATCCACACCTAAATATTGACAACACTGGTTTCAATACCTAACAGATGCCAGAAGAGATATAATTTAACTACCTAATATTTGTTCTGCTGTTTACCTCGGACCACTACCTTTACATAAGGGAATAAAAGTTGCATAAAGAAGTGAAGCACAGCTGTCTCTCTCAGCTCTGCCATTACTATATGGCACAGCATCAAACAGAAAGCTGTACCTCAGTTTCCCTGCATGGAAAGAGGGGAAAAAACTGGGGGGGAAAGGCAAGAAAATATATATATATGTATTGCTACTAAATAATAGCAATATATATGTATTGCTACTAAATAATATGCATTTGTAAATGCTGAGCTTTCAAGTAACACCAGTTGCAGCACAGAATTCAGTATATATACCAGGGAGAGAGCTGAAAGGGATCCATAAGAATGATAGTGCTAGGGAGGACCTCTGCAGGCTCAGCTTTTAGCTTTGCTTTGAACCAAGACAAGTACAAAACTGGTAGATTATTCCTAAAATAAAATATTTTTGTAATGGAAATGGAATCTATTTTGAAATCTCTGATCAGTTTCAATATACTCTGTGTTCACAATCAGACAGGTTTAATCAATACTTCTGTTACCAGGATAAGTGCAAGCTCTAGAAGGACTCACAAGCAATTTCATAGGATGTCAGCTCACCCCATGTCTCACACAGCCATTATAATTACAGTAAATTCCTCCACAGTTAATAATCTCTGTACCAAGTACCAGTACCAAAGTTTATTTCCTAAAATGGAAAAAAGTCCACTTTATGATAGCCAGAACTACTTTGAAAAAGTTGTTCCATGATCAGCATCTGTCAGACAAAAATGGCTTTAATAACCTTACAGTCAAAGGTGTTCTTCTTAAAGTAACAAAACCAGTTATCTCCAGCTTTCCAAAGGAGGCCTGTGTGAGCAGAAGTAGGAATTGCTAGTACTGGGAAGCAAAACAAGCACAAAGAGAAAATTTATATTAAAAAATATTCCAAGTTGAGGAAAAGACTAATAAAAAACACTGAGAAAGGAGGAAAACTGTACGCTTTTAGTGCTTCTTTACGTGCCAGATAAGCTCTGGTCAAAGAAGACTGGCCTGAGAGACAAGGTAACATATTCAAGGGGAAAAACTTTCTTGAGAATTAGAGTCCCTGGGAGGATGTGCTGGAAAGCAGAAGGAGCATTCACCCAGACCCTGGAAAAAACACTGAATGCCAAACACTGAATGTCAAACATGCCATCACACTGGCATTTTGACAGGCTTTTTTAAAAACACAAGAGTTGTGCAGAATACAAACACTTGGTTTTTTCAGACTGTGGCACATCAAGCACACGTTTGCACAGTGTGAACCAGCTATTCCCAGTGAGGTGAATGGCAAACCAAAGGCCCCACAGCAAGGCTGAGGAGCTGGAAGGATAGTTAAGCTCTGTTCCATGAAAGAAGGGAATCAGCCATAAGACAGAGCAGCTCTATTTCCAGAAGGTCTCTACCCCCAGAAGTGTAAGCTTCGTAAGATTAAATACAGTGTGAAGGGGCACTTGGGGACCACAAGCAAGAAGTGCTGCTGAAACCAGTGTCAAGGTAGGATGTGCACAGCAGCCCCCCCAGAACTGCATCCCAGCACGGGTCTGGAAAGGGGAGCTGTACAAGGGCTGCACAGCACAGCTGCAGATGAGAGCACAAGCACAGGAGAGCCCCAGGCCTGCAGACAGCCATGGCAGTGCAGGTACACCTCTGGGTACAGGTGCTCTGAGCACCAAAGGGCAAAGATCACTCTCCAGTTCCCTGCTTTTTTTCTACAAGTGTAAGAGAAGTACTGAGAAGCAGCCATGAGAAAATAGAAAAAGCCATATCAGAGGAGGAGGGATTACAGGGAAAAAAGAAGAAAATCTAGCTATTCTGTACCTGCCACTTGTCATCTAATTCCCCTGGTATGACTGAACAGCTACTTTTTTTAGCTGTCAGAGAGTGCTGGGGGTGTGTGGGATAGGGAAGGCACCAGAAATGACAGCTGGAACAAACTCACGTCTCAGTAAAAAAGCACTGCCAATACATAGCAGAGGAAATTCAGCATTAAACTGGGAAATTTAAAACAGAGCTAACTGGGAACTGATATATTCTTTATGCCTTAACACCTAATCCTACTATCTCCAAATACTTCCTTATGAATACTGCTCAAAAAAAAAAACCAAACAAAAAGCACCAACCCTGAATAAAAACCCCACTCTTAAATTCACTTGCTTATTTTATATAGCATGTCACACCTGATGTGCACAATGTAAAAAATGCATAGTTTGAATTACCCAGAACTAAGCAGAGAACAGAGCGTTCTAAGTTTGT